AGCTTTATTATTTAGTAATTAAACCTTGGATCTACCCCAACCTTGCATTCATTTTACACGTGATCAAATTCATCTGTCTATCTGTGTACATGTGATCAAAGACTATCTGTCTATTTAAGTACACGTGATCAATTACTCATCTGTCTATTTGGGAACACGTGATCAAACACTTATCTGTCTATTTGCATACAGGGTTTCAAACTTATCTGTCTATTTGTGTGCACGTGATCAAACTTATCTGTCTATTTGTGTACATGTGATCAAAGATTATCTGTCTATTTGTGTACACGTGATCAAACACTATCTGTCTATTTGTGTGCACCTGATCAAACACTAATATGTCTATTTGTGTGAATCTATGTAAGAAAGTCCCGGGAAAAAAAGTTTCTGGAAAAAAAACCTGGAAATAAAAACTTTGGAAAAAAAGTCTGAATATTATCAAGACCTTGGAAAAAATGTCACTGGAAATAAAGTCCTATGTTTTGGATTCCTGGGACTTTTTTTCATAATATAGTATGGGGGCTGCCAATAAAGTCTCAGGAAATAAGATCCCAGGAAAAAAGTCCTGTAGAAGATAAATCCGAGGAAAAGGATAACCTAGAATTGTGAATCATGCATTTTCAATTGTTAGAGGACTTTTTTGTATAAAATCATACTGGAGCCAGAAAAAAAGTCCTAGAAAGGACTTTTTTTCCACAGGACTTTTTTATTGTGAAATTTTAGGACTTTTTTCCGGAAACTTTTTTTCCAAGGACTTTTTTGTCGGTTACCTATTTGTGTACACCTGATCAAACACTATCTGTCTATTTGTGTGCACGTGATCAAACACCATCTGTCTATATTTGTGTGCACGTGATCAAACACTATCTGTCTATTTATGTGCACGTGATCAAACACTATCTGTCTATTTGTGTGAACGTGATCAAACACTATCTGTCTATCAAACACTATCTGTCTATTTGTGTGCACGTGATCAAACACTATCTGTCTAATTGTGTACACGTGATCAAACACTATCTGTCTAATTGTGTGCACATCAAACACTAATCTGTCAATTTGTGTACACATGATCAAACACTAATCTGTCAATTTGTGTGCACGTGATCAAAGACTATCTGACTATTTGTATACACTTCATCAAAAACTTATCTGTTTATTGATGTACACGTGATCAAACACTATCTGTCTATTTGTGTGGATGTGATCAAACACTAATCTGTCTATTTGTGTACACGTGATCAAACACTAATCTGTCAATTTGTGTGCACGTGATAAAAAAATATTTGTCTATTGTACACATGATCAAACACTATCTGTCAATTTGTGTACACATGATCAAACACTAATCTGTCAATTTGTGTGCACGTGATCAAAGACTATCTGACTATTTGTATACACTTGATCAAAAACTTATCTGTTTAATGATGTACACCTGATCAAACACTATCTGTCTATTTGTGTACACGTGATCAAACACTAATCTGTCAATTTGTGTGCACGTGATCAAAAATATTTGTGTATTGTACACATGATCAAACACTGTCTGTCACTTTGTGTACACATGATCAAACACTAATCTGTCAATTTGTGTGCACGTGATCAAAAAATATTTGTCTATTGTACACATGATCAAACACTAATCTGTCTATTTGTATACACGTATTTAATGACTCATCTGTCAAACACATTATATAATGATGTAATTATGTACATATGATCAATCTACATATTTGGGATCAAATAATCCTTTGTCCATTAAACTAATTCATTATTCTACATTGAAAGTAAACCTACTCAACTTAAACTTTTTAACCCATGGTCTACCGAGTTCCCAATCAAAATTTGAGGCAAATAGGTCAAGGGGTTCATTAGTAATGATCAGACATACAAACAAACTACTTTACTACTTTATATTTAGATTAGCTCGGGAATCCAAATTTACCTGGAAACTAAACTTTCACTATAAATGCCAACCCACTCATCTTAAACATTCCTATGGTTCTACCGAGTTCCTATCATCAAAATTTGAGGCAAATTGGTCCAGGGGTTCATGAGCTATGATCGGACATATAAACAAACTACTTTCCTACTTTATCTTTAGATATACATGCAGGTTCGTTTAACGCTGAAATAAATTGAAGAAAATAATCATCAAAAATCTGAACGAGTTTGCATTGATTAATTTGTGCTGAATTAAATTGAAAAGAATGATCTCAATTATTCTCCGAAACCGATGNGCTCCTCTCTATCCTAAAATATAAAAATATGAAGAATTTGAGGAGCTGATACAAGGATTGTTGAACCTGAGAATACGGGGTGAAATATTAGCTTGAAATTGTTTTCATGGTTCCTTAACCCTAGATCTAGTCTTTCTGCAGGTTCAGCTAGATTTAGAATTAAGAATAACATATTTCAGTTTATTAAACTTTTGCTAAACCCCACTCCCTTCACCCCCCCCTCCACAGAATCTGTGCAACAACTTGTCTTCCACAGCCTCCTTCTACCCTTTTCTCCCCATTTCCCCCCTTTTCTTCACTTTTCTCCCCTTTTCTCCACTTTTCTCCCATTTTCTCTCTTTTTTCCTATTTTCTCTCAATTTCTCCCCTGTTCTCCCCTTTTTTCTCCTCTATACTCCCCCTCCAAACTCCTCTCCCCCCTCCGTTCAATAAGAATTATATAATTTTTGTTATGATTTTTATGAAAAAGTGAGCTGAGTAAGATTTTCTCCAATTCATTACCTTCACACTTATTATTTCAAAACAATGATAAAACTTGTTTAGAAGATAGTTGATCGACTCCCCATTCCCTTACTACTTAGCAACAACAGTCTAATACAGGGGGCGGAAACGTCATATGTGTGTGTCTGTACCAAAATAGTGTGTGTAAAGAATACCAAACCGAAGGCGTGTACCGTAGGTAAATAGCAGTACATAAGAATCTGGGTATTTGTACAGTCTAGGAGGGTACATTTGTTTATTGTTAATTGTTTACTTAAAAATAAGTTTAATATAAATGTAATATATTATTTACATATTTAAGTCAACACTATAAAGACAAATTTTCATGCAAAGAATATGATTTGAAAGTTTACAATAAACTACTCGTTATTCAAGCTTAAATATAATTGACGACATTATTCTGCAATTTCCTTGACTGTAAGCATGTTGTGTGTCTGTACCAAAAGAGTGTGCGTGTGTGATACCGAACTCGTCTGCAAAGCAGTGCGACTGGCTTTCTCATGCCAGACCAGCGCCATTTCCTTTTATTCCTATTCCCTGGTCTAATATGGTAACAATTAACATCATGAGTTTAAAACTTTTCTGTTAATTCTACAACGCCCAATTTTATATCCTCGGCAAACAGTATTTAATTGTTTAATTCTGATACTTTCTCAATTGCTTCTTATAAGCAAGAAATACGGAAATAACTTTTCCAGAGAAACCGCAGATGAAAATAAACAGTTTAAAGAAATAAAACATGTATAGCTAAAGTTTTATTTAATCAGAGCTGAAAACTTTAGAATGGTGGATATCAGGAGTAATGCTTAATCCACTCTTTTTCTTAATCTTGAGATTAAATATTGCTTGTTCTCCTCTCATTTTTAATCTCCAGATTAATTATCCGATCAGGATTAAGGATATCCCATTCAAAAGTTTTCAGCTCTGACAAAGTTTTTAATGGAACTGTTGTAAATCCGCGAAAAATTTCAGTTTTTTGGGACTTTTTAAAGAGATTGATAATAAGTTCTCTGGCTTGTTCGTATATATACAGAGCTGAAAACTTTAGAATGTGATATCTAATCTTGCTCTCTTAATTAATCTGAAGATTAAAAATGAGAGGAGAACAAGCCATATTTAATCTGGATATTAAGAAAAAGAGTGGATTAAGCCTTAATCCCGATATCCACCATTCTAAAGTTTTCAGCTCACTATACACAACACATAACTTAGTTGGGTTTGATAATGCAATCATAACATCTTCATGATTAATGCTAAAAAATAACTCCTAAACTATAAAATGATTTACAACAAAAACAAAAAAACAGTTCAGTTATCTTTTTTTTTAATTTTACAAATTTCCTAACTTTCCTTCATAATTCATTCTACAAGTTATTATTGTGAGGACCAAAAAGGTTGGTTAACTTTTAGCTCCCATTTATTACAAAATGATCGTCAAGGCTAAAAAACGAAAACATATTCTTTTTTCTTGATTTACTTTGCACCTTAGGGCACAAGTTTTAGAAAGGTTAAATCCCACTTTTCTGTTCTTAGATTATGAAAATATATCTTTTAACGCGGCCTGCAACTTTTTTTATCTCCGTATTGTACTAACTTTTAAGCAGTTTATGAAAGTTGTATTATAAATACAGAGTCTAAAGCAGAAAAAACTGGATAATTCACCAATTGGATCATTATCATATCCTTCTTATGAGATTATCATGCTATATGATATAGAGATTTCTAATTATCCATTCCTTCGACTCTGCAGGTATATACCCTTGACTTTAACTATTAAATAACCATTAAACAACCTGACCCAAAAAACTTTTTAGTTTACATACTTTGTAAATAAACCTTTAATACTTTATCATAACTATTGAACTTTACCAATAAACAAATTTATGAGTTTCATTAAACATATTTTAAAACAAAAATCTAGTTTAACGAAAAGATAAAAAAGGAAGAATTTTTGGACCCCCCACACAGTACACAGTAGTTGAAGGTTGTGGGTATATTTGAGGTATATTGTGTCAATGCATCAATAGAGAATAATAAACCAACTCTGAAGGTTTGTTTGGAACCATAGCTCAGGAATCAAGGAGCAGTTTCACTTTTGTGAAAGTAAGTTCAGAATTCAAGATCCAGGTTAAGAACTAGAATGGTTTCCGGATTAAAATACTGGGAGTTTAAACCATATTTGTTGGATAAATGATTAATTCTTTCATTCAAAGATACCATTGCTCTCCTGATGCCCAAGAAGCAATTTTTCAACCTTTCTTTAACATTCTTTACTTCTTATTTTCTTTCTACAAATAATGAATTCGATGTAGGGTAATACAGAGCAAGGAGGAGGGCGGGGGGAGAAAGGTACTTACATTTTGAAGGAAGGATGGTGATCTCTTTTGCCTGGAAGTGATCGTCATCGAAGTTAGCTCCCTGATCAGAAAGCATCCCTTCCTCGGATTCTGTTTCCATCTACAGAAACCAAAACATTTAAATCCATTTCTTATAAAATATCCAAATTAAACTCATAAACCAGAGAAATATCAATATTCCAGAGTAAGCTCTAATATCCAGAGTAAACTTTAGTGTTCAATGTACACCTTGGTATCCGGAGTAAACCCTTGTATTTATAGTAATCTATAGTATCTAAAGAAACCCCAGTATTCAGAGTAAACTTAAGCATCTAGAGTAAGTCCAGAATAAATATTGTTATGTAAAATAAGCCTTGCTTTTCAAAAATCGGTAAAGAAGAAGAGGCCCTTCGGGGTTCTAAAAGAGGCGAGCTAGGGTGGGATTGATTCAAGAGGCCTTGTATAGGGGTTGAAAGATGCTATTGTTTTATATAGGGTTGGATGGAACTTGATGTAATATGATCCTGTAAACTGTTGTACCTGGATACAAGGGACAATACCAAGTTTTTCCTTTGTTTTTGACCTGACCCTGTACCTTCCCCTTACCTTTCTATCAAACAACTCGTAAACAATGATGACGCCGTTCAGAAAGTGGATGCGTAAATTCAAACAATACAAATTTTTTGTCAGGAAATAACCTCAAAATGCATTATTAAAAAAGTGACGCCTGTGTAGAAGAAAGTCTGAGAGTAAATTATGTTCAAAGTCTAAGAATGAACTGGAGCAGTCTGAATGATTGGTTCCTTGCGAATCATGTTTTTGATATGGTGGCTTCCAGGGATCTGGGATAGAGTCACATTAGGAGCAGAGTTCAGTCCAAGCTTTCTCAGAATCTCAGTCTAGATACAAATATCATTTTTTCATAGATCATAAAGTTAATGAAGTAAACTATTGATTATACTTTTGTTCACAAAATAGAGTCAATTACAACTTATTGAGTTAATTTGGAAAAAATTATAATTCAGTAAATTTCGCAAAGTAATTGAGTCTTCGCTACCAACGCGAATATTGTCTAATCCCTATATTTTTGCAACCATGTGGGGTAACATTTTTATATTTCAAACTTGGATTATTTGATCCAACATAATTCATAGTTTGAAATATCTTATGTCTACGACATTGGGTTGCAAAGATTTAGGGATCAGAAAGAGTTTGTGCCAAAGACTCAGTTACTTTGTTAGTGTTTCAAAAAATCACTAAAATTCATGCAGGCTTTTTTTTAATTGATGCACAAAAAGAAATTGGGCCCGACCGGTTACGTTACTGGATAAAAACCAACAGATGCATGATGACATCATGATTAAATTGTATAATAATAGAATTCTAAATTAAATATAAAAAAAATCAAACTCTATTAATAATCAATATTCAATATATTTATAAATCTAAGAAAGGAATTTAGGTCAAATTTTTCAAATGATGATTCAATGATTGAATATGAAATAAAAGCGTTCACAACAACTTATAAAATACATTATTAGATAGATTATTCCCATTATTGGCATCGAACAAAGGATTTGCTCCAAAATGATAAAATCGAGTCCAAGGTTTGGTATTTCAAAACTTCAAATTCTAAAATTAATAGTTTGAAATGTCTAAGGTATACAACATTGGGTTGCAAAGATAATGGGATTGATAAATCACAGTTTGTGGTGAATACTCAATTCCTTTAATGTAATTGCATGATGCCCTGAAGAAGATAGAAGACAATTATGTTACCTTAATATTTTGTTTTGTAAATTGCTTAAATTCTTGTCTATTGGCACATATTGGGGATTGGCACATGGATCCTTCTCCGACAAGAACCAGGAGCAGAACCTAAACAGGAGATATCAAACACTTTGAACAAGAAATCAGTTTCTTAGAACACAACCAAGGGTCTAGGAAATGGAACAAGAACAATAAGATGAAACTATATATATGATTTAGAGAACTGAACAAGAACAAGATATATTGGAGAACTCAACAAGGATGGGGATACTATTGAAAACCATGATAAGCAGAAGAACGGGACTCACTAAAGAGTACTAGATATTTGCTCAGTTTTCTGCAAATCAGTGCAGTTCACAACATGCAATTTATATATTTTAGCCAGAGATATCAAACCAAGAAAAGATATCATGTATGAAACTCTTCTCCAGATGCAAAGGAAACCATAGAAAGGAAGTTTTACAAGTAAACATATATCAAAATGTTATTGTTAAGAGATAATGAGAAGGAATTTAAAATGTGAACCAATATTTAGGGAGAGGAACCATAAGGAGTTGAACAGACTATAAACATAAGGTTAACATGGGGAACCATAAAAACGGAGATGAACAATGGAACAATAAACAGGGGGTAAAAAGGGGAACTATAAACAGAGGGTAAACAGGGGAACTATAAACAGGGGGTAAACGGGGGAAATATAAACATGGGGTAAACAGGGGAACACTAAACAGGGGGTAAACAGTGGAACTAAAAACAGGGGGTAAACAGTGGAACTATAAACAGGGGGTAAACAGTGGAACAATAAACAGGGGGTAAACAGGGGAACTATAAACAGGGGGTAAACAGGGGAACTATAAACAAGGGGTAAACAGTGGAACTATAAACAGGGGGTAAACAGTGGAACAATAAACAGGGGGTAAACAGTGGAACTATAAACAGGGGGTAAACAGGGGAACTATAAACAAGGTTAACAAGGGAAATTTAAAAAGGAGATAAACAGGAGAACTATAAACAGGGGGTATAAAGGGTACCCTGAACAGGAGATGAAAAGGGAACCATGAACAGGAGATGAAAAGGGAACCATGAACCGGAGATGAAAAGGGAACCATGAACAGGAGATGAAAAGGGAACCATGAACAGGAGATGAAAAGGGAACCATGAACAGGAGATGAAAAGGGGAACCATGAACAGTAGGTGAAAAGTGTGCAGGAGAACTTTAACCAGGTGGAAAACTGTGTATATTACAAAGCAGGAGAAAAATCTAATATAAACAGGGAAACCATTAATCGGAGAAAACCAGAGAATCATGAGAAGAATTTCTATAAAAATTACAAGAAGAAATTTTTCAGCTTCGAAGTAAAAATATAAGATTGTTATTAACTTCTTTTTTCTTAATAAAATGCCTATCTTGTCACTGAAAAAAAATCAATAAGTCTTTGCCAGACCAGGATACCAACACTGAAGTAATACAAGCTAGGGGCTATTTAGATATACTAATATTTTTACGGCAAAAAGAATAAATTGAAGCGTTTTGGACGCATTATATAAGAATAATTCATCTGGTTTAAATATTTGATTCCATAACTTTATATTAGATAGATATATTAATAAGTTGACAAAATATGCAAGGTTTAGGGTCGAAGAGCAGTTTTCATTTTCGTTTAATCTTTCTCCGTCAAGTTTCAAACTTACCAGGAGAGAAAAGAAGAAAGGATTGAGAGAAAACTTATTCATAATTAAAGATTTTAAAATCACTGAGGTCTGAGAACGCCAACCCCTTTCCACATATAGACTTTCTTGTAAGAATGTCTTTACAATTTATATGGGTTTTAGCAGGAGGGTGAATAGGGGGGTGGAGGAATAACCCAACCCGCAACCAATGCCCGCCAACCCACCCTACTCCCGTCCAATCCCTGAGCTCTAACCTATAGATCGACCAATGAGAGAAGGAATAAAGAGAGGATGAGCGCGGGGTTAAGAACGGGTAAGCTAGAAACTTCACAGGCGACATCTTTCATTTAAACTCTAATCAGCCTTCTCCAGGGGTTGGGAGAGATCTTTTCTCTGGAACCTGATTTATATCAAAACCTCTTTCCACTCTTCTTCCGTTTTTATAAACATGATGGTTTTCCTTTATCATGTATTCACACACAAAATAATATTATTAAATGCAAAATTAATGGAGAATACTTTTAGATGATGATAGAGAGAAAAAATCCAATTAAATCAAATAAAAGAATTGTTATGGGATAAAATTATGCTAAACCGAGTACCAAAATTTTGCTTTTAAAAGATAAAATTATCCTAAACCGTGTTCCAAAATGTTGCTTTTAAAGGATAAAATTATGCTAAACCGTGTTCCAAAATGTTGCTTTAAAAGATAAAATTATGCTAAACCGTGTACCAAAATTTTGCTTTTAAAAGATAAAATTATGCTAAACCGTGTACCAAAATTTTGCTTTTAAAAGATAAAATATGCTAAACCGTGTACCAAAATTTTGCTTTTAAAAGATAAAATTATCCTAAACCGTGTACCAAAATTTTGCTTTTAAAAGATAAAATATGCTAAACCGTGTACCAAAATTGCTTTTAAAAGATAAAATATGCTAAACCGTGTACCAAAATTTTACTTTTAAAAGATAAAATATGCTAAACCGTGTACCAAAATTTTACTTTTAAAAGATAAAATATGCTAAACCGTGTTCCAAAATTTACTTTTAAAGGATAAAATTATCCTAAACCGTGTACCAAAATTTTACTTTTCAAAGATAAAATATGCTAAACCGTGTACCAAAATTTAGGTTTTATTAAAGATGACAATGTGATGCAATGATATATGTAAAATAGATTTGAGAACAAACCTCACTGAAGATTGGAGCAACTCCATGAAACATACACCGTGACTGAGGATGTAAATCTGTTTTTTGAATGAATAATAAAGTGATTAAAATGATGTATCTGTATATTGCATTTATTTTTGTTGTAATGTTGAATTAGAAAAAATGCTATTGCTGAGGGCTCATTTGTAAACCTGATTAAAAACAACCTCCTATACTTGGGGGGCCATGCTAGGTTCCACACAAAATACTGAACGTATAAAGATTAGGCCTTGTACAGTTTTTGAGCAATAAACAGATAGACAAGACAAAAGAGCTAAACACTCGTCTCAAAATGTAATTTTCTAATCTTTTATCTTTGCAACCTGATGGTTTAAACCTTTGATATTTCAGTACTTGTCTAATTGTAGAGATCTAAGTTCTAAAACGTAGTCCGTAAATTTAAAATTTGTACAATATGGGAAAGAATTACAGTGGTCACCAAAAAAAGCAAAGTAGGAAGATAACCTGAAAAACTTATTTACCTGTAACCCATACCAACACACACACATCTTATTTACCTGTAACCCATACCAACACACACACATCTTATTTACCTGTAACCCATACCAACACACACACATCTTAAATTCAAATTTTGATTTTCTAATCCCTGTTGTTGACTTTTAATATTTCAACCTATGAATCCTGCTTATAGATCAACAATCTTAGTTTATGATATAAAAAAGTTTACAGGGTCAGGTTGCCAAGATATAGGGAAAAGAACATTTGAGTTTTAGAAATCCACAGAAAAAACAAGAAATGCTACAAACTCCGATTTTCTAATCTAAGTACATGATTACATTTCTCAAAATCTAATTTTTATACCTTATATCTTTACAGCCTGATTTGAGATATCAAAGATTGCAAAGATATAGGGGTTGATAAAAATTTCTTTATCACCCTAATAACTAGTTACAGTGCGGATATAAGGGAAACACTTTTATAATTTTTATCAAAATTAACAACACTTATTTAATAAATTCAAACGTGTGTTTTTTAAGACAATTTTGTTATAATTAGTCTTTGAAATATCACTAATAGAGATAACCCTTAATATTTTACTATTGGAAAAAGATTGAAGATTTTAGTTTTTCAAAATCTAAATTATTGCTGAAAGTGTAAATCATTCTCTGCAGAAACCCAATACTTACTTCTGCTAAATTAAGGATGAAACAATAGGGATTAGAAAAGTTGTTTGTTTGTGGCAAAGACATATTTCCTTTATGAGACAATCAATTCAGTGTCTTCATTCTTTTTTCTGAAATCAAACAATTTGAGTAATTTTTCGGTTTCCAAAATGGACCGGGGTTGTTTCAGTGTCAATTACTAAAGAGAGGTGTAAAAGGTGGTTAGACCCAATATAACTCAATTCACCTAATATTAAACCACTGTAGGTTGGGTTCAGTGACCCTAGCGCACTCAAATTCTAATAAACCTGTGGAAAAATTAAATAAATCATATCCTTAACTGTTTAAGTTTAAATATAACAATTTCATATGCATACCTTAGTATTTTTCTCATATTTAACATCTTAAAAATATCTTTCTACATTTTTTTAAGTTAAAGTTACAATTTTCAAAAAAAGTTGAATGATTAACTGTTCAATGATTGCTTGTGTGTCACACTTTTGTGCGTCCTCATTATTTCGTCGCCTTCAATGCATTCACTAATCAGTGAATACATTTTATACTTCTGTCATCATTGATAATTCAAGTTGCCTTCTTCATAATTTGAATAACTTGATATTTGTACATTGGTCCATCAACCTGGAGACTAACCAGGGCGAGATGCATTCGGTTTCTTCTATTGCAATTCAATCGCGTTTTGGTCTGGTTTTGGTCTGGTTTTGGTCTGGTTTTGGTCTGGTTTTGGTCTGGTTTTGGTCTGGTTTTGGTCTGGTTTTGGTCTGTTTTTGGTCTGGTTTTGGTCTGTAACTCAACTATCTTTAAACTTACAGAGTTGTCTGTGCATACTTTCTCAGAGAAAAGGATATATGCCGAAAAATATAATGAGAAAAGGTGAAAAATGTATGTCTAGTGTGTCAATTTGTGGAAATGCAAAGCTTCCTGGGATAAATCGGAACTGTTTATTCAGCATGCCATGTCCCAAATAGTACAAGTATGGTTACAACGCAAAGGGTAGCCCTTTCAAGGTCGCAGAACTCCTTTTTAACATGTTTCTCCAAGGAGAAGTGCAGGGGTGAGAACCTCCCGCCCCCCCTCTCTCCATCCTCTGGCCCCGTGCAGTGCAAAGAGGACGTAATTCTCCGTATCTAGAGAGTTCATCTTATTCCTTACTTTCCCTCAACTCGAGATATATGTATTCATAATGATTGGTCAGCACTTTATCTTTCAGTAGTTTATAGTCATACTTTCAGTATAGTAGTGGCGAATAGTCATAGTTAGATCTGAGGAAATTAATAGTTTCTAGTCATTTCTAGAATATATCAGTAGTTACTTGTCCTATCTAGAATATATCAGTAGTTATTTGTCATATCTAGAGTATATTAGTAGTATCTAGTTATATCTAGAGAATATGAGTAGTAACTATAGTCATATCCAGAGAATATTAGTAGTTACTTGTCATATCTAGAGAATATCAGTATTTACTTGTCATATCTAGAGTATATTAGTAGTTTTACTTGTCATCTTTACAGTATATTAGTAGTCATACTAGTCATCTATAAAGTATATTAGTAGTTACTAGTCATGTATAGAGTATTTAAGTTGTTACTTGTCATCTATAAAGTATATTAGTAGTTACTAGCCATCTATAGAGTATATTAGGGTTTTTAGTCATCTATAAAGTATATTAGTTGATTCTAGTTATCAATAGAGTATATTAGTAGTTACTAGACATCTTTAAAGTATATTAGTGGTTACTAGTCATCTATAAAGTATATTAGTAGTTATATTAGTCATCTATAGTGTATATTAGTAGTTATACTAGTCATCTATAAAGTATATTAGTAGTTATTAGTCATCTATAGAGTATATTAGTAGTTTCTAGTCATCTATAAAGTATATTAGTTGTTTCTAGTCATCTATAAAGTATATTAGTAGTTACTAGACATCTTTAAAGTATATTAGTGGTGACTAGTCATCTATAAAGTATATTAGTAGTTATATTAGTCATCTATAGTGTATATTAGTAGTTTCTTGTCATCTATAGAGTATATCAGTAGTAACTAGTCATCTATAGAGTATATAAGTCGTTTCTAGTGACATGTTCGGTGTATTTATAATAATAGTCATATCTAGATTGTATTACCAAAAATCGTCAAATCTAGAGTGTATTTTACAATAAATTCTTTAGTTTTTCCAATTTGTATTAGTATAAGAGATTTGTATATATTAGTAGTCATATCTTTAAGAGTGGTTACTAATCATAGGGAATATTAGTAGTTTCTATGTGTAGAAATATAAAGTATATTTGTGTAATAACTAATGTTTTTTTAATTTAATTTTAAACCTGCATTTTTGTGATTTCAGATAAAAAGCTTCTTCATCCTATTCTATCTTATTGTATCTAATTCAATTTTATTCTATCTTATTCTATCCTGTTCTTTTCCATTCTACTTTATTCTATTCTTTTCTACTCTATTCTATTCTATGGAGCCGGAGCAAGCAACAACAAGATTTCAAAAAGTAGGTTCATCTTTTAAACGAAATTAAAATCAAAATTAGATTTTTTATTTCTTAAGTTTAAGCCTTCGTATTCTGCAGTTTGCCATATTACACTTGCCATAATTACACTTAATTACACTTTGCCATAATTATAAGTAATTATAATTACAATTGACATCAAACAATTCCAATACTTCACATCTGTGAAGAGGAGCTAGGAACTAGCTACATAAGGTGAAGTAATTCCTGTTAAGTGAAATAATGTGATAACCATTCCTAGTAGTTTTGCAGGCCACTAAAAAGTACACCATTGAAAAAAAGAATTCTGATTTCAACCAGTTTGTAAACTAAAGTTGAGAATTTTTATGAGAAATTTGGCGCATTTATAAGACTTAAATTTATATCTTTGCCAAAATAAGAAAATTATGGCAAGTGTTACTTATGGCAAAAGTGCTTATGACAAGTGTTACTTTTGGCAAACGTATTTATGGCAAATGTTATTATGGCAAACGTATGTATGGTCAAATAAAACTGAGCCAATCAAATGTTAAATAAGCTGGAATAAAAGATATGCCAAATAAGTTTATTTTAATCCCATTATTTTTGGACTTTTGGCTGATTCAAATAAGTTGCGGCCGATAATTGGTATAATTTCAGTCATTCTAATGGAAATATTATAAAAACACAAAAATACAAATAATAGAGTTAGATTTAAAACGTATTTAGATTTGTTCTTAAATTTTATTTTTTCCTTAAAAATGTTTTTTAAAAGCTAATGAAAATAACTATCATCAGATAAAAACTTTTTTGTAAATAATTATTTTTATTTAAATTTCTAGTAATTGAATAATGATAACACCGTACTAATAGTGTACGCATAGCCATTCTCACTAATTAGATATCTAATAAAAGGAATTGAGTTTTTGCCACAAACTCAAATTTCTGAATTACAATATATTTATAACTTGAAATATCAAAGGTTCACAGCATTTGGTTGCAATTCCGTTAGATCAAATAGTCTAAGTTTGAAATATATAAGGTTTTTACAATCAGGTAGCAAAGATATAGGGATTAGAAAATTTTAGTTTATGACAAAAGCTAATAAAAACTAAATATGTATTTAACACTGCCCCTAAAAATTAAGATATTATGATACCGGTTTTAGAGTTCAAAATGTTGTTGATGTTGGCATTTTGTGATGATAGCTGCAAATTTTGATAATATCAGACAGAATGATATACATGAATTTTTTAATCCTCTTCCTCAAAACATAATCTATATTCAGATGCATGATTTTAAATTAAAACATAATGAACTGAAATCTAGAATTAAATGGCGGAGGCTCCATTGCACAAACAAAAGTAATGAAAGGACCGTGCATTAAATAATTTACTAAAAGTTCAGGACAGTTTGTGGAAACTGGGGGGTTTTTCCAAAAGCTAAAATTTTCGAATCCCTAAAACTTTCCTACAAGATTGTGAAAACCTTTGATATTTCAATCTTAGATTATTTATTTTGCCAAGGATAATAGTTTGCACTATCAAACGTAGCGACTTTTGGTTGCAAAGATATAAAGATTAGAAAATCAAAGTTTGTGGCAAAGACTCAATTTCTTTATATTTGCAATTTGATTATGAGGCACGTAAACACTGTTTAACATATCTAATCCAGAGTAGGATTTTTTAAAAACTATATCCTTTTGCAGTACATATTAATGATACATACTAGTATGCGGTTTCCAACCAATTTTAAAGGTTTACGTTTACAAAACAAATTTATTATTTATACCTATTGTATACTTGTTTAAATGCAATAATGTTTACTTAAGAGCATATACTAAGAAATAAGGTTAAAAAATCGACAAAAACAATCAAACAATTTTGAAAAGCAGCAAAAAAATATATTTTGATCTAAAAATATATTTTTCTATATAAATAGTTTAAATGTTGTGAAACGAGATTTCCTACGGTGGGAACATAGTAGAATGCTGAGTTGGTAGGCTCTGGAATGTTCTTATTTAAAGTTCTATGAATTAAACTTTATTCATGAATTGCAAAGACATGGTTGCGTAATTTTTAGCACAATTACTTGTCCAACAGAATAGTCAAAACTGCAGAAAATACTTTAAATAATTAAAAAATAATTGGCGGATTTTTAAAAAAGAACGTCTGACGCTGACTCGAACATTTTATTTTTTTTCTTGTTGCGTCTACTGAGTCTACTGAGTCCACTACGTAAATTCATAAACTTGAAATATCTATTCAGAGTTTATTTCATATTTTCTTAAAAACTACGCAATAGAATTACATGAACTAGTTTAAACCTAATCAACCTTTCTCATGTTATATCCTCGAGACAGATTACATAATACTTGATAATTATCTCCTCTCCCTGATTTATAAAACTGCAAACTTAAAAAATAGATCTTGGAAAAATTTAATTAAAAATTCTAAAAATTATTGTGTTGAAACCCGTGAGAATGATAACGCAATTTTAAGTGATTCATGCTTTGTTTTTCTATTTTCTATTCCTAACTAGTTTCCTTTTCGACGCATTCTGTACAAAGTGCAACAAAAATATCAGATACAATTTATGTACATTATGTATACAATAAACTCTTCCTGTGTTTAATCAGATGGACATTTTAACAATTCATTTTTCACTTCTCTGACATTTTTCCACTTTGAATATTTAAAATATTTTGATATTTTAGATTTTGATATTTTAGATGACAAGATCTCTATCCTTCAAGTTTCCGTCCCAGCTCTCAGTAAAGAAGCATGAAAGTCACAAGCAGCCAAAGAAACTAGATGCTGACAACTGGATCAAGGGGAGACAGACAGGATCTACATTAAAGCAGGAAGCTCCGCCTCAGAATATCAGGTAGACTTTGAGGATTAACTTATTCATTTAAAGCTCCGCCTCAGTATATCAGGTAGACTTTGAGGAATAACTTATTCATTTAAAGCTCCGCCCCAGAATATGAGGTATAAATGAAGGATTAATTTATTGATTTGAAGCTCCGCCGTAGAATATCAGGTTAGTGGAGGATCCATTTAGTAATTTAAAGCTCCGCCCTACAATATGAGGTAGGCTAGTGGAGGATCCATTTATTGATTTAAAGCTCCGCCCTAGAATATCAGGTAGGCTAGAGGTGGATCCATTTATTGATTTAAAGCTCCGCCCTAGAGGCTAGTGGAGGATCCATTTATTGATTTAAAGCTCCGCCCTAGAATAGGAGGTAGGCTAGTGGAGGATCCATTTATTGATTTAAAGCTCCGCCCAAGAATAGGAGGTAGGCTAGTGGAGGATCCATTTATTTATTTAAAGCTCCGCACTAGTATATGAGGTAGGCTAGTGGAGGATCCATTTATTGATTTAAAGCTCCGCCCTAGAATATCAGGTAGAAATTGTCACGTCTTAAAAGGTCTGTAAGCGTAATTTTCAGTGACCTTTGACGGTGATAGCCTTTAAACCTTTAATTAAACATCGAGGACAGAAAACTAGGTGTATATATCTCTTAAATGCTTCGTAAAAACCCGTAAAGTTGGAGTTTATGCTACCATACTGTAAAGACTCAACATAGATGACGTCACATTTATTCCTGGAAAATCTAGAATATTTTCTGTCCAACGCGGCTTTAAAAAATTCGAATGTGAATATTTATATTCCGGGCCTGTGCACTTCTACAGAAAGTAAATATTAGTATTCCTTAAATATAAAACAGCTTACAAACAAATGTCATTTTTGATCAGTCAAGGGTTTGAAGGCTACCGTTGTAAAATAGAAACGCCTATTTTTAAATAGAAGCTAGGTCGACACTTGAAATTACGCTTTCAGTCCCTTTGAATAGAATAATGAGGATTTTAAATGAAATGTCAAGTTTATAGTTCCTTTAAAGGGAGTGACCGGCAATGTATGGTAGTTGATCTGAGAATGTAGTATTGTGGAGAAATATTTTAGGATTCATTTGAGACATATAAAACGTTTTAATGATATATAATTACTGAGTTTGAGCGCAATGTCGAAGTCCAAAATCATCCATTTGGGTAGTTACCTTTTGAGAATCTATTTTTTAAAAATTATTATTCTACAATAAACTAATTAGTTGTTTAGGAAAAGGTTGAGAAAATAAAAATTAACTCTTATGATCGAAAATAAATAATCTTATTCAGTTATTAATTTCTGTATTCTCTCATTGTTCACAAACGTTTTCTGTAGATTTCTGGAATTTTTATTGAAAAGACGACATTTGAATAATTTGTAGATATTGCCCGAACAAATTCGTAAAGAATAAGAATTCTAACATTAATATATTGACAAATTTCTATTGAGAAATATGTTCCTAAGAGTTAATTTTTATTTTCTCAAACTGTTCCTAGACAACTAATTAGTTTATTGTAGAATTTTTGATACATTTTTCGTCGTCGTTATTTAATAATTCGAAAAAACCGATTCTCACAACGTAACCATCTAAATGGATGATTTTGACCGTCGACTTTGGGCTCAAACTCATTAATTCTACACCATTAAAACGTTTTATATATCTCAAATGAATCCTAAAAAATGTCTCCACAATACTACAGGGTTTTATATGAAATATGAATAAAAATAATTACATATATATATATATTTATATTCAATCACGTTTGAGGTTCAAGAAATGTTTAATTTTTAGAATGTTCAACTCTGTTGGAGACAAGAAGTCCTTGTGGGCCAACAAGGTGGAGAGTCATCAGAAGAAGCAAGCTCTCAACCCATTCTCAGACAAATTTGACAAATCTTTAGCCAGGAACCTTCTCAACAAAGATGATCCGAACTATGCTCGCCCTGACTCCAATTCTCTGTCATTTATGCGAGCAAAAGCTGGCGAGGCGAAAATGCTCGGAGAGATTTGTGACGTTTGTGACGTCATATTTCAGCACGGTCAAAGATCCCCTGATGGTACTGCAGCGATAATGTTCGGCCCACTTTTTTCGGTGAATAATTTGCAATTCCATCCTTAAACTGTTAAATTAGAAACAGATAAACTTACATTTTCTCCTGGCCGCACCACATTTTTAACGTTTTAACTTTTGCAACAAACTATGATTTTTAAGCCCTTTATCTATTGATATATTAAAGGTTTATACCATCAGGCTACAAAGATATAGGGTTTAGTAAATTTGAGTTTGTGACAAAAACTTAGTTCATATTTTCTGTAAAACCGGTCTGATCATACTAATCTAACCTACAAGCAAGAATTGTTAATTAATGGGAGAAGAAAGACTTTCGCGGATTTGACAAATCTATAAAATACCTTTTAAACATATATTTTCTTGGTAAAAAAATGACCTTGGATTACAGCTTATTACCGACTGCCGGATGGATAAAGAAAGAAGATTGTTTTCACATTTTTAACTCAAGATTATTTACAACAAATTAAGAGCCAAAATTTATCCCACTGATCTTTTTAATCAACCATTTGTGTTGCTTTTGTCTATGTGCAATTGTGTACTCCATCAATAATGTTTAGATTTATAACCGTATAAACGACAAGTTGGTGGGACTACTCATCAGAGCAAGAAAAAGAGATCTTTTAGATTTTCAGGTATTTTTGTGAATTTTCTTGAATTTCAATGAACATACTTCTCAGGATTACATGATTAAAAGAATTAAAGAATAATGAAATCACACAACAGAATTTTTTTTTAAATCTTAAAATAACCTGTTGTGTAAGCAATTTATCAAGCATGCTAAGTTAATGAGTGAGTTATTTTTATTTCAGGGAGAAATGTTGTATCAGAGACGAGATGATGAGGAGTGGATTGTTCTTACAAAGAATTTAAATACAATCAGAGCAATATTTGGTCGGGACTCAGATCATCCTGCAGGAGGGGAGGTAGACCCAGAGGTAGGTTTGCATCCGGATAGGAGAATAGGTAGACCCAGAGGTAGGTTTGCATCCGGATAGGAGAATAGGTAGACCCAGAGGTAGGTTTGCATCCGGGTAGGAGGGGAGGTAGACCCAGAGGTAGGTTTGCATGCGGATAGGAGTATAGGTATACCCAGAGGTAGGTTTAAAAAATAAAATAAATATAAAATATAATACAAAATAAAAAAATCTGCGTTGGGAAGTACAGGGTGTCCTACGAAACATGACAGTTGGTGAATAGTTTTGAATGTCTTCTTCCATATACTATGTTAAATATTTAAAAAAATTTTGGTCGTTTATTTAGTTTAAAAAATCATTTAATCAAATATATTTTACTTTGAAACCAATTTTACTATGATATGACTTCCAAAATTCCATGTCATATTTTTTTCTGTTTGGTATCAAAGAATTTCTCAAATTATGGAAGAAGACATTTAAAACTAATCATCAACTGCCATGTTTCGTGGGACACCCTGTATATTGTGTTGGATAGTCATAATTCCGTGTTGGCACGTTTAATTTGAGGATCAATGCAATTTAATCTATTAATTTCAGTTTAACTCTTCAGGGGCACAATTACACTACGAATATTGAATACAGATTAAATTATTCTGCAGATTAACAAAACATCGAAATCAAGTATTGATCTCGATTCCCCAGATCTGGTAAAAAAAGCTGACTTCTGTTTAAAAAAAAACAGATAAAAAAATATTTTAATTTTGTTCTAACAATTAATCTTTTTCAGGTCAAGAAGAATTTGATATTTCCTGGAAGTCTAGACAGGAAGGATTCAATGGCCAGTGTCTCTAGTGTTACCAGCCTACCGGCCAACCTATCCCAGAACCATTCATGTGCTGGCATTCTCGGAGCTTCAGCCATAGCAATCGCAGGTTTACCAGTGTTCGGTAAAGACACTGGATCAATAATAAAAGATTCAAAAGACACTGCTGAGGTTCATGAAACAAAGGTGAATCATGAACTGACTCCGGATAGTACTGGGAGTCGGGCTGGATCACGGAGGTCAAGTTTAAAACCTCGAGGATTAAGAGAATCCTTTAGAAACCTGGTGAGACCTAAGGTAAAGAAGCGGGATGTAGAAGCTCCCTGTGATGAGAGCGGAGAGGAGGATGAATATCTAGTAGCTAGCCGTAGAGGAAGCAGGATATCAGAATCCAACCTAGAGGCTCAACCTAGCTCCAGGTGGAAGCGGATACTAGGGGTCAGTCTTGCCATAAGCAGGTTAGTATTTACCAAATAAAGCATACCGTTAGACAGGGACAGTCAGCGTAATTAAAGACACGACCCCTTATCTAAGGTGTACAACAACAAATTCACAAAGTTACGCTTTAAACCTTTAATCATGTAAAAATAACAATGGTTGTAATTCTTTCGTTTCCATCTAAAAACTAAGTAGAGCACACCGTACATACATTACAGTGTTCATATTACATTGTACAGTGCAGGAATAAAAACTAAGTAGAACACTGTACATACATTACAGTGTTCATATTATATTGTACAGTGCAGGAATAAAAACTAAGTAGAACACTGTACATACATTACAGTGTTCATATTATATTGTACAGTGCAGGAATAAAAACTAAGTAGCAACACTGTACATACATAAGAGTGTTCTTATTACATTGTACAGTGCAGGAAACATAATATTGTTATATATATAGCATGAACACCTTTAGCCTAAAAAATGTTGATTAAAAAATATCTCTGTACACTGCACAATCGCCGTGTTTCATGTTAATTTGACCATTATTGTAACTTGAGTTCCACAGTCGTCTTCATATAAAATTTTCTTTCAGTCTTTCTGTACATAAAGTACATTTCCATAGATTTTTCCTAATTCAAGTGTTAAACTGAATGCAAATGATGCGTTAGCTAATCTATATCTGCCACAAATTTCAGATTTCTTAATTTAAGTAAAATCCACCGAATCTAATCTACAGAAACAGGTTGGCCGGGAAACAGAACGAATCTAATCTACAGAAACAGGGTGGCCGGGAAACAGAACAAATCTATTCAACAGAAACAGGGTGGCGGGGAAACAGAACAAATCTAGTCTGCAGAAACAGGGTGGCAGGGAAACAGAACGAATCCAATCTACAGACATAAGGTGGCGGGGAAACAGAACAAATCTAGTCTACAGAAACAGGGTGGCGGGGAAACAAAACAAATCTAGTCTACAGAAACAGAGTGGCGGGGAAAGAGAACAAATCTAGTCTACAGAAACAGGGTCGCGGGGAAACAGAACAAATCTAGTCTACAGAAACAGAGTTGCGGGGAAACAGAACAAATATAATCTACAGAAACAGGGTGGTGGGGAAACAGAACAAATCTAATCAACAGAAACAGGGTGGGGGGGGAATTAGTACGAATCCAATCTACAGAAATAAGGTGGCGGGGAAACAGAACAAATCTAGTCTACAGAAACAGAGTGGTGGGTATATATATACATATACATATATATATGAATATCTGTCAAACAAATGTCAATATTGGCCCATCTTAATAAATCGTAGCAAAGCATCAAGTTCTAATCAATCTGAAACTTTCTTATTTATAAACACATCTTCAACATTTTAAACATATGTTCGATTACCAGAAAGTGTAGCTAAAGAAATATTAACGTTTTTTTTGCAAAAAAGGCCAGTTTCTATTTATTATTTCATTTCTAATCATATGCTCAAGTTTACATCTATAGATTACAATTACATCACACGTAGAGTAGGAGGTATCAAGGAGTAATAGAACTAAGAAGAGGGAAATCACATTGATCCAAAGTATGGAAGATCTTAAGCAAAAATCAATCAGAATTTTGCCAATTGCTTATTAAAAACTAAACAAAAAAAAATAAATGCTCTATAGTTCTAATATGTATATATCTGTACAGCGTGAGCAGCATTCAGTTTCTTCTATTTGAAATCAAATTTGGTTTGTTCTATAATTCAACAATCTTTTAACTTACGGATTTATTTATTCTATACTATTTCATTCAAAATGTATATTTCGACAAAAAAGTATTTAAGAAAAAATGCTAAAATATTATGTTTAATGTGTGAACTTGTGATCGAAAGTCACAGCTTTCTGGAGTATCGAACCAGTCTTAAAGATTGGTGAACCTTTTCATTTGTAACATCTTACTGAGACATATCAAGACAATTCTGAACTAGTTTAATCGTAAACAATAACAACGATTGTAAACTATGCACGGAGTTCCGGAGCAATCAAGGAGTATGAAATAGAAGGGAGATACAACTGACGCGGCCCGCTCTACCATATGATTATACATGTTTTCAGACGGTACTACATTTGTATAAGAAATATTCAGAATAGGTTATTGTATACGCGGTAATTGTACATCAGACAAATATCTCTTCAAATGGAGTACCGTCTGCAAAGCATGTATAATCATATGGTAGCGCGGGCCTCGTCAGTTGTATCTCCCTTCTATTTCATACTCCTTGGGAGCTATGCAGAACAGGGACACGGGAACTAGGGAAATGTCAAGCAATATTGAAATCTTACAGGTTTTCAATCATATCTTCTCAAATTAAAGAGCTATTTTGAAGAACAAAAATGTTTTGCATGTATTAGAATAAATCATCTTTTTTCATACTTTTGCGTAAAATCAAAACTAAAGGAGCTTCGTGGTCACAAACTCGTACCAGTGAAGTCGAATAAATGTTACCTTTTCTTTCTGTCTAGTTGGTAATGGGGAAGGCATTGTTTAATATCAGTTGTTTATTTACATTTATTCTAATACTGCTGGGGAATCAAAGGAAAACTGTTCCTGTCCATTAATGATCGTTTACACATACACAGTTTATGTTAATAAAGACAGACTGAAAGAACTAAACACGTAGTTTAAAATTTAATTTTCTAATCCCTTTATATTTTCACCCTGGCGGTGTAAATCTTTGACATTTCAAACGTTGACTGTTTGATCAAGAAGAGTTTGAAATATAAAAGGTTTACGACATCAATACTTTACTTGGTTTGTTTTAGGATGGCACAGATGACTAAAAGTAGCTCAAAATCTACTCTCAACCTGAAACGATCAGACTCAATTCACTAGTTCCTACTACCTAGAGTTATCCTCGCAACCAACCATGAGGATACATCCTGAACCCAACCTACCCTGAGTAAACATCTTGTTTCACTGAACCCAACCTACCCTGAGTATGCATCTTAATCTCCTGAACCCAACCTACCCTAGTATGCATCTTAATCTTCTGAACCCAACCTACCCTAGTATACATCTTGTTCTCCTGAACCCAACCTACCCTAAGTAAACATCTTGTTCTCCTAAACCCAGCCTACCTTGAGTATACATCTTGTTCTCCTGAACCCAACCAACCCTGAGTAAACATCTTGTTTCACTGAACCCAACCTACCCTGAGATTACATCTTAATCTCCTGAACCCAACCTACCCTAGTATACATCTTGTTCTAATGAACCCAACCTACCCTGAGTATACATCTTGTTGTCCTGAACCCAACCCACCCTAGTATACATCTTGTTCTTTTGAACCCAACATACCCTGAGTATACATCTTGTTCTTTTGAACCCAACCTACCCTAGTGTACTTCTTGTTCTCCTGAACCCAACCTACCCTGAGAAAACATCTTGTTTCACTGAACCCAACCTACCCTAAGTATACATCTTAATCTCCTGAACCCAACCTACCCTAGTATACATCTTGTTCTCCTGAACCCAACCTACCCTAGTATACATCTTGTTCTCCTGAACCCAACCTACCCTAGTATACATCTTGTTCTCCTAAACCCAACCATCCCTGTGTAAACATCTTGTTTCACTGAACCCAACCTACCCTAGTATACATCTTGTTCTCCTGAACCCAACCTACCCTGAGTATACATCTTGTTCTCCTGAACCCAACCCACCCTAGTATACATCTTGTTCTTTTGACCCAACATACCCTGAGTATACATCTTGTTCTCCTGAACCCAACCTACCCTGAGTATACATCTTGTTCTTCTGAACCCAACTTACTCTGAGTATACATCTTGTTCTCCTGAACCCAACCCACCCTAGTATATATCTTGTTCTTTTGAACCCAACCTACCCTGAGTATACATCTTGTTCTCCTGAACCCAACCCACCCTAGTATACATCTTGTTCTTTTGAACCCAACCTACCCTGAGTATTCATCTTGTTCTCCTGAACCCAACCTACCCTGAGTATACATCTTGTTCTCCTGAACCCAACCTACCCTGAGTATACATCTTGTTCTTTTCAACCCAACCTACCCTGAGCATACATCTTGTTCTCCTGAACCCAGCTCTCCCTAGAGTAAACATCTTGATACCCTGAACTCAACCTTTCCCTTAAATTCAACCCACCCTAAATTTTGATGTTAGGTACTTTCAAAAAGGATTTTTCCCAAGTGGCAACTTCCAAAGGCTATTTTCCCAAGTGGCAACTTCCCAAATGTGTAATTTCCCAAGCGGCTACTTACCAAGTCTGTCCCTGCCGCAGCGTTTGGCCCCCAGCCTGTTATAGCCTCGGCGCTCTGCCCTCTAGCCCATCCTAGCCGCAGTGCTCGGCCCCCCATTGCATAGGGGCTTGCCAAACCATTGGGAAGTTGCCGCTTGGGAAATTGCACATTTGAAAGTTGCCACTTGGGAAATTCTCACTTGGGGTCGTCGCCCTTGGGAAAATGCCTTTGGGAAAGTACCTTACACCGAATTTTCATTTGTTTCCCTTGCGAAAGTTCTAAAACTTACTTTGTACAAATTTTTTTATTTATCCATGAAAAAAATATATATAGATATGTATTTTAACTTCATATTTAGTTTCAATAATATGAAATATTGCTCTGATTAATCATGTAACTGTAGCGTGTATTCTAAACTTGTAATTACCTAATTTAAAACATTCAGACTTTTAATAAACTTGAAGAAATTATAGAATCATGTTTTTACAATATACATCTAGTAGCTGGAGTGCCTGGAGTTGCCCAGGTTTGTATTATTATTTATAGCTATTATAGATACTCCCGCCGTTTACCCGCGATTGGTATTGTATCATGATTTTAGCTTAAGTGCCCGGGTTGCCCATGGAATTTCTAAAATTTCCAATTTTTTTTTGAATATTTCACTCCCACCCCACCGGCCCCATGGGGTACTTCTAAAAATGTCAGCAAATTTGGTCTAGCCGTTTGGACAGCTATAGGAAACATAGATATAAATACATATATACATGAACGAAGATTTTTATTATAAAGAGTAATTATCCCCTATCTTTCAATATTGTTTTATTATAAAGAGTAATTATCCCCTATCTTTTAATATTGTTTTATTATAAAGAGTAATTATCCCCTATCTTTCAATATTGTTTTATTATAAAGAGTAATTATCCCCTATCTTTCAATATTGTTTTATTATAAAGAGTAATTATCCCCTATCTTTTAATATTGTTTTATTATAAAGAGTAATTATCCCCTATCTTTTAATATTGTTTTATTATAAAGAGTAATTATCCCCTATCTTTCAATATTGTTTTATTATAAAGAGTAATTATCCCCTATCTTTCAATATTGTTTTATTATAAAGAGTAATTATCCCCTATCTTTCAATATTGTTTTTTGTTCAAACTTTAAAGTTTTATTTTTTCTCTATATCTAACTTACAGTTAACATGTGAATTTTAACCAATAAGTAAGTAATTTTATAACTTCCAAGTAAAGCTATATGCTTTAAACAACATCAAATGCACTTCAGAATTGCTATAATGTCGTCTTCCTATTCCACAATTTTTTGTTTATGACTTTATGTTTCTTATCTATATCTATATATCTATCTATCTATCTATCTATCTATCTATCTATCTATCTATCTATCTATCTATCTATCTATCTATCTATCTATTTAGTTTAAAAATAATTGCCCTCGTCTACACTAGAGAATACAGTCTAGTCCGCATTTACGACACTAAGGCCTGATGTTTATTTGCGAATTTTGACCAGTTTTTGCACTACTGGTGTCCATAACAAACCAGTAAAAAGCAAGGTTTTGCTAACTTTTTGTAAAATAATTTCAGTTTTTCAGAGTTAGTGGGCCGTAAACTGGTAGGTTTGGAGAAGGTTGGGAGAAGGGGGGAGGGAACAATAAACGCCTTGGTAAATATTTAGCTCTATCAGGTTTTCCTTCAGTCCTTCTCCTAATCCAACATTAAATAAATACTAATTGGGAAGTATAGGATTAGTTAGACAAGGTGAACCTAGCTAAACCTTAACAGTAAAAATGTCTTCATATATGGTATTAGAATAAACTCTGCTAATTTTTCATTTGTCATTCAAAAGCCTTCAAGAATGCGACTTAAAGGGAATTTAGAATAATTTTAAGTGCCCCTCCATTTATAGAGTGGCATAAATCATTTTATTTATTTATTTATTTATCAATTTACCTGTTGCATAATTCAACAAGTTACTTATACAGAGAAAGCAAAATTGAAAATGATCAATTTTCAGCTAAAAAAAACACATATATATCGTTAACTTTAATCAGACCAAGATTGGAAGGTTACAAGTGTGAATTGTACATTCCACTATTTTTTTAGTAGAGGTTAACGTCAAATTACGTCTACCGTGTAAATGTTAGACCTAAATATATAGCGTTTAAGAAGAACGTATGATGGCCAACAAAAAGGTAAATAAATCCCCTTTTTAGTGACTTCTACCTTTTCATTTTCTCATTTATCTGACAAATCTTATTAACGTTAAAAATGTACAGTGAATACGATATACAATGCCCAATGCTCCGATAACAGATGTACATTGTACACAGGGCTAAGGTCTAAAAGAGGGCTAGTTTAGCAAGTGAGGTTGGGTGAGTTATTTGATGAAAAACCGGTGAACTTGAACAATATGGTATCCAATCCCAGGGTAACACAACATACATTATATTATACACAGGTTTATACCATCCTTCTTCCTGCAGCTTAATATTATTATAGACATAGCGAAGCTAAGACATACTTACTCAAGTGATAAATCGCAAGATCAATATCATTATTGAAGACATGTGAACTAAAATAGCTTAAATTGAAATAGCTGTTAGTTACTATTGAAATATGTTACATAAATATATCTAAGTGATACACGCATAGTTTAATTGGTAGCTCTTCAGTTCGTGAGCTATTAAACTAATTTTACTAATAGCCACGATGTGTTAAAAGATTTTGATCTGAGTTGACGATTTTTAAATCAATCTGTGAGATTTAGCTAAAACTGTGGCTGGATATATTGCAGTTCATTTCCGATTGGTTATAGAAATCAAACCTACACATAAAACTCACTGATATATATATTCGGATAAAAATCAAACTACACCTCTTGCAGTCCATGGATAGAAATAAAATTTGTATGCAGAGTTTAAATAAGATCTCTCTGTAATCTATTCTTTGTCTGGACCCGTCTGTTAGCTAGGTTTGTAGGTCGGATAGACAACCATTCAGACAACATAGATATTTAAGATTGAACTTTGTCTCAATGTTGTTCATATTCCTTGTTCTCCAGTTCATTCCCGTCTTCAGTCATGAATCATGTGAGAGTTCTGATAAGATCTCCGATTCCTCCGAACCCGAAGCTTGTGAGAAGAAGGATATCTCCTGGTATGACATAGACTACCGAGCCTATATGCTGAAGGACCTAGAGAACAGGGATAGAGGAGAACTTCTACAAACCTACAGAATTAATGTTGCTAAAAGCTCTAGATTAAAACCTAACAGGTAATTTTATATAATTTTTTAATCCTAAAAAATGTTTAAAGGATAATGAATATTGTGCGTTAACTACCTCGCCGGCTTCTGTCCGGCTGGTCAGTCTTGTGAACAGGCACATCCTAGGTAACATGAGTTCAACCTCGTTTATGTAAAATTAGCTGAAGTGCCCAACGTTGCCCATGCAATTTTAAAAAGCACTTATTTTCAATCTATTTTTTAACAGGTAATTTTATATAATTTTTTAATCCTAAAAAATGTTTAAAGGATAATAGCACACATTAATTAATAAATTTCTAATATTAATTCAGAGCATAAAGAAGATGAAAAATTTAAAAAACATTATAATAATTTTTTTTTATTTCGAAAGTGTTAGAAGTTGTTAACCTCTCTCTATTAAAGAACTGTTCCTGATAATCGTCCTGAAGTATGCCGGAGTAAGACCTATAGCAGTGATCTACCTGATGTATCTGTAATTATTACATACTATGAGGAACCTAGATCCACCCTGCTTAGAACCATCGTATCCGTCCTTACTAGAACAGAACCCAGTCTCTTGAAGGTCAAGATCTTTATTACAAATAGAAAATAGAATTTTTTAAATCAAAAATAGTTTAATTTCCAGGAGATAGTTCTAGTTGATGATTTTAATGATGATCCAAGTATCGGAGTAGAGTTGGCGAGGATTGAGAAGGTTAATCTTGTCCGTAATACCCAGAGAGAAGGTTTGATGAGATCTAGATCTCGCGGAGTTGAGATATCTCAAGCGGAAACCGTCCTTTTCCTTGATTCTCATTGTGAGGTTGAACCTGGTTGGTTGGAACCTCTCCTTGAGAGGGTTCAGCTCAATCCCAGAGCAATTGTATCTCCGGTCATAGAAAATATAAACTTTGAAACATTTAAGGTAATGATAAAAACCATCATAATAAAGTTTTAATATTTAAATATACCTAGCTCTGGTCCCTGCAAAGGGCAAGTGTTTAAAAGATTCTCTTATTTACCAAAAAGATATCTCAAATTTTTTTGACGTAATATAAAACCTAAACATTACGAGTTTGCAAAGTTATACCAGTACCATGAAAAATTGAGATTTTATTGATATAATTCTAATAAATTTTAATATTTTTGTTTCATTCAGTTTGAAGCAGTCTCTACATTCCTTCGAGGAGGGTTTGACTGGGGATTAGAGTTTTTCTGGGAGTATGTTACACCATCAGATCGGGCTGAGAAGATTAGGAATCTTGCAAATTCAAACCTTTAAACTTCCAATAATCCATTTAAAAAATCAAATTTTAATCTGTTCTCAAATTATCGTGGACAATTGAGATATCCTGGGACCACATTTAAACTTCATATACCGCCGGTTCAAATTTGAATCACCGATTCAATCCTTCCTTAAATTTTAACTTTGAATAGGTGGTTCAAATTTGAACCGGCAGTTGGTAGTTCAGCGACGTTGCTTAAGTTTATTTTAACAAAACTTTAAAATCAAGAAAAATTCTAAGATGATCTGTTTAGAGATCCCAGTTATCCGGTAGCAACGCCGGTCATAGCAGGCGGACTGTTTGCAGCTAGCAGGTACGTGTAATATAATCATAACATTATTATAATAATATTTGCAGTTTTTTTCTGTTGAAAGCATGAAAATATCAGGCCATTGCCTGTCGTATTTGTATTAGTTAATGAATATGAAATTTTTGAATAGTATTGAGAGTACACATTATCCAATTGATTTTTGAGGAAAAATGATTTTGTACCAACATTTTTTTTCCTATGTATCAAAGCAATATTAATGTTCTTGGTCAACTTCATTTCACTATTTTTAAACCTAAAACTTGAACACTGCAAACATTTTCATTATGTTTATATAAATCTAGGCCCATCTAGGCCCTGATTCCTCAAAATTAAAAAATTATGATGTTAGGATGAATATCTACTTTACATATTTCTATATTTATCTATATATCTATCTATAAATATGTATATAGATATTCTATATAAATATAGATATACATATATCTAGGCTCTGGTTCCTGAAGATAGGAGGGTATGATGTTAGGATGAATATCTGCTATATCTATATATCTGTATCTAGATCCTGGCTCCTAGACTTGGAAAATATGATGAATATCTGTAATATATATCTATATATCTAGGTCCTGGTTCCAAGAGAGGAAGGTATATGCTAGGATGAATATCTGTAATATATATATATCTATATATCTAGGTCCTGGTTACAAGAGAGGAAGGTATGATGCTAGAATGAATATCTGTAATATATATATCTATATATCTAGGTCCTGGTTCCTAGAGTTAGGAAGGTATGATGCTAGGATGAATATCTGTAATATATATATTTATATATCTAGGTCCTGGTTCCAAGAGTTAGGAGGGTATGATGCTAGGATGAATATCTGCTCTCTATTTATATATCTAGGTCCTGGTTCCTAGAGTTTGGAGGGAATGATGCTGGGGTGAATATTTACTCTATATATATATATATATCTAGGTCCTGGTTCCTAGAGTTAGGAGGGTATGATGCTGGGATGAATATCTGGGGTGGAGAGCAGATAGAATTATCTCTAAGAAACTGGATGTGCGGGGGACGGATGGAGATCGTACCGTGCTCCAAAGTAAAGAAAAACTGGGATATTAAAGCTGGCATTATTTGGAGATTTCTCCCTGTGGGAGAAAACATATGGATTAGAATTACATACTTATGAAATAAGGCAGTACAATGCATATTTTTTTTCAGACCTATTTAGCATTTTCAAACTGCATGAAGAACAAATAAGACAAATTGGAGAACAAAAAAGCATTTTACTACCGAAGTAGATATTCTAATGTTTAGGTTAAATAGTTTAAAAGTGAATTACCATTACGTTGCATATCTTTATACAAAGAAATTATTTTTTTTGCCACAAACTCTGATTGTCTATTTCCAATATCTTTGCAACCCGATGTCATAGACCTTTAATATTTCGAATTATGAATTCTGTTTGATCAAATAGTTTAAGTTTGAAATATCAAAACTTTACAACATCAGAATGCTAAAATATAGGATTTAGAAAATTTGAGTTTGTGGCAAAAACTCAGTTCCTTTATGTTTTATCTTATTCCAATTTTTCAGGTTGGCCATATTTACAAGCATAAGGTTGATGTTGTACCAAGAGAAGACAGGTAACTAGGAGTAAATCCAGTTCTATTTTATTATATCACAAAAACTTGATTTTTCAAATCTAGGAGTGAGTTCATTCATTGTAACAATATGAGAACTGCACAGATTTGGTTGGATCAGTTCTTTCCTATCTTCAATTCAACTCTGTCATCCAGGTTCAAGGATAAGGTTGGTTTAATATCTTCTACTATCTACACCAGGTTCAAGGATAAGATTGGTTTAACATCTTCTACTCTCTACCCCAGGTTCAAGGATAAGGTTGGTTTAATATCTTCTACTTTCTACTGCAGGTTCAAGGACTAGATTGGTTTAACATCTTCTACTCTTTACTCCATCCAGGTTCAAGGAAAAGGTTGGTTTAATATCTTCTACTCTCTACTCCAGGTTCAAGGATAAGGTTGGTTAAATATTTTCTACTCTCTACTCCAGTTTCAAGGATAAGATTGGTTTAACATCTTCTTTTCTCTACTCCAGGTTCAAGGATAAGGTTGGTTAAATATCTTCTACTCTCTACTCCAGGTTCAAGGATAAGGTTGGTTAAATATCTTCTACTCTCTACTCAAGGTTCAAGGATAAGGTTGGTTAAATATCTTCTACTCTCAACTACAGGTTCAAGTATAAGGTTGGTTTAATGTCTTCTTCTCTACTCTTTACTCCAGGTTCAAGGATAAGGCTGGTTTATTATCTTCTACTCTCTACTCTCTACTCCAGGTTCAAGGATAAGGTTGGTTTATTGTCTTCTACTCTCTACTCTCTACTCCAGGTTCAAGGATAAGGTTGATTAAATATCTTCTACTCAATTCTCTACTCAAGGTACAGGTACAGGTAATGTTTCGAATTTCAACTATATTCTCTGATTTTAAATTTAAATTTTAAAACTCAACTAAAAGTTCGTGAAAAGATTTTTGAAAGAATATTAGAATATTCTCACACTAAAAAACAATGTCTAACATTGTGTGTGATATAAGAAAGTAATTGTTACAAATAATGAAATAAAACTCATCTCAGGATTGTGGAGATATTACAGAAAGAAGGGAACTGAGGAAACATCTGAATTGCAAGGGAAAAAAATCCTGAAATTATGAGAATGTTTAGATCTAATAAATTAATTTGTTTTAATTTTCTTCTTTTATGCTATTGCTAATCTTTTATAAAGGTTCTTTGCGTTTGTTTAGAATCCTATTACATGTTGTTGCTTATCTTATACTAGCTGAAGGGCCCAACGTTAAAAGAATTGTTTGAAAAAAATATTTCAAATTCTTTTTTGCCTTTGACACCCCCTGGCCACCACTGAGTGTCCACAAAAAGGGTCAGTCCATTAGGTCCAGTCGTTTGGCCGGCTATAGGCAACATATATATATACGAAAGTTTTGTTTTATTATAAAGATTTAATAAACTCAGTAAATATTATGAATTACTTAAAATCAAATAGTAAGAAATTGATTTACAAAAAGAAGATAAAAACAGATTTTTTATTTTTGCAGAATATGGATTGGTACTTGAGGTAACATATTTTTGAAGAGACTAAAAATATATTTAATATTTTTTTCAAAGATGGGTATATCCGATTTCTAACGGTACCCTTAAAAGCTTTTTCTGATCAAGATTAATTTAATATTAATTTTTATAATTTTAAAAACTAATTTCTCTACTTGGCATTTCTAATGCAGGAAAACAGACATGAATTATCACAATCAAACAGTTTTACACCTAGAAAATTGACAATATCTTCCACATTATTGATCAGAAAAATGCTTCAAGGGTACCGTTGTAAATCGGGCATTTTTATCTTTGCATGAAGTTGAAATTACGCTTACAGTCCCTTTAAGAAAAATATTTCTGTTTTGATTTAGGAATGTTTATCCTGAGTTACAGATCCCACGGGAGGATGATTTAAGTTTTGGAAATATTCACACAAACCAACCATCCTGGCTTCTCTGTCTAGGTCAGTAATATCCTTTAAGTAAATAAACCTTAAAATATTGTTAATAGGGTTGGATTTTATTTCTAATGACTCCTTAATTTAAAGGGACTTAAAGCGTAATTTTAAGTGATCACTCATTTAAAGATGGCAATGCTCGATTCATAAACCATTATTTTGTATGAATTAGATATAAGTTTTAATAATTTTTAAGTCCGATTATTTTTAACTTGGGCTCCTACGAAAGTGATTTACACATTTGTTTTGCAGGAACACTTATATAATCATTATTAGAATTAAATAGTTGAAATTAGAAAACGAAAATAACTTCCACATTTTTGATCAGATAAAGGTTTAAAGGGTCCTGCTTTTTTGCCATCGTTTCATAGGGTCACTTGAAATGATGCTGCTGCATGTTTATTGGACTATTTAAAATCATAACCTGAGTCAAATAGACGTATTCCCATTCCTCAGATTTACTGGCCCCACTTTAGTCTTAGATAAAAATTTGTGAATTATTCATGTATAACTCTGCAAATAAAATTCAAAGAGTTACTTTACGTTTCTTGAACAGCCCCTTTAATCTATGATTTTTTAAATTACCAGACCCTACAGCGAATGCAGGAGAGAGAAATATTGGTGTCCGACCCTGTCTTGAATCTCAGAGTACTCAACAATTCCACTACTCTAAACACTTCAGTATCATTCAGGTAGATTTAACTTAAACCATTCTTGATTAGACGGATTAAAAACTTGATGTTAAACTAGGATGATTTCTGTTTAAACCTCCCGGAACCAAAGCTCGGAGTTGAGGTTGGGATGGATTTGTGTTCTCCAGGTTCAGAGCTCCAACGATGGAAGCGGATTTATCCTGGGAAGAAAATAGCGGAGAAGACAGGACTGAGGGGGTTCCTCTTTAAGAATGAGAAATATGATCTATGTTTGGACGGAGAGGAAATATCAATGAATAAAGGATTACTGGTGAGACGATGTGATTTCCAATCTGTTCACCAGCGCTTCATGATACAATACAATGCTCCACTAAGATGATTTGTTTCAGAAATTCAATCAAAAATAAAGTTTACGAGTCAACCTTATTGATTTGATAATAGAATTAATTCGTTTCATGACTTTTATATTTGTCATAGAAAAGTAAATATGCTAATTTCGTTCTGTAGACATACATAATACATGCAAATGATGAAAATTCACCAATTAGTACGAGCATTCAAGTAGTCTTACCATTCACTTTTTAGTCTGACAAGTAGCAACTGTGTAGGCCTGAGAGTTGACTTTTAGAAAGGTCTGCTCCTTTTCTCGACTCCAAAATAGACTATAATTAAAATTTCGAAATATCAAAGGTCTAAGACACCAGATTGCAAAACATAAGGATAAGACAATCGGAGTTTGTGACACACAAAGTTCCTTAGAGGTGAAATAATGTTTTTAATAAAACACCCAATTAGGGGCCTGGATACGAATCAAAAATAACCCTATCACGAAGGGGGGGAATGTGCTGATGGGTTAAAATGTTGATCTGCTCTACTGCCCATCCGTTCTATTGACCATCCGCTAAACTGCACATCCGACCTACGACAGCTGTTTGTTTTTGTATTTTTGTATTCGAAAGAGAATTTCTGGGCCGACTGCCAAGCGCTCTGGCTCGGACGGGCTAGGGGGGCGGGCGCTGCGGCCAGAGAACGGATGGGCGTAGGTCCAGAAATACACCATCGCTGATGGACCGAAAGGCCCCGCCAAGGGCAAGAATCATAATGGGGGGAGGGCCATGGCTGGTGAAAACACATCTAAAACTATATTAAAAAATAGACTAAATTGGGATAGGGTTAAATAAAACTGGTATAATGTTTTACATCGTCTTCGCAATCCCCCCTACTGAACGTCTGACCTACTAACTTTCCGACCATGCTGCAATCGGACCTACACCAGCTGTTTATTTTTGTATTATTTGAGGGTTAGATTATGTTAATAAAATTTCTGGGCCGAGCTCTGCGGCTAGGAAAGGCTTGGGGGCCGAACGCCGTTGCTAGGACAGGTTTGGGGGCCGGGCGCTGCGGCCACAAGTCCATATATCAGCTTTAAAACCACTGCTAGTCGGTCGGATGTGCAGTATAGTGGATTTGGCGTAGGTCAGAAGTGGAGTATAGCGGATTTGCGTAGGTCTAAAAATACACCACCAGTATTACCCCAACAAAACAGTTTAAAGCAAAGACGACAAAATTTTCATTATGTAATACAACTTGGCATCTTTAGATATCTGCGCAAATAATATCGTTTTCAGAGAGTGAGACACAAAACACAAGCGTATTGAGTACTTTTACCAAATAATAAGCTATTAATTCTAAATACCCACAGATTGTTTTATTTAGTTTATTTTTATTCGGTTAAATAACATTCTAATTCTCAATATTGCTAAGAATATGGTTTAATAATTTACTGCGCTCTGAATATTGTTGGATCGCGCGGGGACCCCATGGCATGACAACTTAACACATATCGACCTTTTCCTCCTCTCCTATTGCGTGATTTCCCAGTATTTACTGAGTGTACCCCACTCCTAGGAATTTGTATACAGTAGCCTCTCCTGCCTATGGCACTCGCCCCCCAGCCTAACCGGTCCACAACCAACTCATAAATTTTCTGATCCTAACTAAAGGAACTTAAATATATTGCACACTGTTTGAAAGTTAGCCAGAACCTTGATTCTCCCCGAGAACTGCAACAGTTTTAGGTTGTATTCTTTTTAAGAAATGATACAATCTTGTCCTATTCTTTATTTTCTTTGTACTGAAGTTAAATTAATTTTTTTCCAATTTCAGGTTTAAGCGACACAAAATGGAACTCTTAGTAGCGCCCGTGGAGCATATCATATTTGATATCGAGGTCGCCCTCGGGAACCAGCTTGGTGCACAACCCCTTCCCTTCCCAGGGATGGACAAATCAGGGGCAGCTGTTTGTGACTTCTACGTGAGATCAAATTGTTCTAAAGCAGCCTCTTGTCCGTTCCGACACATTCGTGGGGACAAAACTATTGTGTGTAAACACTGGTTGCGAGGACTGTGTAAGAAAGGTGATCAGTGTGAGTTCCTTCACGAGTACGACATGTCTAAAATGCCCGAGTGCTATTTCTACTCCAGGTTCAATGCATGTCACAACAAGGAGTGTCCCTTCCTGCACATAGATCCAGAGGCAAAAATAAAAGACTGTCCTTGGTATGACCGCGGTTTCTGTCGCCACGGACCTAACTGTCGGTACCGGCATATGCGCCGAATATTGTGCGTTAACTACCTCGCCGGCTTCTGTCCGGCTGGTCAGTCTTGTGAACAGGCACATCCTAGGTAACATGAGTTCAACCTCGTTTATTTAAAATTAGCTGAAGTGCCCAACGTTGCCCGTGCAATTTTAAAAAGCACTTATTTTCAATCTATTTTTTTCTAGCCTATGTTACACCCAGGCTATCCATGGGGTTTCTAAAAAAAAGTTCCAGTCAATTTTTTAGGGCGCTTCGCGACCACCTTCATTTCGACTTTTAATTGTGGCTCAAATTGGGATCACTAAGCATGTTCTCTTTGTACAATATAAAGCAGAAAAGTTCGCAGCTTTAATATTTTTTTTCTTTAAAATTTAACATTTTTGTAATTTTCCCTGGGGTCATGTGAGAACCCACACAAAAAAACTGAACTATTTTCTTTCTTTCGAAAGTTACTAACTTAACCATTACAAGATTATATGTTAAGGTAGAGACTCCATTTAACCATTAGATGAGTTTCAGGTCGTCTTTACAGTCTCATCCGTTGTGGGTAACCCTGTATATAGAAGAGCGAAGAGCTTTATTATATAGATTAGTGTATTTGAAGCATCATTTAATGGAAAATGTACAGACCTAAATTGACAAAAATGTTTGAATCCATATGGTATATGTAAGAGAACATTTCTGCAATTGATTTGTCTCTTATTCCGTGAACCATGGAAAAGGTTATTCAATAAGTTCAATTTCAAATCTCACAATGGATTATTTTTTAATTTTCTGAAGTAAGTGTTCATTTGATTTACGTTCTTACTTTTTTAAGGTTCGAGCTTCCTGGACCGGTTGAACAGGATAAGAGCGGTAAGAAGGTTGTAATCACCTGTCACTACTGCGGAGAGATTGGACACAAGGTTAACATGTGTAACAAGATGCCAGGAGAGATGAAGGAGCAGCAGCAGCAGCAGTCGACCCCTGCCGAGCTAGGGAAGAACTTCATGCCCTATACGCAGAACCAGTACAGGATGCATCCTATGCCGGACGGCAAGCCGCACAGATTTAAAACCCTCGACGAAATCACATGCTTCAAGTGCGGAGAAAACGGACATTTTGCCAACAAGTGTCCTAAGGGAATGTTAGCTTTTTTAAGTAATAACAGTGGTAAATGATAGACGGTGTATTTAGACAGTGTCTGAGTCTTCTTAGACGTTTTTATTTTGTGACGCCACCGTCTTTATTTACATTTATATCTGCATTGTGATCTTATATATAATAATTTCTGTGTCACAGTATCTTAACTAAATTTCAAGATCAATCCTTTAATTGGTAATTATAAAATTAATTGATAATTATTATGTAAAATATTTCCAGATATATATCAACATATGCTTGTGATTGGTACTTGGACACACTTACTCCAGTTCCTTGAGATAGAGTTAGATTTCAGTAACTAGGTAATAATTAATTTTCTTCTCAAACCAGACCCCATTTTTGGGTGAAGGCTGGATGTTATATTACCTAACTTCCCCTTGGGAAAACTGAGGAAGATAACAAACCGCTTTACGAGGCTTACTTCAACATTATTTATCGACTATTTTATACTTTTATTTTATTAACTTTACTAGTGTAATTTATGTGAAGTTCTCTAACTTAATTAAGGATACAAGTTTTGTGAAGAAATCGGTAAATTTCATGATTACCTTTTTTAGAGCTCTAGCTACTCTTTCTCTAACAAAAAAAATGAAAAATTTAAGACTATTTTTGATAAACCTTTCTTTGATATTGGCCAGGTTCTACCACAGTCTCAGGATTACTGAAAAACCAGTTTTCCTGAACCTTCAGGAAACAAGACAAGATATTTCTTCTGAAACCGTCGACGTGGATTCCAACACGGATCTAGGGGAGAGGCGGAGGTCCGTCAGGGCCAAACGGGACAAGGTATCCTTTTTAAATACATTTAGCATTCCAAAAAGACAATTATTGTTAGTGCAGGTTGGGTGGTTATTTTTATTTATTTTCTAATTTTCTAGCCGGACTACTACGACGCTCTGGACTACGAGAGTAAACGTCAGAAAACGCCTCGAAGTGAGAAGAAAAAGATTAGTTTACCGACCCGGGCCTCCGTAGAGGGTTCCGGGAAGATGAAACGGTATCCGGTTGCCCCGCAGAACACAGGCAGAGCTACCCTTACCTGGAGAAAGGGAGAGGAAGAGGATACTGGGAAGAAGAAGAAGCAGAAACCTGGAGCTCAGGCTCCGAAGAAGGAAGATACGGAGGAGGTCGGAGAACCAACTCTAGAAGAGATACCCCAGGTTAGTACTCTTCTAATCCTTATAAAGTTTATTTCTGATAATGAAGTCGTATAAAAAAATGATGATTAGGATAACTTATATAAATGGAAGCCACTCAGTCATTTAAGAAAACCAATGAATTCTGAAAATATTTATTAAATTGTTGAGGTATGAAAGTTAATTTCTTGGAACGAATTAAAAACCAGAGACAACAAATGTATTTTTCTAGGAGAAAAATTAACTATTGTTTAAGATTATTAATTAAATATGGGGGAAAAAAAATGATTTATTTAGGAAAATTAGTGATTTAAAAAGAGAAGAAAATGAGTTTTTAAAGGAATGAATTTACAATATTGATTTAAAAAGTGAATTATTGAGAAAAAATCAATGAAATATTAAGAAAAATTAGTGAATTAGTGATGAAAATCTGCAATTTATTGTTGAAATCAAAGAATATTGAGGAAAATCAATGAATTATTGACGAAAGTTAATGAATTATCGAGGAAATATATTAAGTTTGGGGAGAATCAATGAATTTTTGTAGAAAATTGTTGAATTATTGAGGAAAATCAATGAACTATAGAGGGAAATCAATGTATGATTGAGAAAACTTGATGAATTATTGAGTAAAATTATTTATTAAAGGAAAATCGATGAGTTATGAGGAAAATCAATGAATTAATTAGGAAAGAGAAAAAAATTATACAGAGTATAAAATAAGTTGTTTGATATTTTTTTAAATTAGCAAAAATTGTCCCTTTTATTTAAAAAAGGTTATTTTTGCCTTATTATACTTTCTTCAAGGAATATACGACTATCAGGAACTCCTATAGCTTTGTTTACAAATAAAGTGTACTGCAGATACTAGGAAGAATGTAAACAAATGCAGTGCGGATCAGACTGAGCTTTGTTTTTATTCCTCCCTAAAACTGTAGTACACTTAATTTGTAAACAAAACTTTGCGAGTTACTGTTATATTTCTTATCATCAAAAATAAATTTTGCTTTTTATTTAGGATAAAGTTTTCCCATGTGCGGTCAGCTTAGCAGAGATAAATCGGAAACTGGGTTTAGTCATGTGGAAACCGGTTTCAACATAATTCATCCTAGTTTGAGATTTAATGAACGAGAGAGAAGTAGTAAATCTCAAATAGATTATCAAGTACAATAGGTGGCAACAGAGAAATGGACCAATTATACACGACGTCACAAGTGTCAAATATAACAAGGAAAACGAAATTTTCTTACATTAGTTGACATGTTTTCTAAGATTAAATAAAAAGTGTTAAAACAGAAAATTAAGAACACATAAAATTGTACTTATTTTTCTGTAAGATAAGCACTTTATTCTTAAATTATCACTATTCTTAATAATTTTGTCAGACACTAAAACTAAATTGACACTTGTTACGTCAGAATACAGATGTACTGAGAGTGTACAAACTTTACGTTGCCATCTATTGTACTAGAATCTATTTGGTAAACCTCAATCTACCAAGATTGAACTACTCCCACCAAACCTAATCTAAGAAGTGGTTCATCTAGTGTCGCTATTTATATTCTCTGACCGTGAACTCGTTTTCAGAGTTGATCAAATCAATTTACAGTAATAAACCACATTAATCCCGATTTTTAGATTTTTATATGCAACGAATGATTATAATGTACCACCAGATGAAAGACTTAAGAATGTGGCATTTGTTTAAGAATGCTGGGTGTCGTTGGTTGACAATAACAAATTAAAGAATTAATTAAAAACCCTAAATATATAAACATTTTTAGGTAATTTGTGTGAGAAGTGTAATCAAATCTAAGAATCTTGTTTCGAGAATATTTTTTCATGAGCTTGTCAAGTCATGTGTTTGCATTTATTCACTAACATTAACCAGTGCTTAGGATCCGGACCCGCTGGATCTGCAAGATTTTGGCTTCCTGGATCCGGATCCGCAAAATATGCGGATCCAAGGCGCAAAATGTCCCCAAAAAAATACATAAAAAACTTTTTTACTTTCAAAACACAAATCTGAAATAAAGAAAAAGAGAGAGATCATATTAATTTCCTGATTTCTGAATGGTTCATCAAGTTTTAGCATATAACAACGGAAAAAATAAGACAATTTGAAAATTCTGCTTTGTTAAAAAATTCAGTAAATGTTAAAGAAAATATCTGGATCCGGATCCGTATCAAAATTAAATGGATCTTAAGCACTGTCATTAACAAACAGATTAAAACTTTAATAATGAAACTTGTAGAAATTATTTTTATCATCCTTCATCTAATAAACTACTAAGAAATAGAAAAAATTTTAATACAACTGCTTTGTTAATTAATTTAGTTCGTATCTTTGTACTAGTATCTGCTAAGTTTTGGATAATGAAAAGAAATTTATATACATAATTTATGTAGTGTCTGTTAAGTGAAAATTAACTAATAAAATGTACAAAATATTTATAATTTGATTTGATCAGTTCAGAGTAATTGTATAGACCGGAAAAATTTTAGCATTGGAGGTGTGACCAGTGTGACCGAAGTACAGATTTGAGTTTGATTAAACCTTTTTTTCTACACTGTCACCTTGGAAGATCGGACTTGCATGGTGCTTTTATGTTGTTTTAACTCCGTGGAATATTGAACTTGTCGAGTCTCAAGGTTTCATATAAGGTTTTCTTATCGAGTCAAGGTATCCTTTAAATCTTCCTAAACTAATTAAGATCTTCTTGTTCGTCTTTCTGCAAACTAAAACTTTCCAGTGCGGTGGTTACTCTAAAAAAGTGACTTACAAATGTTTACACCAACTAAAACGAAGGAAAATGTCAATATTTATTACTCTTCAAATTTGTTTCTTGTCAAACCAGGCCTTTTAAATCACTTATTGTAACTTGGCTAGTTTATAAATATTGTTCTTATATTCAGTTCATAGTTCTGCTTTAAACTGTAAAAGTGCTGACATAAGATCGACAATATTTAACCCTGCTTGGTTCCCATGATGGATGAGATTAAGGCTGAGAGGATAACCTTAAAACTAACACTAACTGTCTATAATGAAGAGTTAAAAGACTCCAACCCTTCTGAGCTACCCTTGTCCCAGCTAGCGGATCAGATTGCTCGAGCTAAATCCATGAAGGATGAAATACTTCTCAATTTTTCTGAATTCTCGGAGACCCAGATTAGTTCTCAACTAAAGGCTGGATGCTGCCAAGGCTAGAAATGGTTTTATCTTTATTAAGGAAGGTTTCAAATTGCTGAAAGATGATGAAGATAAAAGATGTTCTAACCCGGCCTCGTTAAGCTCCATTTATCATACAGTTGGGCGAGGGTCCGCCAATAGAGCCAAAAGTCTACTTGTTGAGAAGTATACAGGTTCAATCGTTGGTGAATTTCAAGATTTAATTGATCAGCTGTGCGAGCTTGTTGCCGAACCGATTGAGACCCAACTTGATCCTAGAAGTGTAGAAGAGCAAGCTAAAACTACACCAATTCTTCAAGAAATTGTAAAGAGAAGAGCTAAGCAACTGATTTCCTATGCTATTGACTGTGACTTGGTGGATGAATGCACCAAGTTAGAAGACCTGCATAGACTGCTGGAGGACAAGGAGATTGCCCTGATCAAGGTGTTCCAGAATCACAAGGGAAAAGGTTGGGATTGTGGGAGAATATAGCAAGTTAAATGAATTGAAATATTTTACGTTTTCCGGTGAACAGACACTTAAGTTTATTACACCTTGAAAGAAGATTGGGATGCGTGTTTAGTTGTATAAAGCTCCATCTCGTGCCGAGCAGCTTCAAATACTGAAAAGACAATCGCTTAGAGGATACTCCAGGGCCGTCTGTAGACATTTGACGACACTAGATGCTGTATTTGAACACTTGAATGGCATCTTCTGAAATGCCAAAGAACTTTTAACAATCGAATTGAAAAGCTTAAACGTTTAGGTCCATCCAAAGAAGAGAAAAAAAAATGGTTCGCAGAGGTGAGGAACTGCACTTGACCTACCTGCGCGACTTTAGTTTAAAACATGATATGGGCTGGACATCGTACAATAATTTTATCATTGCATAGATCCTATATGGTTTGCCTGAAGAAGATCTTGAGTTTTATTAGGAAAATTTGTGAACGCTCTTCTGGACGAGCCTCAAAACGGGTCGTCTTTTAGATGCTTGTCGATATTTTGATCAAGAGGTGGCTATTTCTAGAAAATTGTTATACCGGATTTCGGAGTAGACTCTGAAGAATATAATTGTGAAAATTTTGCTTTACTGCAATTACTCTTTTGGATCAAGCTAAGACTGAACCTGATTTTTTGTCTTCCAATTAAAATCATTCACGCAAATGATGGATGTTCCAGGCTATATTTAGTAGAGTATCTAAGCCATCATACGCATGAAATTATCCATTTCAAGTATTAAAATCTTAAAAATCCGCGCATTTGCAGCAACTCAACGTTAGATGAAGAAACCCACGAAGAGTCATCCATGCTGTTATTCTTTGCCCTTCTGTATCAAACAAAATAAAGATTTTTTTTTGAAATTTGTTTGTTGCTTATTAGAAAACATTATTATGGCGTCGTGAAATTGGTATTTTTTATTTAATTTTTAGCATACTTAATTTATATATTATAGGATGAGACTGCAAAGACGACCAAAAACTCTCAAGATATGACGATCCCAAATTTAAATTAAGTCTTCAGATTTAAATCAAGTATTTTAATGGCTTTAATGATTTGGCAAAAAGTAAAATAAGTTTACAGTTGCAGTGAATCATGAATATAAAGAAACGGATAGTATAAATTCACTATATTGACGATCCCAAATTTAAATTAAGTCCTGCTTTAAATATAGTATTTTAATGGCTTCAATGATTTGGCATAAAAAGAAACAAATTTAAAGTTGCAGGGAATTATGAATATAAAGAAACGGATCCATAAATTCACTATAGTCGTCTTTGAAGTCGCAAACTGTGTGGGTAACCTAGTATATAAAGTAGTAATCTATTCTCATTTTTTGGTTGGGGAACTCCTCTGTTCTATGTAATAATAATAAATCTCCTGTATGGAAAATTCTACTGTCTTATCTTTCTAAGGAATGTCCTTCTATGAAATGTCCCAACGCCGACTGTTCACAGGTTAACTTAGTTAACAGGCAACGCTGGGTTCCAAAGCTAGTACTGACTAAAGCTGACTTTCCAAGCAGTGAAATACGCTGGTTATATAATGCTCAAACAGTGTAATAGCAAATTTACCGTAAGTTAAAAGATATTAGATTATATAAAAGATATTAGATTATATAAAAGATATTAGATTATATAAAAGATATTAGATTATATAAAAGATATTAGATATTTATTGGCCATTTTTATCCTTGTTAATTACTGGTGATATTAAGAGAACGAAATTATTAATCTCTTGTTGATCAAGATTAAATAAACTTTGCAACATTTGGTTTCCTAGAAAATATGGAAAACGAATAAAAAATAATCGTTACAACACACTCGTTTAGAAAACTTTTTCTCTCGAGGTCATAGCATAGCTTAAGAAAATCAAATGTTTAGAATAAACATTTTTTTCCACTCCCAAATAAATGAAAAAATCGAACCAAAAAGGATCGACAACACATAGCTTTAACGGGACTGTAGATATAATTCCGAGTGACCTTAGATTTATTGATATATGTCCGATTCACAACGGGACCCTTTTGAACCTTGATGAATAAGATAGTCTTGTCCCCCCCCCCTTAAAATTATGTCTACACACCCTTTAAGTAAATGGCAACTTCAATTCATAATGAGCAACTTTACTAATTCAAACCTAGATATTGTTTATCTAATCCAACCTAGATATTGTGTATCTAATCCAACCCTAGATATTGTCTATCTAATCCAACCTAGATATTGTCTATCTAATCCAACCCTAGATATTGTGTATCTAATTCAACCTAGATATTGTCTATCTAATCCAACCTAGAGATTGTGCATCTAATCCAACCCTAGATATTGTTTATCTAATCCAACCTAGATATTGTCTATCTAATCCAACCTAGAGATTGTGTATCTAATCCAACCCTAGATATTGTTTATCTAATTCAACCTAGATATTGTGTATTTAATCCAACCTAGAGATTGTGTATCTAATCTAACCTAGAGATTGTGTGTCAAATCCAACCCTAGATATTGTGTATCTAATCCAACCTAGAGATTGCGTGTGTGAATTCTTTTTTTTTCTCTCAAATGTTTTGAGATTATTGAATATTGACTGCTAAATTTTTTATAATAATTTTTATTACTTCTGAACAATTGTATAATATAATTTTATTTGTTGACATTAAACACATAATGGTATATTTGTTTTATTCCATAAATCACAGATTATTCTCAACTTGGAATTGATTAATACAACATAAAACTCTAGAAAAACTTATGAAACGTCTTTTCAGTAGATGATAACGCCTAAATTAATCTTATTCGATAACAATCTTATTTAAAAAAAAACCCCAATCTCTAAGTCTGTCTTGAAAATGTTAAAAATGATGGGTTAGCAACACGAAAATTCCTGACAAAATTTAAGAGTTTCATCTTTGATGAAATCATTATAATCTTAGATCTTTCAATCACTGGAAAAAGTTTCTGTCTTTTAATATGAATAAAAAGATAAACTCTTGAAGTGCGTTAATTACTACTCCGAGAACGGGTTCTTCCCTGATGCATCGTAATCATCTTCGCCCGTTGTTCCGAAAGGATTAAAACTTGTCAACATAGATTTGTTCGGTAGGTACTCTCGTACACTATTCACAGTTCGCGCCATTTCTTCAAGAACTGGTTTAGCCGAATTGTTAGTAAACGAGGGTCTCCGAGTGGGTTGCACTACTTTAGGCTTTAAGCTCTGTATTTGTTCTGCAGTTTTGTAAGACTTATTCTGTGTCCTACTGCTAGGTTTGTATTGCGCTGATCTATCTTCAAGGTTCTCCGACGAATCGCTCTGATGAAGGTTGAAGGACTCGTATTGAGTATGATGAGCAGCTGCGGCAGCTTCTTTCTGCTCCTGGTCCCTGGTTCTCTTGTACTCAACCTGGAGCTCACGTAGGTTGCTCTCAAGCATACTTACCTCGTCAAACCTAAACATAAACAAGATTAGAGATTAACAGCCTTAGTTAATAATATCTACAATTGACTTTTTATTTCTTTCTTTATTTACAGTACCTGTTAGTTTCTCTAGGTTTTGTAATATAGCTTCTAATAATATTATATTAGTACCTGTTAGCTTCTCTAGCTTTTATAATATAGCTTTTAATAATATTATATTAGTACCTGTTAGCTTCTCTAGCTTTTATAATATAGCTTCTAATAATATTATATTAGTACCTGTTAGCTTCTCTAGCTTTTATAATATAGCTTCTAATAATATTATATTAGTACCTGTTAGCTTCTCTAGGTTTTATAATATAGCTTCTAATAATATTATATTAGTACCTGTAGGCTTCTCTAGCTTTTATAATATAGCTTCTAATAATATTATATTAGCACCTGTTAGCTTCTCTAGCTTTTATAATATAGCTTCTAATAATATTATATTAGTACCTGTTAGCTTCTCTAGCTTTTATAATATAGCTTCTAATAATATTCATTTGTTGCACCATAGGATCTTCACTTCCGCTTGCATTAAGTTCGTCTAAAATCATATCAGTTTAAAACGCTAGTTTTAGTTTTCTCGTGAAGAGTTATGGAAAAAATGAAGTCTGAAATAATGTAGGACTTTTGTTTGTTATGATTTCATTTTTTAATTTGCGGATAATGATAGGATAGTTAGGTTGTGTGGAGATACCTTTATCACTGGAGAGAACGAATCCTTTCTCATACTTGATCGACTGATCAGATCTACTCGGGGTCAGCTTTCCTTTCTGCGTATCTTGACGCTTCTCCTAAAAAAGTACGCAATGTAGTTAAATTTTAGAAGCATTCAACATAGAAAATGATTTAATGATACTAGTTTTTGCAACTTTAAATTGTTACGATCTCTAAATTATCCGACTTACTTGAAGATTCCTAAATCTAATCCTAGCTTCCTGAGCCTTCCTTCTCTCCTCCTCAACCCTCCTCGCTATCTCCTCCTTCCTCTTCTGCTGGAGCTCTACCAACTGCTCCTCCGTGGGTAGGGACGGGAGTCCAACCAACGTTTCACGGATAAAATTAACCGCTGCCCGTCGTATCTGGGTTTGAAGTAGATACTTGCGCGAACTCAAGAACGATTCATTTTCACTGTCCGTGCCCAGCACGGAAATCTTTTTTGACATCAGGTCTACGTTCTCAGCAATCTTGAGAAGTTTCATTCTTAAATTTTTAGCGTCAGACAGATGATAATTGGTTTCTCCAGCTGTGAAGGATTGGTGCATCTGAAGATACTGATCACTGAAAATTTAAATATTTTGTTAGAAAAATACCTTATTTTACAATATTAAGAACTATTTTTTAGTTCTAGTTTTGGGCGCTTTCATGAAATATTGGATTAATTTAGTATCTTCTTTGAATATTTTATACAGTTTAACACAGAACTTCGAAAGAATTTATAAAATGTCGTCTTGACAATTTTTAAATGGGTATTTTCCTATTATACCTAAATCTTAATAATTTAAAAATGAATAAATAGCCATGAAATATGCATGAACAATTTTTAAGAGCTTATAATATATTTATTCGATTAAACAAACTAAATATCTGCAGCATTCCAACTTCAGTACAAGTAGGTTTAGAAAACGACATTTTATAAATTCTATAAATTTCTGGGTTAAACTATATAATAATTGAAGCAACAATTATTTATTAGATCATGGAACTAATGTCGATTTTCCCTCAGTTTTGTGGACATTTTAGAGCATTAATCAATAATTAACCTGGAAAAGTGGATTAAAACACAAATCTTATATTAATTTCTAGTTTTCCGGAACAAATTTTTGAATTTTATATTGGCAGAACTTTACCTAAGTGTGGTTCCTTCCTCTACATACTCCCACAATCTCTCGTAGAACTGCGTAACTATCGGTTTAATCGTCTGCCGATCTATTGCTGCGTTCCTGTGTTTGAGGAGTTTAAGACAGTATTCACAAGTTCTAAACTCCTCGGCGTTCTTATCTCCAGGAGAGAGCATACTCTGAACACTCTCCTTGGAGCTAGTTCTACGGAGTCCGAAGGACGGTTTAGGAAGAGAAGAGAGGGATCTTGAATCATTACCATTCACAGACCAGCCTTGCCGTTCCTTTGACTTCATACTAAACGAAAAATGTCTTACAGTGACTGTCGACGCGACTTCATGTGACCCTTTATTTAAAGAGGGGTATGCTTCATTCACAATGGTACCATTTAAATCTTCGTACGCGCAAAAATGATAAAAAGGAAATTTAATAATTTTTAATTGTGATTTCTCTTCAAAGTGACTTAGATTTGTCCATTATAAGGAAATTCTTGAGTTTGACAAATTTTCAGAGAGAAAAATGGCGATGTCTTACTCATTTTAGCTCAGATTAAGGTTTAATGAGTACAAATGTTAATCAATCTAACAACTATTTAATTAGGGAGTCGCACACAAAATCACAAAAAGTACTAAATTGAAAAGGATATAGTTCTGATATAATTACAATTTTGACAACTTCCAGTTTAGTCCTCTTTCTAAGGTTATGCTGATAGGTGACAATTGCTTGGCAAGTTGAATTCTTCATCAAACATACTTCAAATATCATGTCCTGCGTGCAATGTAATATATTACATTCATGAGTAAATAAGAATCCAATACATATTTAAATATCCTACTGAACCTGTAAATAGATAGTGTTGAAGGATTGATCAGTTTTCTGCAGAAATCCCATTCTACAAACTTAGAACACTCTTTACACATCACACTCCCACATAGTCTGAACATGAATAGCTGGGGGTAGAAACTAACTTCAGAGGGATTTATATTTTACCCTCCATCTCCCCCCCAGAATATTACATAAGTTTAGGAGATTCTATTTGTTTAAGTAAGCGTAATTTCAAGTGACTCCATGCAAGGACTTGGCAATTTCCGATTTACAGTTGTACCCTTTAACCTTTTTCTGATCAAGTATGAATTAGATATCAATGTTAATAATTTAAAAATCTTTTTATTTTTCATTGTGATTTCTCTACAAAAGTGACTTGCGCATTTCTATTGCAGGAAAGCATGTGGGAATAATCAGAATTAAACACTTTTTAACTAAGAAAAACGACAATGTCTTCAACATTATAGATGAGATAAAGGTTTCAAGGGTACCGTTGTGAATTGTGCATTGCATTGAAGGTGACTTGAAATTATGCTTACAGTCTCTTAAATAACTGATTATTGGGTAAAAAGTTTAAGAGGGGTAAAAACAAAAAGGGCAGATACAAGGGGGGGGGGTACATTCGACCCCCCTGACGGACTCAGGGGGGCGACGCCCTCCCCCCCTGAGATTTTGAAGAAGTGTTTTGAATTTGCAAAAAAAATAATGTTCCTAATTTGATTAATCGTATGCACCTCCTTTTCAAGTTATTTGAAGGAATTATGATATTAAATACAAAAACAAAGAACTTAGTATATCACATCATATAGAAATGTCGAACTTAAAATAAGGAACAAAAGTAGGTAAGTTAAACAATTTAGGATTTTAGGAACAAGGTTTTAACAGGTTTAAAAAAAGGAACAATACAATAACACAAATGCTGGAGGAGTTAGGAACAAAAAAGTGAACTAGATTAGGAACATTAAAAGAGGAACAAAAGAACAAAAAATGGGAACTTTAACAGGAACATTATGCCAGTTAGGAACACCGAACAATAAAAAAATAGTATTTTCATACATGCACTAATAACATAAGAACAATAAATAGTCTAATAACAATAAAAAACCTTAAGGTATTAGGAACAAAAATAAACAATATAGGGTCTAGGGGCACAGGTTTGTTAAGTAAGGAACTAAAAAGGATACATACATATGCGCAACAAACGTCGTTCATACTGTAAATACATAAGGAACAATATTCAATAATAGGAACATAAAGCATGTTAAGAACAAAAAGAAATTACTAGGAAAGTTAAATGCATGTAAATTAGGAACAGTATTACAATGTTGATTAATGATTGAGGAACATTACTATGCATACGCAGTATGCAAGTTAGATAGGAACAAAATCATAATATTAAGTCAACCCTGCCAAGGGGTCAAGGACCGTAACTGAGAGCCCCCCCGTGATGGAACACCAGAAGGAGAGAATCCTAAAGTTATTTATTAAGTTTTCTTGTTTCTATCAAAATTATCGTTTTATTTCATTAGCTTCTTGGTATTTAATCATGAACCAACTTCTTTAATCCATATTAAAGGGGTACTGCTTACGTAATTTCATTTCCATTTAAAAGAGTTAAATGCAAAGGTGATCTTAAAACCTTCCTCTGGTTCGTATTTTTTTTCCTTGTCTCTACTGCATAAATCTGCTACTGAAATTAATTTAGAAACTGCAGTTGAAAATTCTTGGGTAGAATAACAGAAAATCTCCGTAACATTTTCTCAAAGATACTTGAAATTACGCCAGAGCTGTCCCAGAAAACAATTGATCCGAATAGGAAACTTTTTTCAAACTTTTAAATAAAAATTATTAAAAACAAAGAAAGAGGTTCAATACATACTGACAAGTTGAACCTTCTTTTAACAATTATTTATCAATATCTTCCCTGTTTCATTTTGAAATCTTAGACTAGATTTTTTAAAACTTTTTTTACATATATGAATTATCTCATGTAAATAAAAAATTAAGTTTGTCTTCAGATATTTTGTTCATTTAAAATGCGGTGTTTATGGAGTTTATGACGGTTCAATGATATAAAATTAAGTAATGAATGAAAGTGTAATTATTTGTGTCATTTCACAAATTTAATATAAAATAGTTAGTTTTTCAGAGAAAAATCTAATTTTTTCTATGCAGGGGGGCTCTGCCCCCCCCCCCCCCCCCGGTAGAAATCAGTATATGGTTTGAAACTGTTGAAAATGAGCCTTATATCCCCCGAATATTGGAAAATTGTGTATATACAAATTAAAAGAAATAAAACCTGCAATGATGTTTCCTCCGTGCAATATTAAAACTCTTGGCACAGTTAGGACAAAGCTTAACAAGATCCTCTTCAACCCATTGAACCACGGACTGTTCATGCTCACGTCTCCGACTGCTCTCTGCCGGCATCCGGTCTAACAACCGGTCCAACCGGACTATTAACCGGTTTGTCTCAGCTGCATACCGGTCCACTCGTTCAGATCGGATTTCTAAAATGTTGATTGAGAAAAATTATAAATTTGGATCAATTCATTAGTAAATCTTTTTAAACCAAATAATTGCATTCTGAAATATGTAAACGTGTTATTATTCCATTTAGTTGTTGTAAATCTTACTTTTAAACTGTGAAAAGTGATTTGAACTTGCGGGTGCCGGAGAAAACCCGATGTAGATATCCGTCCGTATCCCGGAAACAGGGTGTACGTCGTCGTTTCTCGTCTGAATCTGAACCTTGGGAACAATTAGATTGTCAAGATTCTCATTCTCATCGTTCAAAATCTTCTTCTTCGCCTTCCCAAACAGATCTTTTAAAGATTGGACAAATGCTTGATCTTCTTTGGAATGAGTTTCTTCAAAATGAATCTGAAAAAAAAAACTATCCGCTACAAGAATGGTTTAACTGAAAGAAATAAATTTTAATTTTTTTGGCCGAAAAATCGTTGAACAGAAAAAGCTTCTGCAGGTTTCGATTTGCCAAATTAATAATGAGAATGGTTGCCGTTTAATTTTTTTTTATTCACCTGAAGCTGGATAACATCTCCCAGATCTTTCATACAGAGGGGGCATAGAAACCCCTCTAATATTTCGGCCATTTTTACTCAAAACATTCTGAAATTAAATCAACAAGTTAAATTATTCTGGAAATCCCCGAATAATCTAATCATCACCATTTTGTAAATGTCAAATCAAAAACTCAAAAAATGGCGGCCTAATGATGGCTGTGAAAAGAATGAAAATATTTACAATCATGGAAAGCACATGGTTATCAGTATAAAAATACATAATTAGTCAAAAATAGATTTGTTAATATTTGATTTCTTTCAATGATGACGTACTGAGACTTTTTCATAAATTTTTAAAAAGAATAGCTCCATTGGTGAAAGATTGTCATCATTTTGTAAATTTAAGAAAAAGACTTAATTAAAAACCTTAGGGCCTATCGTTTTTTCTTCTTCAGCTTACAACTAGCTAAAAGAAAAGATCTTGTTCTTTTTTTCTATAAAAATATAAATTTTGTGTATATCATGAAATATCATAAATAATTAAATATTAAGAATGCAAGAAATCAGAATAGTTCAAATCCAAACTTAAAAGATTAAATACCTCTAAATATTTTTTTGGCTTTATGCATAATACAATGTTTGGATTCAAATCATACGAGTACTCTCCCAAATCAAATCAAATCCACATTTTGAGTGATACAAATCAAATCAAATCCACATTTTGAGTGATAAGAATCAAATCAAATCCACATTTTGAGTGATACGAATCAAATCAAATCCACATTTTGAGCGATAAAAATCAAATCAAATCCACATTTTGAGTGATACAAATCAAATCAAATCCACATTTTGAGTGATACAAAAATCAAATCTAGCATGAAAACAAGTAAAATGTTCAGAGTAAAATTTGCTTACTATAATTTAGTTTTGGCTAAATAGTGGAAAATTAACAAAAAAAAGCATTATTTATCGCCTAAAGTATGTTCTTTGACCACATGTTGTAAGCATTTTGTATCGCTAAGGTTTAAAAATAAGTAAGGATGAATAAGGTAATTAAAGTATCCTGTTTAGGCCGAGGGTTTGGAATATCAATGGATAAGTTGAGTTGAAAAAAATGATACGTTTAATGCCGCATTTTGAAACCATTATTGACACTAACAGTTAAATTTATTTTCTAATAGTTTGTTTTTACTTTTTGGAAAGATATTTATGTATGAAGGAATGGTATCCTGACTCTTTTGAAGGAGTAGAGTAAATATGACGAAAAATAGAAGAAAAAAAATAAATCAAAGTTTTGGGACGAAACAAATTAAATTTTGGAAATGAAAAATATTTTGATGATATCTTTTGCTAGAATGAGAATAGAAGTAGACATTTAACTATTATTAATACTCCTGTAGTCTGGAGTTGATCGAAGACTCCAACGATTTCTCCGTAGTTTGATCAGCTCATGTTTAGTGAGTCGGACAAGTAGTATTAGAGCAAGGATATCAGCTCCCATTAACATATAGAACACACGCTCCCAGTGCCCGTTCCCGGAGAGCGGTCCCGCAAGCAGAGGACCAATAGCAGCTCCAATAGAACCGGTTCCGTCGATTATAGCGGTGACAGTTGCCAGAGCTTTGTGTGAACCCTGTAGGGACGGATGCTGACCTAAGAAGTTGATTATTTTCTGCCGAGACAGCGGTAGTAATGAGAGCGTATGGACCATTTACTAGTATTCCGGTAGAGAAGAGAACCAAGATATTCCAGCTGAAGCAGGCATCATGAACAGGGACTCCACCCACCTAGAAACAGGAAAAAAGTTTTTCTTCCTCTTCCAACCTTCTTAAAAACCATTCCATTCACGTACAATTGAATATAAGACTTTACATGGTGTCCCAATTAGCATGGAAATTAAGATAAGACTCTTAACTTGTCTCTGGTCTACTCGCTATTCATACTAGTAAAACAAAAAATTGACACAATATTCCCTATTCTTTGGTTTTATTAAGTGTGGTGTTTTGGTTTAAAAAAAATCCAGAATTGTACTTGGTCAGATCATACGTGCTTTCACCTATAGAGACAGGCATATATTCGTGAGACTCTACAAACAATATATTAGACCACATCTAGAATTTGCTATTCCTGATTGGACCCCTTGGACTCGTGGTGATATAGAACTTATGGAAAAGGTACAGAAAAGAATAATATGGATGGTTTCTGCTCTGAAAGGGAGAAACTATCAAGAAAACCTTGACGAGCTAGGTCTGCAAATCCTTAAAACCAGGCGGAGAAGATATGATTTAAGAGTCTCAAGGGGTTTGATTGTGTAAAAAGCAGTATATGGTTTGAAACTGTTGGGAATGAGCCTTGAAGATAAACAAGACAATCTGCTTATCATTTGAACCTAGTTATGAGACCAACAAGGCCTGATGTAAGGAGCAAATTTTTCTCAAACAGGGTAGTTGAACCCTGGAATAGAACTGAACTGAGAGCATTCAAGAATAGACTAGATAACATTATCTAAACTAAAGATGCTACAAATGACCACACTGAGCTCCTGCTATAATCCTACCTGGAATTCTAGGAGTCAACATAAAAGTATGAAGTCGCCCATTATTATTATTATTATTATTATTATTATTATTATTATTATTATTATTATTATTATTATTATTATCATCACTATTAAAGTTTTTAATTATACTGATTACTGTAGTAGTAACCACGTGACTGAATTTATAAATTACCCCAATCATATATTGTTGAGAGGACTGCTGCTTCCTCGGCATTCACGTGGGACTTTGTGTGTATGTAATTGGGGAGCCAGTAGAGGAATGTGTAGCTCACTAGCTTGGAGAAAAATAAACAAAGTGAGAACTCAACAACTCCAGGTATACGAAGAGCTCCGAAGAACCCGATGGCTCCTGGGGAACCGGACTGGGGGGAACGGACAGGAGGAGGGGTTGGGGAGGGAGGAGGTGATTCTTCATCTTTATCAGCTGAAAAATAAAAATAATAAGTAGATTTTATATTTCTTAACAAACACAATTCAGCGAAACCTAATTATTATTATATCTGACATTGTTTGAGTTGAAGTGTGTATAAATTTTCAACATTGTTTAAATACAAATTTTCTGGAGAGAAACATAAAAAATCCTCTAATTTAAAAAAAAATTTCCATGAAACCACTGTACGGTTTTCATTGTAATAGCAAATTTAAAAAATAATCTTTTATTATCGTTAGAAATATTCTTTTTCTGTATTTTCTCAATAATTTTACTATATTTATTGAATTAAACATTTTCTAAAGATATATTTATACCCCCGAAAAAACACTTTGAAGGTTGAATTACCGTTTCCATTCATGAGCGGATCATCTTCCTCGTAAGCGGACTGAGGTTGGGAGGATCTCTGCTCCACAGGAGGAACAAGATCTACGTCCTCAGGATTAGGAACCAGGAAGAGGAAGATGAGGAAACCTAGACCTCCGATAATCATTCCCGGCACAGTGAACGACATTCCCCAGTTCGTGGTCACAAAAGCTCCGGCAATCAGAGAACCTTCAAGATAAATCAATGATTTTGTTTCAAGGCCGGACATTTTAATTAATCAACAAAAAAATAATGAAGTCCTACCAAGAATGTTCCCTAGAGAGGTATGAGAGTTCCATATTCCCATGATAACCCCTCTCTTTCCCTTTCCGAACCAGTTCGCCATGACCGAAACAACACCCGGCCATCCAGTCGTCTGGAACATTCCGCAGGCGATCTGTATAAAGATGAGATACCAGATACTGTGTATGCCGAGACTGTACGCCATACCAAACATAACCGTGAGTAGACCAGACATCATCATACCGATGGAGAGGAAGAACCTGAGATCGACTCTCTCCGCGACCAGACCACTAAGGAACATGAAGAACGCATATGAGAAGAGATAACTTGTATCCAGGAACCCTAGATAGGTTTTTGCTTCCTTCTCCGTCTTCCCGTCTATCTCGGTTATCCATGATCTAAGGATAATAAATCTGTTAAATGAAAGTTTCGAGTAATCTTGTTTTTTTTTTCATTTTCCTATCTTTTCATTTTAAATTATTTTCAAAATATTGAGAGTACAATGACGGGAAAATCATCCAACTTTTCTTTACGCCTTCCGTTTTTATTATCTTACCAAAACAAGAACAGAATTCTCAAAAGAATGTTGCATGCAAATTATTGTATTACTACAAGTTTTCTTCTGTTCAGTCACGAATATCCCAATTTTAAGAGCTATGGACGATCCATCACAAATTTGACAAATCAGAATAATAACTGACCTACACGACACATTACTAGGATCCGTGTGCTCGGAGATATCACAGTCAAGGAAGGCTTTGGCGTTCTTCACAATAGATATTGGTTTTCTGGAGAGATGGTAGGACATGTAGGAGAGATAGGTTAACACAAGGATAGATAAACGGAATGCAGCCTCTTGCTTCCATCTAGCCTGAAATATCAAATACTCAAATTAAAAGAAAGACCGACGTTAAGAATCTTTAATTACAAAGGGATTGTAAGTGTAATTTCAAGTGACCTTTCATACAAAGATATTAAAACCCGATTTAAAATGGTACCCTTGTAACCTTAATCTTAATTCTGATAATTTCTGTATCATTTCTGAACCATGAAATGCGCAAGTCATTATTTCAGAGAAACACAAATGAACAGTTGTCATGAACACACTTGATCAGACAAAGAGCTTACGGGTACCGTTGTGAATCGGACTAAGAGGGTCACTTTAAATTAAGGGTACAGTCCCTTTAAGTGATATTAACAATATGCTATACCTGAGGGCACAGCCGTCGTAGGAAGTTTACAAGGATTGGGGGAGACATTTTACGTGAAGAAGTTCAAGAATACTTACAAAACTGACAAAACCATATTAGAAAATTTTCTAAAACAAATATAATGATTGTTAGAAAACTTAAGGTTTCGATTCCATAATAGATTTAAAAACTAGAAAAAACATGAGATATAACAATGGTATAGACAAAATAATTTTTGAATAACTTCCAGGTTTTACTTTTTGAGCGTCTGCGTCACGCGTGACGATGTAAGGAAACAGTCCACAATTTCGTATCTGGTCTCAAAAACCAGAATTTTAGATAAGAAAGTCGACCAAAATTTAAAATCAGGTTTGACAGAAAAACTGATTAGCGTAGCGGCGCAAGCAAACTTCTCTCAATTTAGGGGTCAGCTGACAAGTAAATAGTGTCAACAATTGTGTACATTGAAAACACCCACAATACCACAAATAACAATTATTTTAAGAAGATTTTTAATTTCCATCATAATTTTTCGTTGCTTCTTCTTTTATAAAATAAAAAATCATTTTTAGAAAAAATGAAATGAAATGTGCAACCCTGTTTGGATTTCTAAGATGAGAAAAATACGGGGTATTCAGGCGCAGTTTGACGTGACCATTAGTTCGGCTTCTGAAATAAATGGCTACGGATCATAGGCCATAGTTTCAAATCGAACATAACAAACCTATAATTAAATTTAGATTCTAGTCGTAATTAAGTGAAAAAATGCTGACATAGTTTCAGATCTTTATTGGATAAATACTTATTTCAGATATAAAATTGTCGCAATTTAAGAAAAGTTCTAAAATTGTTTGGTAAAGTTTGTGCCATTTTAAAATAAGAATTATTCACTCTTTTAAACCTTTATTGAACAAAAAGACAATACAAAATTGTTATAAAATAATGTAAATACTTATTTACATAAGAATTATTCTACTTTTTCAAATTATGCATTACTGTTAGCAATTGTGCAAAAATTGAATTGACATTAATACAAACTTTAAAAAAGAAACGTACAACGTAAAATAAATATACGATTTTTAGACACCCCCCTCCCCCCTCCTATCAATTTTGTATATGGATCTTATATGTAAGACATGGATGTAATAAAGTGCGATCGGCCCCCTAGCCTGTCACATATACATATATACTAATTTTGTTGAAAATTGTTGAATAAGAGGTCATGTTCAAAATTGATAGAAGGGAGGGAGGCGGGGGGGGGGGGTCCAAATATCGCATACTAGGGCGGACCCGAAAAATGACGATTGTTCTTAATAAACGTTCCTAGAGAACGATTTTTCAGAGTTTCAGCAAAATTACTATCATTTATTTTTTATTGTAGGTTTAGGTTAGGTTAAGACAATTTCTTGGCCGAGCGCTGCGTCTAGGGCAGGCCATTATATTTATTTCCACCTTCCGTCATTTTCGAGAATTTTAAGTCAAGTTTTCTAAATAAATACTAAATATAGTTTTAAAAGTTTAAAGAAGAAAATATTATATTTTCGCTGAAACAACTGTGCAAGACAGTAAACATATCGAATATTTGCGTTAATATATCATATTTTACAGAACTATATTCATTTTCAGAAGTCAAAATGGGTGGATCACAAAGTGTTGAGGTTCCCGGGGGTGGTACTGAAGGATATCATGTTCTCCGAGTACAAGACGGTTCTCCGGGTCAAAAAGCTGGATTGGAAGCTTTTTTTGACTTTGTAGTTGCCATCGGGAACACTAGGCTTAATCAGGATAATGATACCTTGAAGCACCTTCTCAAGGCGAATATTGAGAAGGAGATCTCTATGACAGTGTACAGCAGTAAGAGTCAGACTGTTCGAGAGGTTTTCATTACTCCGAGTACTCTCTGGGGTGGACAGGGACTACTAGGAGTTTCCATTAGGTTTTGTTCCTTTGAAGGAGCAAACGAGAACGTGTGGCATATCCTGGAGGTTCATCCTAAGAGTCCGGCTGAAAGCGCAGGGTTGAGATCCTTCTCTGATTATATCATTGGCGCGGACAGTATCCTACACGAGAGTGAGGATTTATTCTCCCTGATCGAAGCTCATGAAGGACGTCCATTAAAGCTTTATGTTTACAACACTGAAACTGATCACTGTCGGGAGGTAACTATTACTCCCAATGGAGCTTGGGGCGGAGAGGGATCACTAGGTTGTGGGATTGGATATGGATACTTACACCGGATTCCTATCGGAGACGAATACCAAAAACCTGCAGACCATCATAATCCCCCAACTGCAACCGTAGTTCCAATTGAACCGGTTCCAGAAGTTCAACCTAATGCTCCGATAATAGGAGCCTCCGCACCTATTACAGGAAATCCCTCACCTATGATGGGTACCCCCGCACCAATGATAGGAACTCCCTCTCCTATGATGGGTACCCCCGCTCCTGTGATTGCACCTATTGCAGGTTTTCCCTCTCCCCCCGCTGTTGACGTGAACAAACCCCTGGCCGCCGACGTTCCACTCTTCGGAACAGATATGATTTCTACCGGAGCTGTTACTAGTTCTCACGACTCTGCTCCCTCTCCTATTTTAGCCTTTTCTCCGGAGACATTCCCAGTCCCTGATCCTGCAGTACTGGCAGGTATGCCGGCTCCTCCAACATTCTCTGCGTCCCATCCATCCTATCCAACCACCAGTTATACCTACGAGACTTCTCCCGTCCCTGGTCAGAGCATAAACCCTGAGATTGTCGGACTCAATCCATCACCTGCTCCGCTTGTAACCTCTTCATGAGAATGCAGGACGGATGCTTGTATGTGATATGGGTTCTAGGTTGAAATGTGAAATCTTTATATATTCTGCATTTGATTTACTTTTTCCGTTATGTATAAGTAATAAATATGATTTGGAGATAAATCTCCTAATTTGCACGTATTTCAGTTTAACCGAATTATATTTATTGTTTAAAATATTATTTTTAAATTTTACTTTTAAGATTGTTCTTGCGTCTGTCTTCTTCAATGGTATTTCTTTATCATAATCTAGTTCAAAATTAGATCATTTTAAATCGGGATTAGTTCTGTAACCACTTTTTTTCTCCATTTTGTGTGTCAAAACTATTTTTTATGTAACAAAATAAAGTTTTTATAACCTTTTTCCCCTGTTTTTGTAATCTTAAAAACTGATTTTAGTATTCTGTTCATGTCGAAACTTCCTTCTTATCTCTACTCCAACAGAATAAAGTTTAGAGCCAGCTAACAAGATGCACAGATTTACTGAAGTGGTGTAAATTATTCACAAAAGAATATTTTTTAAGTTTACTGAACAGATTTCCAGATACATCCCTTCATTTTATTCTTTGTTTTCAGATTTATCATGTCCGGACTTTTGAGAAATATCCGCAATGTTACCAGGATCTCTTCAGCTCTGAGGAGCAAAGTTCAGGTTTGGTTTTGTGCTAATTTAGTGGATATTGAAAAAAAACAGGATTTTCTGAATTACCATGTCCCCCGGCTCTGCGAAGAGGGTGGGGGTGAGGACAATTCATATTATTTTGAGGGTTTTAAAAAGGACAGTTAATACTTGAGAATAAAAATGATTTTAATGGGGGGTAATGATTTTACGAGAAAATATACACCCCTGAAAAATAATTTTGATCCTACGGTTTTCTGTATTCATCATAAGCGATTGCAACAGGATAATTACAGGGTGTCCCACATCATATTGGATCGTTTAGCTCTAAATTGCAATTTTCCGGACTAGATATAAAATTAAAAAAAAAACATTTTTAAATTTTTTTAAGCCCAATATAATTTGCATGCAGAAAATACTAGGGTTCACTGATTCAAATCAATACAGAATTTAACTTTGAATCGTTGGTTCCCGGCGGTAGGTAGCTCAAATTTGTCAAAGTCGGTCCAAGTACATTGAATTTATACGACCTGATGAATTTAAATTAAGATTTAAAGGACTAAAGAAATAATTTCAAGTAACCCTCCATTCATTTCCATAAAAACATATGTCTGATCATGGATCACGGAAAGATACTGTTTCTTAGAGTTTCGCGGGGGAAAGTCCAGTTTAAACTGGCATGGAGTGCCAGATGGGACAATCTTGATGTATTCTTTAAAACGACCGCAGACGTGTAACCTCGAATTTCCTGCAGATACAGGTTCTCAGTTAAGCGTTGGAAATCGGATATGCTGTTGTACAAATAGACGGTTACTTGAACTTACTTCCGCAGTCTCTTTAAACCTGGTCTAAATATCATTATTCTAGGTTCGGTCCCTGAGTATTGGAAGTACCCTGCTCCAGGCACAGGTTCAGAAACCTGCTCCGGCATTCTCCGCCCAGGCAGTTGTTCAAGGACAGTTCAAGGAGCTCTCCCTGGCGGACTACAAGGGGAAGTATGTTGTTGTCTACTTCTATCCCCTCGACTTCACCTTCGTCTGCCCGACCGAGATTATCGCCTTCTCCGACAGAATCAAGGAGTTCTCAGATATTGATTGTGAGGTGGGTCAAATTTTTCCGAGTTCAAACAATAATGAATTTTCAGTGAGACCCATGAAACTGAAGAGGAAGACAACTTTTATTTCCAAGCTTCTGGTAAAACTATTTGGTTTTCAACGACATCAAATACACACAAGATTGCTTGGATGTCGTCTTCTTATTCCACAATTTAATCGGGCCCATTTTATCTATCTATCAAACCTTGCCTTACATGCTTAAAAACCATTTCTTCACATTGAATGAGGGGGCGGGGGTAACGTTTTTATGTATTTTTAAGCCCCACTTCTTAAATAGAAAATTAAAATAATCCATCATTGTTCCATAGATAAAATGTCTATGACACTGTTCAGTGTTCAATGCTCACAAAATCGCCACAATTTAAGTTTTACTATTTATAGAAGTTAAAATTTATTTCTTCTTTAGGTTATCGGAATCTCTACTGATTCTCATTTCTCCCACCTGGCTTGGATTAACACCCCACGTAAACAGGGAGGTTTGGGCGGACTCAACTATCCTCTTGTCTCAGATTTCAATAAAACTATTTCCCGGGATTACGGAGTTCTCATCGAGGAGGCCGGAATCGCACTCAGGAAACATATTTATATGATCTACCGCACTCTTTATACCGGTGTCACGTTATACAACTCAGTAACCTAGGATATTCCAAAAGAATACCGAGGATTGCTGGGACGTGCGGGTACTTGTGTACTAGGCATAATAGATACATAGAACCTAATTATCTTGAGTAGCATGAATTTGGGTGAACAAAAACGACGGAGGAATGATTGAATCATATTTTTCTTCCGACCTTTCCCTAAAAGATAATTTGAGATGAACCATGAGTGCTTATGCGGACAAACATAATCCAGGATTTCTCAGACATTTTTAGGGTTGGGGGATAACGGTTTATATCGAATTCTCTTAATAAAAATATAGTAGTGGTAAAAACGTATTTTTTCCTTCACATTCTAACCATGGTTTACTTGGTGCAATGCCTAAGTTTAATAAGTTACCAATCTCTTACTCCCCCCCCACCTCCTAATAAAAAACATGATAGTTTTTTGATATAAATATATATGTTTAGAGGATTATTTATAATTGACCCTCAAGGAGTGGTGAGACAGATGTCTATTAATGATCTTCCTGTTGGAAGAAGTGTTGATGAAACTTTAAGGTAAAGTAGGAGTTTTTAACAATGACGTCATGAGAACTTGTATTCTCTTATTCGGAGGGGTCGCACATGAGAAACTAAGAAAAATTGAATTTCTAGCGCTGTCCCTGCGATCTTCACGTAACAATAGAATGTAAGAAACCCCATCCTCTATTCTATCCGAATTTTTATATTAAGTCTGGATATTTGGATATTTCTAGAACATCTAGTAGAACGTAAAAAAATGAAACATAATTTCTCTGAACTGATATGGTGTGTGACAAGTTTTGTTGTATTATAGACACGGTCTCCACTAGATTTGTTCCAGGTTGATAAAAGCTTTCCAGTTTGTTGAGAAACACGGAGAAGTTTGTCCTGCCAACTGGACTCCAGATGCTCCAACCATTAAACCTGATCCTAAGGAAACCAGTTGAACAATTTCATTTAAATTTGTAGAACTTCACAAAGCATTTAGAAAACATTAATTATAAATTGTAAAAAGTTTTAACTGTTTCAACTTCTCAGGGGTCTCTGGAATACTTTGATAAGGTGAATTAAGTATGCTCAGATATAAGAAGAAACCAAGAAGAAATAAAAAGAACTATATATATATCCGAACCATCATTTGGAGTTCATTCAGTCGTTAAATATTCTTAATTGTCTACAAAGTAGATTTTTACTTTCAGAATTGAACAATGCTAGAAATGTTCTTCAATGGATAGATCTTACCCGGAGCAGGGTTCTTCTAATCTAGTCAATTATACTTCCAGTGAGAACTCACAGGACGAGGAATCAAGGTTCGGATCAGATTCTCCGGGTCCTTCAGGTACTGCGGGATCCAACCAGGAGCGGGATCAACGCGGAGAAATATCCAAGGACAGTTTAGATTCAAGTTTTACAGATGATTTCAGTGATGACGAGAGTATTTGTAGATCTCCGGCTAAATCTCCGTTGAAAAGATCCCGGCTAGCGGCCGGACTAACTCGGAAGAAAAGATTAGAACCAGACTCCGATGAGGGTTCCGGAGCAGACGGAGAAACTGAACCTCGTCTTCCAACAGATCAGGATTTCCAGTTTACTGAACCAAAATTCAGAAAGAAAAAGTTCATTTTTCATCATTTCTTAAGGAATGAGAGTGGAGGTTGTGTTCCGGATCAAACTAAGGTTAGTCTTACCTGATTAACGAACTATAATAGTATTCTCGGCCGCGGGAATTATTCTCAAAATATGTTCATAAAAATTGCTATCCCGCCTCATATTAAATATTTTTGTTAGTTTGTTTAAACTATATTTGAATTTTTCACCCTGAAGTTTTGAAAATCTTGGAAAAATTCACCACTTCTATGAGATGATTTCATTTTCATTCTTTTTTTAAATTAAGTATAATTTTTATTTATTATTTTTGCAATACTAGGATCCTGTTGAAGTGACAATCCCTGAGCAGCTTGCAGCAAGCTACGGTTTATATATCTGGCCTTCATCACCAGTCCTAGCTTGGTATATTTGGCTTCATCAGGTCAGATCATCTACAATTGGTATTTTTTCCCCCCCCCCCTGATCATATACAAGAATAGAAGAGCAATTACTCTCATAGCTCAGCTCATTTAAAAACCTCTTCACCAACACTTTTCTAATAAAAATAATAATGAAATAAGTTATTAAGATAACAGTATCAAAACAGTTTTTTAACAAACCCAACGAAAATAAATAATTCTTTTTAATTAAGTGTTAAAGATCTGCCATTATACCAATATTCTTAATCTCTATAATTTTGCAACCTGATAATTGATGAAATCTTAATCTTTGACTTTTTGATCTAGTAGAAATCGTAGTTTGAAATATCAGAGGTCTACGATATCAGGTTGCAAAGATATCAGGAGTCTAAAGTGAGTGATCATGTCCTGTCTGATTCTCTAATTTTAAATTCTAGGATAATCTGCGAGGTAAGCAAGTATTGGAGCTCGGCGCCGGAACTGCTCTACCAGGACTACTCTCCGCTAAACTAGGTTGCAAGGTTGGTTAAAATAGATTTCAAAATTGTAATATTTTTATGTTTTAGATATTTAATTTATTTTAGGTCATTCTTACAGATAGTTTAAACCTTCCTCATTGTTTGGAGAACTGTAGAGAGGGAGTGAGATTAAACAACCTGGAGGAGAGTGTATCCATCCAACCTTTGACCTGGGGAGCATTCTCTTTACAAACCCTCCGGCTCAAGGGCCGTGTTGATCTCATCCTTGGTTCCGATCTATTCTTTGATCCGGACGTGTTTGAACCCCTGCTGGTCACGGTGAGTTGGATCTTGAGAAATAATCCTGGATCTGAGTTTATCTGCACAGTTCAAGAGCGGGCTGCAGACTGGAGTATTGAAGGATTACTCCTGAAGTGGAAGCTCTCCTGCTCCTATATATATCCGGCGGATTTTCTCCGAGGAACAGGGATCAATGAAACCGATCTGACCGGAAACCATCAAATATTTATTTTAAAGATAACCAACAATGGAGGAGTTTGATGCAGCGTGTAAGTATGTTCGAGGGATTGCTGGAAGGTTGGAGAACAATGATCTACTCTACTTCTATGCTAGATATAAACAGGTTACTGAGGGAGTTTGCAACACACCTAAACCCTCCTTCTACCAGCTCTCAGAGAAGAGTAAATGGTTTGCCTGGACGGAGTTAGGAAACCTGGATAAATGCGTAGCGAGGGATGAATATATTGAGAAGTTGGATATCCTTGAACCTGAGTGGAGAGGAAAGGAAGCTCAGGATCCAACTGCAGGCTGGATTAGTGTAAGCTGTCCTAGGCCTGAGGAACAGGTTCCGGAGCAGGATAAAACTATCTGGGATCGGGTTCGGGACGGAGATCTGGATATACTGAAAAAGATCCTGACTGTGGAGAATGTACGATGCAAGGATGAGAACGGGATGAGCCTACTCCACTGGGCGGCAGATAGAGGGATGACTGAGGTTGCGGAGCTTTTAATAAGTCTAGATAAAACACTAATTAATCTTCAGGTAGATACTTTGTGTTAGTAACCAGAAACTCAGTCCATTGCGTTGCTCTTCTTACTTACTTATTTATTCGCGTCTCTCCATTTTGGTGAATACGGCCATGATGCTATTCTATTATTCGGGGGTTTCACTTTAGGTTCCCTTTTTTAAGATTTCAATTTTTTTTTCTTCAAAAGAGTATTATTTTGGCGTCTCTATTCTCGGTCTATACCACCTTAATTTTAGAATTTTTTTATATTCAGAAAATTATGACAGATACACCTAAATATGTTATGATTTTTGAATAACTTATTATCAATCTCTTTTTCAAGGATGATGATGGGCAGACTGCTCTACACTACGCTACCAGCTGCACCCACCTGGAGATGGTTCGGTTCCTACTCAAGGTCGGAGCAGATCCTTCTCTTCAGGATACAGACGGTGTTACACCCTGTTCGTTGGATTCAAATCCACAAATAAAAGAAATGTTTCTCCAATTAAACACTGTATAGTCTCTGTCTTAAGCTTAATATATTTGATACACTTGTATATGTTTGTAATTCACTGCGATAATCATATTGAGCTTAAATATTCAAGTTCGGAATATTTATTGTTATTGTAATAAACTACTAATTATTTATATAAAGTGTAAACATAACTTTTGTTATTTAACAAACAATTTGATAACTATTGTTTAAAACCAACATTAAACTGTTAGATCTGATCTATTTAGTTTCAGATTAATGATTTAGTTTAATATGGAGAAAGAGAGTTCAAGACTGGAGATGCTGGACGAGGCATCTTTAACTCGTCAACCAGAAGAGGTTCGTAAAAACTCGTTTCCAGGAAGTTAGTACGGGGGACGAAGTGGCGACCAGTGAGTAGATACGGGGGATAGACGGACTTTAGTACTTTTATCAAAGAAAGGATCACAGTTTATTGTGTCTAGAGAGGATTTACGGATTAGGTAGTACACATTCTTGCGTACAGGCAGGAGTTATGGGGGAGGGGGGGGGGGGGCACATCTGAAGCTCATTAAAACTTTGTAATTCCAGGGTTTTTTTTATATTTTTAGTAACACAACTGTTAAAAAATTGTATCGATTCGTACAAGACCTTTTCATGATTTATCAATGAACTTGATAAGTAAAATGTCTCTGTTACAATTTCTTCTATTAAGTTTCTACAAACCATCCAATAATCCTATCCATGTTAATGTCCTAAAAAAACAACCTCTCTTTAAGTTTCTCCTCTTTTGTGTGTATTTATTGAAGAAATTAACATATTTATTGTTTTGTTTTCAGGTGTTTGATATACTTGTTTTGTTTTCAGGTGTTTGATATACTAAGTAAACTAGGGGAGGGAAGCTATGGTTCAGTTTTCAAAGCTTTACATAAAGATTCGAAACAGATTCTTGCAATTAAACAAGTTCCCGTGGATACAGATCTACAGGAGATCATCAAGGAGATATCGATCATGCAGCAATGTGACTCTCCCTACGTAGTGAAATATTACGGATCGTATTTTAAGAACACGGATTTATGGATAGTGATGGAATACTGCGGGGCCGGATCCGTATCAGATATAATGAGACTAAGAAAGAAAACTTTGTCCGAGGACGAGATCGGTACTATTCTCTGTGATACACTTAAAGGTTTGGAGTATTTACATCTACGTAAGAAAATCCACCGAGATATTAAGGCGGGAAACATTCTGCTCAACTCCGAGGGGCACGCTAAACTCGCGGATTTCGGAGTTGCTGGTCAACTCACCGATACCATGGCCAAAAGAAATACTGTGATAGGTTAGTTCATTGAAATCTTCGCGAAAATTTCCCGGAATAAAAAAATAATATTTTAGGAACTCCGTTCTGGATGGCTCCCGAGGTTATCCAGGAGATTGGATATGATTGTGTAGCGGATATTTGGAGCTTAGGCATCACGGCGTTGGAGATGGCGGAGGGGAAACCGCCCTACGGAGATATTCATCCGATGAGGTAACAGGGATATCTTCTACTATTCCTTCCTCTCTCAGAATTTTTTTTCTTTAATTTCATAATTAAGTGTATTGCCAAATTTTAACTTCAGGGTTTAAATAACCAAATAGATTATCAAGTGCAATAGATCGCAACGTAGAATTTGTACAATCTCAGTTCAGCTGCATTACTTACGTCACGAGTGTCAACAGTTTTATGTGTCCGACAAAATTAGTAATAATAGTGATAATAAAGTGCTTATCTTGCAGTGAAAAAAGTGTTCTTTATTTTCTGTTTTTACACTTTTTATTTAATCTTGGAAAACAAGTCAACTAATGGGAGAAAATATTGCCTTTCTTGTTATATTTGACAATTGTGACGTCATGGCTAATTGGTCCATTTCTTTGTTGCNGGGGGGGGGGTTGTCCCAATTTTTCTTGAATCCATTTTTTCATTTTTGGTTTTACAAAAAAGTTTTCTGCTCAATTTTTTTAGCTTATGATAACTATGGAAGTAATTCGTTTTTCAAAATTGCATCAAATAATATTGTATTTGATGAAAAGCTATGCTCAACACTAAGTTGTGAGCTGAGGTAATATTTCACAGTAAGTATTTTCTCACAATTTTTACAATTTCTACATTTTGTTTATCTAGAGCGATATTTATGATTCCTTCCAAACCTCCTCCAACCTTTCGGGACAGCGACAGATGGTCGCCGCAGTTTATCGACCTTGTGTCGCGGTGCTTGGTGAAAACACCAGAGAAAAGAGCGACAGCAAGCGAGCTTTTACATTCAGACTTTATTGGTAGGATATAATTCATACAAATATTGGAACATATGTTTTAAACTTATGATAAACAAACTTCAATAATTTTTTCTCCATAATTTTACATGTTTTCTAATTTATTTTGATTATTTTAAAAATAAATGGAATAATTTCAGTGAACGCCAAATCCTGTCAGATCCTTCACGGTATTATTCTGGAGGCGGCTGAAATACGGGATAATCAACTCGACTCATTAGACGAGGATAATGTAAGATAATTTTCTGGAATATTTTTTAGAAGAAAAGAAACTTAATTCTGACGTTAATAAAACATGAACCCCTGAATTGGTCAATGGGGGAGGAGATTAAAAACCTTGCACTGAAAAATAAGATATTTATGTTAATATATTTCTTAGAACAGAAGTTGAGATGTGTGTATTTTAAGGGGGGGGGGGCGCTCAAATTTTTAGAATTATGTATTTTCGAACCGGGCACAATAGAAAATATCCGAAAAATTTTGCTTTTTACCGAATTATACGATTGTTCACAAAGAAATTTAGAACATATTGATTTAAAAAAGAATTAAAATTGTTGTTAAAGGCCGATAGTGGAACAATGCTACCCGGAGATCAAGGAACCCTAATCAGTATATCAGACGGAACCTTTGTCAATCATCCTACCAACCCGGAGTACGACGGAACCATGCTCCAGTACGGAGACGGAACCATGGTACAGCATGGAACCGGCTCCATGATAGGGGTAGAAGGAGGAACTATGGTTCAACATGATACTGGACCAGGTTCAGCCATATCCAGGTATACTTTTATAAACTGATCAGTTTTGTTTTATATATATTTATAATTCAAGACGGAAAATTTTGCAACATTTAGTTCTGATTGGTGGTTAGAAAAGATAAATATTATAAATCTGAGGGGTTTTTATTATTATTTTTTTTTTTTAAGTTTTAAAGTTCCTTTTGTACGTTTTTTTCGATCATGCCTTGTGAAGATTTAAACATGCACGATAACTAAATAAACAGCATATAAATTGCTAAAAATACGTTACAATATTTCGGCTTTTCAAAAAACCTTATTCCCTTAGATTCTTTTTATTTAAATGTCTGGTGTAGATTCTAACCTGGGAACTATATTGTGTGCAGGACTATGTCTGGTATAAATTCTAACCTGGGAACTATATTGTGTGCAGGACTATGTCTGGTATAGATTCTAACCCGGGAACCATATTGTTTACATGACTATGTCTGGTATAGATTCTAACCTGGGAATTATATTGTGTACAGGACTATGTCTGGTATAGATTCTAACCCGGGAACTATATTGTGTGCAGGACTATGTCTGGTATAGATTCTAACCTGGGAACTATGGTTATAAACGAAGAAGAGGAGGATAGCACAATGAAACAGTACGGGACGGCTCCAGGTGGTTCGAAATACAGGTAATGCTGTTATCATCAGAATATATCGATCTTAATTATCTTTGTGTAAAAACCTCTTTTTTGATGGCATTTAGGGAGTCGGACCCGATAAAATTAGACAACTTAAAGTTAATTTTTAAAAAAATCTCTTTTTCAGGCCAGAATTTCTAGATCATTTTGATAAGAAGGAGAATGACGAGGAGAAGAAGATACGCCCTGAACCTGAATCTAAACCCAAACCTGCTCCGGTAGTAGTCGAGGAAAAGTCCCCTCAACTTGAAATCGCAAAACAAAATCTGCAACGACAACTTCAACAAATTGCAGGTGCCCACCACGTTATCAAACAATTTTCATTTGGTCACTGATTTTTCAACAAAAAATTTATTTAGGACAAAATTTGTCAGTGGCCATGAGCCAGCCTTTAAACCCATTGAGTTCCGATAAGTTCCAGAGATCTATTAACGAGGGAGACTTCGAGTTCCTTAAGTTTCTACCCTTTGACGAACTTAGTATGAGAATGTCAGGTAGGATTTTACTAGGCCAAACGGCTAGACCAAATTGGTTTGAATCACGAGCCGGGTGACAGGCTTATTTTTTTTCAGAACTATGTCTATAAATTATAATATAACCTGGGTGACGTCTGGTACTCTAGTTAGTTTAATTATATAATTTGGAAAACAGAATAAAAGTTTGTTGATCCAATTAGCAAAATATAAAAAGAAAACTTACGTTCTTCTCACATAAATCTCAAGTGTAAACTAAGATTTGTTGGGTAAAGCCCTGAACTACCATTAATAAAGTGTTAGCTCCTACAGTTAACGAGAATAAAATTATTTGGAAATTATGTTTGATGAAAGGAAATCAGTATTGCTTGAAAACGTACATTAAAGTTGAACAAAGTCAGGCATAAAGAATTCAAAATATAATGAATTCTGATTATTATTACTTATCAGGTTGATTACTTATCTTTTTACGAAGTTAGATTTAATAACTTAAATAAATGAGCAATCAATATGTTTGAACGAATCTAGGTTTGGATTCTGAGATGGAGAAAGAGATTGAAGATCTGAGACGAAGATATAATGCAAAGAGACAACCCATCCTTGATGCCATGGATCAGAAACGAAAACGACAACAAAACTTTTAAATTTATTATTAATCATAGAACTAGTAAGTTGGGTATTGGCACTTTTTTATGTCCAACATTAATTATTAAACGATGTCCAAACGATGTCTACCTGTAATCTACTTAAACGTTATTTATAAAAACCAAATTATCAGGTTACAAGACGCCTTCCATATGTAACATGTGATTATAATGTTGTTATCCAAACTATCATAGGTTATTTTATTGATATGTGTCAAATGACACAATTCCTATTCAATATTCATGCTAAAACTAGAGAACGATAAGTAACATATGCAATTCATGCTGAAACTACCGACTTTCGTGAACTTAAAATTTTTTTAAAAGCAGGTATACCGAGCGCTTCAGCTATTGTTTTGAGATATTATGTTTACTATCTTCTTAAGCGAAATAATGAAACTTTAGAAAAATTTAGATAAAAAAGATAAATTGTCAATTTCTTCTCTTGTTTCTGCTGCATAGACTTTTAGAAAAGCTGCATTTGGAAATCTATTGATTTTCAAATAGAAACGTAAGGGTTTTCCTTGTTGTTCAGACAAAGGTTTAAATGGTACCGTTTTACATCGGGCATTTCACTCTTTGGAAATGAAGGATTACTTAAACTTATGTTACAGCCTATTTTAGTCAAGAGTGCACGGTTTAAAATTTTCTGATTTTTAGATTTGGTTTTGTTTATTTCTCAATATATTCTTTTGATTATTGTGAAAATTCTTTAGTGCGTTGTTCCAACGTGATTCTTAGGAAATAGTTGGAATTTTTACTGCAAATATCTTAACTATAAACAAGAAAACTGTAATTTCATGCTTGCAATGTCTTCGACAAAATCTTCACGCTTTCAAATCATAGTTCTCAACTACTTTCAAAACAAATATACCCATGTTAACATTATTAACGAACTTATATCAGTCAAAGTATTATAGTATTGAAATTTTCATAGAAAGTGGTTATCAATATTTGTACTCTTTAATCGCTTTGTATATAAGTTATTCTTAAAGTCCAAATTCAGTCTTGATCTTATCAAAAATAATGATTAGAATCCTTTCCAATGGTTGTTAAAAACACGCTTCTATAATGTATATTGTATACCCCCTGGTAAATTTTTACTAGTATATTTGAATGATATTTAAAATATTTTACCTTTTATATTTGCTTGAAACACATGAACCTATAAAACTTGAGAAAAGGGAAGCCTAGAAATAATATTTATGTTCCCTGTGAATAATAAACGTCAAAAAAATCTCTTCTAGAAAGCAGATTTCTTACGATGATCTAGAATGGGCTTTTCTAGTTTCTCCTCCAATAAATAATACAATTCTTCCTGTTTTTGAAGATCTAGAAAGTATATTTCTAGTCTCTACTAAATATAAAGATCTACAAAGCATATTTCTCTTTATTATGTTAACCTAGAAACATTATTTCTAGTCTCTCCTCCTGATTTCAGAAGAATGGACGGTGATAAGGATGCTGCTGTTATTAAGATGCCGATGATCTATATTTGCGGAGAGTGTCATGGGTAGGATAGAAATTTTAATTTTCCTGGTAACCCACTAAGAATGAGACTTCAGCAGGGAATAAGAATAAAGGGAATTGGGAAATGGCGTTGTCTGGCATAAGAAAGCCAGTTGCACTGCTGTGCAGACGAGTTCGATATTACAAACGCACACTCTTTTGGTACAGACACAACATGACTACAGTAAAGGAAATTGCAGAACTATGTCGTCAATTATAATTAAGCTCAGATAAGGAGAAGTTTATTGTAAACTTTAATCAAATTATATTCTTTGCGTGAAAATTTGGTTTCCAGTGTTGACTTAAATATATAAAAAATTATTACATATATATTAAACTTATTTTTAAAGAAACAATTAACAAGAAACAAATGTATTCTCCTAGACTGTACAAATACCGAGATTCTTATGTACTGTAAAGAGAAGTTTATTGTAAACTTTAATCAAGTTATATTCTTTGGGTGAAAATTTGGCTTCAAGTGTTGACTTAAATATATATAAAAAAATATTACATATACATTAAACTTATTTTTAAAGAAACAATTAACAAGAAACAAATGTATTCTCCTAGACTGTACAAATACCGAGATTCTTATGTACTGTATTATACCTAAAGTACACGCCTTCGGTTCGTTATTAATTACACACAGTCTTTTGGTACAGACACACATACATGACGTTTCCGCCCTCTGGACTTCAGAGACTATTGTATGGAATTTACACTGTTATCTTATATTCATGATTCCCTGCAACTGGTAACTTGTTTCCCTCGTTACCAAATCATTTAAAGACTGTCAAAGACCGAAAACTTACTTTAACCTTGGGATCGTCATATTTTAAGAATTTTATGTCGTCTTTTCGTCTCATTCTTTGCGGATAACCTTGTATATCTTGTCAACTGATTTGGGATGGTTTTCAAAACTTTGAATATCTTAGATAATTTTTTGGGTTTTTAATCTTATTTTGTTTGTTAGGGAGAATGAGATCCGACCTAAGGATGCAATCAGGTGCCGTGAGTGCGGATACAGGATCATGTACAAGAAGAGAACCAAGAGATTGATCGTTTTCGACGCTAGATAAACATTGTACAACCTCAGTATTCTCATATTCATGTGCAACGCTTTTACATTTATGTACACTACATCGTACACCTCCTTTACTTAAATATGTTTTCAGATAAAATGGCTAGGAGGGCGGATATAGGTGAACTGTTCACCCTAAAGGTTGACAATATCTCGTATAGAACTATTCCTGATGATCTTGAGATTCTCTTCGGAAAATACGGGAAAATTGGAGACATTTATATACCTAAGGATGGGTGAGTTGGATTTATTAATTCTTGCATGCATGACCGATTATTTATTGAAAAAAACTTGCTAATATAGTGAAGGATTAGACATAAAGTACAAACACTGATTAATTAATTAACTTATCAACTAAGCGATTGGTTGATTTTATTACTTGATTAACTGTATGTTACTGAGATCAAAGTAAATAAAATATAAGTGGTAAGCTTACGGGAAACAAAGGCTAAAATAAATTAAAATAAATAAGAAAACCCCAATGATAAAGGAATTGAAACCTCCAAAATGTTCAATAGATTGATTTTTTTAAAACTAAATATTTTTATTATCCGTTTAGTTAGTTGATATAACAATGATTCATATATATCACAATTTTTTATGTACGGAAGTGTGGTTACATTTATATATTTTGTTACACTAAATATCGACTAGAGTTATACAGCGACAAGCAAGAAATAATTAAACTAAGAAAACCTTTAGGTTGTAGCTTAAAAGGTAAAGCCGACATTTGTATCGTTTCAACACGTGACTAAGAATAGTTAGTTGGCAATTGAAAGGTTGATTGATAAGCGCTAATTCATTAAAAAGTTTTTTTAAATTGATTGATTGGTTGGTTGGTGTGTTGATTGATTGATTGATATACTCTAGACGAACTGGGGAGACGCGTGGATTTGCTTTTGTTCGATTTTACAAGAAAAGGGATGCTGAAGATGCCCTGGACGATATCAACGGAAGGTTGGTTTTCATTCATATCTCAGGATTTATCTGAGTTACTTTTACAAATGTTTTTATTTTTTGACAAATGGTATCTTTTCTGATACAAATTTTTTTAAAAGAAAGTACGACGGTCGGGATTTGAAGGTACAGTTCGCCAAGAACAAGAAGACAGAGTGGGTAGACTTTAACAATAGAGGATCAAATAGAGGATCAAGAAGAAGATCAAGATCAAGACGACGATCTCGATCCAGGTCAAGAAGACGATCAAGGTCCAGATCTCGATCCAGGCGCCGATCTCGATCCAGGTCTCATCGTCGATCCAGATCCAGATCAAATTATCGGCGTGAATCACCTCGATCTAGATCGCGGAGCTCTGAGAAACGGAATCGATCAAAATCGAGTGATCGTTCTAATTAAAGGTTGAACTCCAATTAGACCGGATAGACGGTTCAGCTGCGTTTATTTTGTGAACTGGAAAACTTCAATATATGAAACCAATGTGTGTTATTAAGTTTATTATAAATCTACTAATTAATATTACAAATAGTAGAGTTGTAATAAATGATTACCATCTTTACATCATTGACAATACCTTTCAAAACCTTTCCAAGCTGTATGTTTTTGCATTATAAATCTTCTTTTATTTCATTGTTAGTTTTGCCAGGCATCATTCTGAAGGAAACGAATTGTTTCACTTAAGTAAGATTTCGTTTCTTATATCTATTTTGTAATCGGAATTATATAAAAAAATATGTTTGTTTTTGTATCTTTTTTCTTTAAATATTGTAATAAAACTTAATAATATCTAGAGAAAATTCAATTTAATTTATCTTTTCAGAAACATGAAAATACAAAATGTGAAGAAAATATTTGGTTCTCATTTTACAAGATTTGATATTTCGAGAACTAGACCATTTTCTTTAGTTTATCCGGAGACAGTTAGTCCTAGGTTTAATCCTAGTCACATTCCAGGAATATATTCATAATTTCATTCTTCATCCATAGTTTAATCCTAGNTTTTGAAAATTTTGAAAATCGACGAAATTTTTTGTGAAAATCCGCGAATTATTTTTGTTTTGTTTTACGATGTACACAAAGAGAACATGTTCACAATTAATTTAGAAGAGGCTAGTATATTCATAATTTCATTCTTAATCCATTGTTTAATCCTAGTCACATTCCAGGAATATATTAATAATTTCATTCTACATCCATAATTTAATCCTAGTCACATTCCAGGAATATTCATAATTTCATTTTAATTCTCATCCATTCTCAGGAATATTTATAATTTCATTCCTCAAACCTCATCCATAGTTTAAACCTGGTCACATCCCAGGAATATTCATTATTTCTGAATTTGTATGGACGCTACGTTCTAAGGTATGAGTCGTGTTTAACCATTTTCTCCTTATAGACGCAACAGATAGAAGTAAGATTAGTAGCGATCACCATCGAATATATTTCGATGTAAGCCTATACCCCTTTCATTTTTCGTGAACACTCTTAAATGTTGTGAAACTGTACACTTGTAAGATTTTCATTTCGTCTCCAATTAATGAATATAAAATATGATTCTCAGAAGGAATTGTTCCCCCTCCGTATTATGCTACCGGAGACCCAGGTTCAGCTCCGAGTACGCCGGAGATCAAGGATGAGACGAGTATACAAGCAATGAGAAGATCATGTAAGCTTGCCAGACAAATACTAGATAAATGTGGACAGGTATTGTTGGAGTAAAATTAAAGTTTTAGCAAAGAAGAATAACTCGGAATTTTTGAAGTAAACTAAGGTTTGTTTTAGTTGGTTAGACCGGGATTAACAACAGATGAAATAGATAAATTTGTCATGGAAGAATCATTTAAAGCTGGCTGCTATCCTTCTCCCCTTAATTACAGGTAAGTTTCCCCCCCCCCCCTTCCATCTAAGGTGTAGTTCTCCATCCTCCCTAATTACAGGTTTAATTCTCTTTACCTCCGTAATATAGGTTTAGTTTTTTTCCCCTTTAATAAAAAATATAGTCCTCCTTTCCCTTAATTAAAGGTAAGCTTTTCTTTTCTCCTAAATCATAGGTATAGTTCCCCTTCCCCTTTAGTTATTGGTACAGTTCTCCTTCCTATCTTAATTATAGGTATAGTTCTCCTTCCCATCTTAATTACACGTATAGTTCTCCTTCCCATCTTAATTATAGGTGAAGTTCTCCTTCCCATCTTAATTATAGGTAAAGTTCTCCCTCCCTCCTTAATTATAGGTAAAGTTCTCCTTCCCATCTTAATTATAGGTATAATTCTCCTTCCCATCTTAATTATAGGTATAGTTCTCCTTCCCATCTTAATTATAAGTATAGTTCTCCTTTCCATCTTAATTATAGGTATAGTTCCCCTTCCCATTTAGTTATTGGTACAGTTCTCCTTCCCATCTTAATTATAGGTACAGTTCTCCTTCCCATCTTAATTATAGGTATAGTTCTCCTTCCCATCTTAATTATAAGTATAGTTCTCCTTTCCATCTTAATTATAGGTATAGTTCCCCTTCCCATTTAGTTATTGGTACAGTTCTCCTTCCCTCCTTAATTATAGGTACAGTTCTCCTTCCCATCTTAATTATAGGTAAAGTTCTCCTTCCCTCCTTAATTATAGGTATAGTTCTCCTTCCCTCCTTAATTATAGGTATAGTTCTCCTTCCCATCTTAATTATAGGTATAGTTCTCCTTCCCTCCTTTATTACAGGAATAATTCTCCTTCCCTCCTTAACTACAGGTATACTCTCCTTTTCTCCTTTTTTATGTTTAATTCTCCTTCCCCCCTTGAATATAGATACAGGATAACATGTTTTCCCAAACTCAAAAATATTTTTATTTCCAGAAATTTCCCGAAAGCTGTGTGTACTTCTGTTAACAATTGTGTAGGTTACTCAAGAGCACATTTAATAATTCGCAAATTCAAGGGTTTTTAAATGTAATTGTATTATTACAATTATTTTTATTTAGATTCAAGGGTTTTTCTTCATAACATTGAACTCAGATTTTTTTAATTATCTGAACTAATTATTAGTTTAATATGGCTTTGTTTTAATAGCTTTCAAGAGGGGCATGTCCGATGGGTTTCTATCTAAAATTGAAAATCTTGGTGTTTCTCTGAATCTTTATTATAGTACAGAAATCATAGAAACAAAGAACAAAACTAATCATCATTATTAATGATAAAGGTTTAGAGGGTAAATCGGGTATTACTTCAAATGACTACGATAGTACATTTAAACAAAAAATTTAATTTTTAAATGAAATGTTGCTCTTGGTAAGGTTTGTCACGGTGTACCTGACAGTCGACCCCTGGAAGACGGAGATATTATTAATATTGATATAACAGTGTTCAAGGACGGATTCCATGGAGACTGCTCCGAGACATATCTAGTAGGTTTAATATTGATATTGATAAACAGTGTTCAAGGACGGATTCCATGGAGACTGCTCCGAGACATATCTAGTACGCTTAATATTGATATAACAATGTTCATGGACGGATTCCATGGAGACTGCTCCGAGACATATCTAGTACGCTTAATATTGATATAACAATGTTCAAGGACGGATTCCATGGAGACTGCTCCGAGATATATCTAGTAGGTTTAATATTGATTAACAGTGTTCAAGGACGGATTCCATGGAGACTGCTCCGAGACGTATCTAGTACGCTTAATATTGATATAACAGTGTTCAAGGACGGATTCCATGGAGACTGCTCCGATACATATCTAGTACGCTTAATATTGATATAACAATGTTCAAGGAAGGATTCCATGGAGACTGCTCCGAGACATATCTAGTAGGTTTAATATTAATAAACAGTGTTCAAGGACGGATTCCATAGAGATTGCTCCGAGACATATTTATAAGGTTTAATATTTATATAACAGTGTTCAAGGACGGATTCCATGGAGACTGCTCCGAGACATATCTAGTTGGTTTAATATTGATATAACAGTGTTCAAGGACGGATTCCATGAAGACTGCTCCTAGACATATCTAGTACGCTTAATATTGATATAACAATGTTCAAGGACGGATTCCATGGAGACTGCTCTGAGACATATTTATCAGGTTTAATATTTATATAACAGTGTTCAAGGACGGATTCCATGAAGGTTTCTCCGAGATATATCTAGTAGGTTTAATATTGATATAACAGTGTTCAAGGACGGATTCCATGAAGGTTTCTCCGAGATATATCTAGGAGGTTTAATATTGATATAACAATGTTCAAGGACGGTTTCCATGGAGATTGCTCCGAGGCAAATCTAGTAGGATTTATTTATCTTATTCATCAATATCAGGAATCAGGACAAATGTTTCTTACATGAGATTTTTTCCATAGATATAATCATTATTTTTTGTTTTTAAAATGTCTTCATAGGTTCTTAGCCAATTATTAAAAAGTTCAATTATTTATTAAATGATTCAATCAAAGTAATTCTTGGATATTTTTTAATCTACGTTAACACGTACTTAGTCTTTTTTGTACCAAGACCTACTAATTTCCAATGTGAAGATGTGAACATGAATTCATGAATAAATGAAAACACGAATATGACTTTTGAAGATGTTAACATGAATATATGAATACATGAAAACATGAATGACTTGTTAAGATGTAAACATGAATATATGAATACATGAAAACATGAATATGACTTGTGAAGATGTGAACATGAATTTATGAATACATGAAAACATGAATATGACTTGTGAAGATGTAAACATGAATATATGAATACATGAAAACATGAATATGACTTGTGAAGATGTGAACATGAATGAAAACATGAATATGACTTGCATTAAAAATGTTTAATCTATGCTTATCAAGAAATTGATCAATGTTAGGATGACATTTGAGACTCTTTCTCAGGAATTTAGTTTTTATTAAAGGGAATGACTGAGAATGTATGGTAGTTGGAACTGAGAATGCTGTTTTGAAAAAAAAAAAATTAGAATTCATTTGAATTTAGAATGCATATTTGTTCAGCAAGAGTGCAAATTCGATTTTTAAAATACTCCTTCATTGTCCATTCTGAAGAGATAATTTCTCCACAATACTACATTCTCAGTTCAACTACCATACATTGCCGGTCACTCCCTTTAAATAAGATGAATTCTGTTTTTCTAAAAATAAGATCAAAGATTACATAATCTATAAATCCCCTATTTCAGGTTGGTATTGTTGATCAGAGTGGTGTTGAGCTCCTAGATATTTCTAGACAGTGTTTATACACAGGAATACAACAATGTGGACCAGGGAAACCTTTCTCAGGTTCCTAATCTCATCTCATTTATAATCTTAACCCAGTGGTGTGTTTCATACCTGGAGATATTAATCTGAACTATCTAGGTATAGGGAAAGCTGTGGAGAATCTTCTGTATGGAACACGGTTCCGAGTAGTTCCTGCTTTTACTGGCCATGGTATTGGTCGATATTTTCATGGTCCTCCTGATATTTACCACTGCAGGTGAGTAAAGATTAGATATTTTCTTGGAATAGTTTTCTGGAGTAATAAAACCAAGGATAGAGTTTTTAGTAGAACTAGATGGATCAAGATATCTGTTTTAGGAATAGATATCTTTGAGTAATGAAACCAGGAATAGTATATTAACAGTAGATATAGATGAATCAAGATATCTGGTTTAGGAATAGATATTCTGGAGTAATGAAACCAGGAACAGTGTTTACAGTAGAACTAGATGGTTCATAATATCCCTGGTTCAGGAATAGATATCCTGGAGTAATGAAACCCGGAATAGTATTAACAGTAGAACTAGAATGATCAAGATATCTGGTTCAGGAATAGATATCCTGAAGTAATGAAACCAGGAATAGTGTATGAACAGTAGAACTAGAATGATCAAGATATCTGGTTTAGGAATAGATATCTTTGAGTAATGAAACCAGGAATAGTACATTAACAGTAGATATAGATGAATCAAGATATCTGGTTTAGGAATAGATATCCTGGAGTACTGAAACCAGGAATAGTGTTTACAGTAGAACTAGATGGTTCATAATATCCCTGGTTCAGGAATAGATATCCTGGAGTAATGAAACCAGGAATAGTATATTAACAGTAGAACTAGATATCAAGATATCTGGTTTAGGAATAGATATCGTGGAGTAATGAAACCAGGAATAGTACATTAACAGTAGAACTAGATGAATCAAGATATCTGGTTTAGGAATAGATATCCTAGAGTACTGAAACCAGGAATAGTGTTTACAGTAGAACTAGAATGATCAAGATATCTGGTTCAGGAATAGATATCTTTGAGTAATGAAACCAGGAATAGTACATTAACAATAGAACTAGATGAATCAAGATATCTGGTTAAGGAATAGATATCCTGGAGTATTGAAATCAGGAACAGTGTTTACAGTAGAACTAGATGGTTCATAATATTCCTGGTTCAGGAATAGATATCCTGGAGTAATGAAACCAGGAATGGTGTTCACAGTAGAGCCTGCTATATCGGAGGGTTCGGATAAGATCTATATACTGGAAGATGAATGGACAGCAATTACTACAGATGGTTCGAGATCAGCACAGTTCGAGCACACAATTCTTATCACAGGTAGTGCTGACGCCTGCGTCGGAACCTAATAAATAAACTGAGAAACTTAAACTTTTGGTGTTTTATTTAAAGATCCCAGAGTTTCAGTAGGAGAAACAATTAAGTTTTAGAAATTCTTAACTCAAACAAATTGCATTTTTTTATATTATTTCTATATATTGGGTCTGTCCTAGTGAACGATTTTTGGACCCCCCCCCCCCTCTATCAATTTTGTACATGACCAAATTAGTTTTTATTTAGCATTATTTAGGGTTAGGTTGGGTTAAGACACTTTCTGGGCCGAGCGCTGCGGCTAGGATGGGCTAGGGGGCCGAGCGCTGCGGCCACGTGTTAGGTTAGTTAAGACACTTTCTGGGCTGAGCGCTGCGGCTAGGATGGGCTAGGGGCCGAGCGCTGCGGCCACGGGTTAGGTTAAGTTGAGACACTTTCTGTAAGATCCATGTACAAAATTGAGAGGGCCTGGGGGGGTCCAAAAATCGTTCTCTAGGAATATACCCTATATATTATATTACTTATAATAGATGGCATTAAATGATTAACTTATTAAAAAGTTAAAATTTGTTTTAGAAACTGGAGTGGAAATTCTTACAGTGGGCCCTGAGCAAGAAAAAGAAACATAGAAGTTTTTACATTTAATAATAAATAAATTGTTTGATATGTTTTAGTTCAATTATACATTAATATTCTGTAAAGCGAAGACGACTTGTTCTTCTTATTGCGTTGTTTGCAACTCTGAATATAGGTTTACATTGAGCGCGGAGAATATTTGTTCTATAAACAGACTGAGATTCTGTTCGATCATTTCAACATTTTGCAACATAGACAGCTATTTTAAATCATTTCTTATAATGAGTTCAAGTTCCGAAGGCTTATTAATGAATTAAACTTTACATGGCAATATCGTTTTAAACTTCAGATTTTAACAATGGCTTCAAATCCGAGTATTGCAAATGAAGCAGAGGAAATGAGAAGAGAAGAGGAACGAAGAAAAAGACCGGATGTGCAAAGATACAAACCCGGAGCATTTAACCGGAAACCAGAACCACTCTTTCCGGAGGGAAGTTTCAAACCCGAGATAAGAACTGTTGGAATAGTGTCAGAAAGGAACAAAGAGAACAGGAGAGGGGGGCAAGGAGTAACAGAGCAAACTGGAAATAAAGATAAAGGAAGGAAACCAGAGAAAGAACATTTTGTCTCCAAGAAGGTTCAGGAGAAGGTAGTGCACGAAAGTAAAGATGGAGTGAAGAGTGGGAGCAGGGTTGAAGAGAATTCTATCATCCAGGATACAGGAGGAGGAACGAACACCCGGAAAAGGAAGAATAAGAAGAATAAAAGTAAGGACAAGGATAAAACTATCATTACTGTTGCTGCTAGCGAAGAGAACGTTGTTACCAAACCTACTCCTCTACTAAACGGAGATGATCATAAACCAGCACAAGTAAAGAAACCAGAGAAAAGTCAACACGACGATATACCGACTAGAAGTCACTATTCAGGGGCAGCACAAAGAAATAACGGGAGAAAAGATCGAGATAAAATAACCCCTAAACCTGATAATCAGGACGGGAAAGATCGAGTGAAACAGAACCCCAAATCTGACAATCATGACATGAAAGATCGAGATAAGAAAAACCCTAAACCTGATAAACAGGACGGGAAAAATCAAGAGAAACAGAACCCTAAATCTGAAAACCAGGATGGGAAAGATCATGTGTTTCGTGTCCCCGATCCAGTATCTAGAAACTACCAAGAGAAAAGATCAGACCGAAGAGGACACGTCTCAGATAGAAGAGATTACAAACCATCCCGAGATGATCGGGGACTCGATTTGTATGATCAAAGACAGGGTAAACGTGAGATGAATCCTGAATTAGGAGAAAGGTTGGAGAGCTGGGGAAGAGGCGGAGGTAGAAACGAGAACGGGTTCCAAAGATCAGACAGAGGAGGAGATTACTGTTCTCACAGAGGGTTTAGTGGATCAGAACGGAGATCGGATCGAGATCTCCGAGGATCTGGACATGGGATGAGAGGAGCAGATAGAAACCGGTTTAACCGTGACGTTCCTCAGGGACGGAGTCAAGGCATGGATTACAATCTAAGAGGAGACTCTGAACCTAAAGAGAATGGAAGAACATCCTGGAAACAAGATCAATTTTCCCGAGGTGGCAGGCGGGGAGGTTCCCGAGGGAGTTCTCCTCAACGTGGAGGTAGAGGTCGCTGGTCCCGTGGTAGTTCACCTTCCCGGAGTAGCAGAGGAAACTCTCCAATTAGGTCAGTTTTAGAGATTTAATGTATATTGAATATTTATTTCTTTTTTCTTTTTGTCAATATTTATTTTTCCATTGATGGTTTACAATTTTAATTTTACAGAGCGAACTCCCGTCCAGATTCAAGAAGGACTTCTCCGAGTTTTCAGCACAGCAGAACTAACTCTCCGGTCAGACATACCAGAGTTTTCAGGAAAAATAATTCTCCTCCGTCCCAAAGATCTACTGTATCCCGGACTCCAAGTCCACGGAGCCGAAGGAACCAGGATACTAGAGATCTAGATGGATATACCAGGGACCAGAGAAGGTAGTAAAACTAGTCAATTTATTTATTTTAACATATTTATTATTTAAAACTTTTGTTAAAGGAGAGATGAGGGATTGTGGGATCCGCAAGGTAAACCTCCTTCTGGTCGTGTCAAGTCAGCTCCTGTAAAAACCAGTCTCCCTCCGAGATTCCAAAAGACTAAAGAGCGGAAAATATCCCGACGACTGGAGACTGAGACCTGTCATATGTCGGACTGGTCTGTAGAGATGGAGGAGGAGGATGAGAGGAAATCTCAGCTGGGTTTATCTCCTCCCTCCGGTCCAGGGATTATCAGAATATCTGAACCCCAGACCGGTTCTGCTCTTGAACTCCGGGCACAACCGATCAGACCAGGAACCTACTCCGCTCCGTTCCATCCGTCCTGGAACCAGACCTTGCCTGCAAATATGAGTGCTGAGAAAGAGAAGTTTTTGTTTGACCCAAGTAATCCTATGAAACCTATAAGGATGCAGGATATGTCGGCTCGAGACAGGTTGGATAACTCGTATCCTGACTTCTCCTGTCCTACTAATCCTAACATGAGATTTCCAATGGGAGTTTCCAGGTATAACTTTATCTTAATTGAATCTTCTTATTTTTAGTATTGACAATCATTTTAAGATCGCTTAAAAATTGATTCCCTAAATCTCTTTCTAGAATTATGTAATTTTCTTCTTAATATATTTTGCCAAAAACATTGGCATCATCAGGAGTACTTTCTGTAAAAAAAGGAAGATTTTAAACAATTAATGAATTATACAATTTACTTATAAAAATAAAAGGTAAAAAATAGAATAAAACTTAACTATGAAAAAGTTTTAACAAAATATGCCTCGCTTCTATGTTGAAACAGTAAGGAATGACTAACTAGTGTGTGTGGGGTCCACGCGGGGCCGTGGAAGAGGGGGGGAGGGGATGTGAATAAAACTCGTTCCTGAAGTAGTCAAATTCCTTAACAAATGTCTGAACAATACAAGAAATTCTGAGTAGAAACATTTTTCGAAGTGCCTTCATTATAGACAAAATGTATGCATGAACATGAAAACATTATAGACAAAATGTATGCATGAACATGAGAAACTGTTTTCTTATTTTCAAGTTGCACATAGCATCTTATTGAGTCCCGATCTGACTTTATGTAGACATCTTCAAACTTTTCCCTCTAGGTTTAATCCTCCGCCGCAGATGTATCCTCCAAACATGATCCCTATGCATCCTGGACCTGGAGCTGGATACCAACCACCGTTTCCTCAACCTATAATGCCGACGTCTGGTGTCGCGTTTCATCCTGCGTTCCATGGTCCTGATTGGTTTAACGTGTTTGACTCTAATATCTACGGAAGCGGGAAGATCGATATAAATATAATTGTGAGGATAGTGTCAGCAGATAAGAAGCTCCGCCATCTAGTCCAAGGTTAGATCACATCTACAATCTTTCTCTAATTGAATACCTGAAAAATATTATTTTTGTGTACAAGGTTTTGATTATGTCTTTTTAGGTGTCATTGATAACTTTTAACCATGACAGTTTGTTTGTTTTAAGAATTATGAATTTTAGGATGGATTCGACGTATTATTGTATTTGGTTGGAGAGAAGGTTATCGTTTACAAATATTACAAATGTCTTGAACCAGTGCTTAGGATCGGGATCTGCAACATTTTAACTCCCTGGTTCCGAAATCCGGATCCGCTTAATTGCGGATTGTGGATTCATGAATCGAAATCCAGAATGCAAATTATCAATTAAAACAACGAAAAAGTTTTACTCTCAATATTAAAGTGAACCAAATCAAAATTATTAACAACAACAAAAAAGAAATTTTCGGAAAGAAGTTAAATCTTTGCAACCTGATGTTGAAACCCTTTGATTTTTCTAACTTAGATTATTTGATGAACAGAATTCATAGTTTTAAATATCTAAGATCTACGAAATTGGGTTGCAAAGATATAAAGATTAAAAAATCAGAGTTTGTTGCAAAGATTAAATTTCTTAGCTCCTGCTAACTAAGAAATTAGCAAAACTTTAAAAAATATTAATGATGTATCCGGTTCTGGATTTATATCCGGATCCACATTAAAATGATATTGATCCTAAACACTGTCTTGAGTATTGATCCCTTTGATCTACTTGTGTATTTGTCATATTTTTACTGAAGTTCATCAATGTTTTAACAAAATCATTACGCTTGCTAATCAGAATACAGACTAATTGTGCTTTTTATACATAGACAATTTGACAAGATTATTCCGAGTATGTCATTATGATCTCAAGATTACAAAACATTACTTTGATAATTCTCATACATCGTGAGGTAAAAACAAAACGACGAATCGACGAATCTATCCCTAAAAATGTTTCTTGAACTGAATATCTTGGTTTGCTTCTTTACTAATTGTCTGTCTGAGGAAGGTTTGGTTTGGAATATTAATAACCTACAGTAGGGTCGAGTTCAGAAGAAACCTCCCGTCATATCTTGTCTCCTGTCATTATTTATTCAAGTATTTTACTGCTTAGAGCTTACGGAGATTGGAACTTTTGTGTGGATATCGTTATTTTTGAACCCTTGACCTCGATATCTAATTTGGGTACTTTTGAATTTCAGGATGATTTAAAGTTAACCCTGCAGGGTATGACTATTTGATTAATCTGTAGATCTGCATAACATGGGGATCAATGCTTGATCCCAAGATTTACAATACAAAAGTTCTTACTTCTGCTTAGATATTTGACATTGCGCATTTTGTGAAAGTCTGATCTGCCCAGGGTATAATCCGCAAAGTTCTATGTTCATTGTTTATCTAGGAGGTCCAGCCGTCATCTGTAATCGTTGGGATCAAGAGGTTCGGGAGATCAGACATGAAATCATGGTAAAAAAATATTTTGTTTTATGTATTCCCCTTCTCCCATACTCTCTCTTTACTTAAATTTTCAAACCGATTTGAATTATCGTATTGCAAATTTTAAAAAATTCAGTTTCGGACATCACTTGCAAGTTGTACAAAGTTTTTTGTTTGCCAATCAAAAGATTTTTATTTTGATTAGAAAATTTTATTCTTTTATTTTGACGCGTGGGTAAAACTTTTGGTATGAATTAGGATTAACTGCATAACACTAAATCAAATAATAATAATATTCTATTCCTAATCGATAAAGTATATTCTACTTCTAGTGTTGTTTTTTATCTAAAATTATTAATACAATTTTCCTCATTTTCATTTGTTTGTTTTTTCGTATTATTTATGATAATAGGGAAAGTTTAAAGAGAATTATTGTTCTAATTGGAAAGGTTTGTAGATTAATGATTATCTAATCTATTTGGCCTTCTTACATTACATTTAGTCACATTACGTCATGAGACTACTTAAACACTTTTTATACAGTGTTAGCCACAAAGGATGAGACTTCAAAGACGTTTGTACGGAATTTATCAGCTGTTTTTCTTTATTTTTACGATTCCTTACAACTGTGAACTTGTTTGTGTCTATATTAAATCATTAATTAAGCCATTGGATTACTATATCTAAGGCAGAATACATGATTTAACTTTGGGATCGTCACATTTAAGGAGTTGCGTTGTCTTTACAGTCTCATCTGTTGTGGGTAACCTCTTATATACTTTAATATTTTATATTTAGAAAGCAGCGCGGCTTCTTCTTCAAACTGATCTATACTTCGTGTGTGAGAAGGAGGTGGATGCGTATATCTGGAAGAGTGTTTACTATCAGGTTATTGAGATGCTCAAGTTCTCATTCTTCGATACGGAGAATACTACCCCGGAGACTAAACAGGTTCTTAAATCCCAGCTCCTGATCATACTGGAGGAAGGGGTAGACTACTTTACTCAGCTACTCAAGGATATAGGAGATCAGTATCATGTAGATCTGGATAGATTCTATGATGTTCTGGAACCTAGAGATCTAGACAAAACCGGGAGGTAGGTTTAGTTTGTTTAGGTTTAATAAAAGTTTTTATCGATGCTCATTCTAAAAACATTACGTTGTTAGTTCGACGTTTTTTAGCCAAGTATAATTCTACCTCATCATCGATTCCATATCTCCGTCCAACTTTGGATATTTTTCAAGGATGAAGTGATAGATTATATTTCAAGATAAACACTTGAAAATTAATTAAATGTTTTTATGTTAAAAACCCTCATTAAAAATGGATGCCTCGACGATCTTGCATCTCTCCTAGTCAACGTGACACTTGGATATTCATCCAATTGTAAATAACAGTTTAAGTATTCCCAGAAAATTAGTTTTCATGAGACCCTCTCAGCTCTCTGAACATCCAATTATCATACTAAAAACTCAACAAATAACAAACTACGTTTTACACCTGTAAATCATCTCTTGGAGAGGGGGGGGGGGCTGTGTATATTCCCCTCCCCCACACTCACATTTCGGTCGAAATAAACTATGTAATTATTAATTAATGTATATTGGATATTTTTCTAAAAGGGGAAGGGGAGGGGAAAGGAATTAAATTTTCAAAAATGTTTAAATATATTAAAATTTGTTTAAAATTTATTAACATGAATGTTTTGTGTTTCTAGACTTGCATTAATAATCTGCCAGAAACTGCTGCTGTATCTGGGTGACCTTGCGCGCTACAAGGAGCAGGTCAACTCGACCTCAAACTACGGAAGGGCGAGACAATACTATCAGAAGGCGAACCATCTGGATATGCGGAACGGACGCCCTTTTAATATGCTCGCCATCCTCGCTAAACTTTCAAATAGGAAGTTTGAGGCAGTTTACTACAATATAAGGTTAATAAATTCATTGATTTGTTTGAAAAGGAGGGTGTGTTTTAGCCAATTTAAAATGCGAGAAAAAAAAAATATTTTTCTTTCACGGTTACATCTGAATTAGCCTATTTGGGGCCCCGATTTCAGGTTAAAATCAAACTATTTATTTATCTAAAATTATTAAGGTGCTTGATGTCCCGAAACCCGTTCACCCCATCGAGCAAAGAAGGGCTCAGTGTCATCTTCGATGAGATGAAGAGAAGGTGGGAGCTGGGGGAGAAGCAGAAGCTGGACAAGAAGGTCGAGGAGAGCGATAAAACAAACGGTTCTTTGCTGATCAAAGGGAGCCGGGTTAGAAGAGAGATATGGATCCGAGGTGAAGCAGGACGGAGATTACATAGAACCACATCAGCAACTGCAACCTCGGAGTCTCTATCCTGTGATCTTGAAAACCTCTCTATTACTGATTTAAACAAGAGATTCATAAACACCTTCCTCCATCTCCAGGGTATGCTTTTTACACAAATCAACACAGAGGATTTCTACCTTGCTTCGAAGAGTTTAATCGAACAGTTTAGAATACTGATCGGGAAAACTCCGCTTCCTATCTCCGTTGATAGGTTGGTTCAGATCATGGCTCTCAATATGTACAGTATTGAGAAGACGAAGATTAGAGCAGGTTCAGATTCTCCGTCCTACAGATCCGTCATGCAAACCAAGGCTTTGGAGCTGGCAGGAGAGATGTTTTCCGTTCTACTAGAGAGATGCAATCTTTTGATTGCCGGTGGAAACCCAGAGGATATCCTGGATATTCAGAGCACTCTACAACAGGAGATAACTCCGCTCCTAGCAGCTGTCAAGGTCTGGTGTGACTGGTTGATAGGAAACAATGACACCTGGTATCCTGTAGTATCTGCCGAACCCTTCACACAACTAGCCCAGCTCGCGACCAGACTCGAAGCCATTAAACCTACCGTAACCTCTGTTCTGGAGAAATGTTTGTCTGATGAGACCTGGAGAGCGCTGCCCCAGGCTCGACGTGAGGAGTTTGATCTTATTCGACTAGCAGAGGATTCAATCCTGTGTGAGTTCGAACCTTGGTTCCGTGGATTAGACTGGAGTCTATACCGACAGTTCAGTCCTAAATCCGTAAACCATCTGTGCAGACAGAATGCTAAGCGTGTTGACCAGATCCGTATGTGCGCCGAGGTTCTAGAAGGATTGGATCCCCCTGTGCTCAAGTGGTCTGTTCCTGATAACAGTCATGTATGTTTAGTAACAGACCGGGAGGAATCTACTCAGGCCAGTGTTGCTCGAGATATGGCTGAAGCAAACCTTACCGCTCTCATTGCTCGAGACGAGGATATACTTGAAGAATGCTACAGTGATAAAGAGAACGAGGAGCAGGATGAACCAGTCAATGATGAGATTGCTAAACTCAGGATGCGAAAGGTTGAGTTGCAGAAGGTTCAGAGTGAGCAGGCAAGGAAAGCTCAGAAGGAGATTCTGGATCAGCATGTAAGAACAACACTAGAGGTTCGACCAAAGATCCTGGTTCCTGATACCAACGCTTTTATCGATCATCTTGACTTGATTAAGCTGATAACTGTTTCAGGTAAGAATGATACGTGATTGTAATTTTTTGCAACAGTAAAATTCCAGAAGAAGTTTTGCGCAGAAGCATTTTTCGAAATGTCTTCTTTTATCTATATAATAAAACAAGACATTCATATATTTGTTCCCTACAGCCGGCCAAACGGCTGGACCGAATGGACTGACATTTTTTGTGGACACTCATGGGTAAAATAGAATTTTTATTTAAAAACTTTTTCTTGGGTAACGTAGGGCACTTTAGCGAGTAAACCTACTAAATCAGTTACAATACTCTAAGTTCATAATAACCTAGATTTATTTAACACTCGATATTTCGAAAGTTATTAAAACGTTTTTAATCCCGACCCATAATTAAAGGATAGCAATATTTTATTTTTATATTTGTAGGAGAGTTCCAGCTTGTTATTCCTATTGTGGTGCTTGGAGAGTTGGAAGGTTTATGTAAGAGCAAGGATTACTCTGACCGACCGGAGCACGGAGCAATGCTCCGAGAGAATAGTAAACTTGCTCTCACCTGGATTCGATCTAAACCGAAAAACGTAAAATGTGCAACTACCAAAGGTGATAAACCTCGATAATTCTTGATATTTTTCTTAATTTTTTTGCTTCCTATTTTTGTTGTTGTTTGTATTTTGTGATTAAATTGTTCTGTTGTAGGGAGTATTCTAAGCAGTCTTGGTGTAACAGTGGAGGAAGATACACGGGATGGAGAAACCAACGATGACCGGATACTCATCTGTTGTCTCAACCTCGACTCATCCCCCCAGCCACGGACTGAGGACGGGATGAAAACTGTTTTCAGGAATACTATTCTACTTACAGATGACAGGTAAGAATTATTTAACTAAACAAAATTGGACAGCTCATACAGTGATAGCCAGGAAACTTTGGAATAGGAAAATGACTTTTAGATTCAAGTTATGACTTAATTATTCAAATCAACATGAAACACAGCAATTGTTCTGGGCAAACAGACCAATTTCACTTAATAAGTGAAATAATAAAACTATTTGCTTTATTATGAAATCTAATTCACACTTAACATTAATGTCGTCTTCCTATTCCACAGTTTTCTGGTTATCACTGTACATTCGTGTTTAACTGTTTAACTTTGGATTAAGTAATAATGAATTTAATAAAGCTTGATTTTAGTTTTATTTGAAATAACTTTTACAGGTCCTTTCTACAGTTTTCCTATATTATAATACATTTCTTGCAATTTGAGGGTTTAGAAGGTACAGGAAGGAAGGAGACTTTTAAACTACTGTGCGGGATTTCTTCACTTTTTCTTACATTTAGGATTCTCCTCAGCTCAAAACTTTCTTTGCAAAACCATTTAAAACATCATTGAAAAACTATATTTCAGTTAGAATCCTGATCATTTTACTTCTAGATTGTTTGGTCTATGCTTTCGTTGATACCCTTTGTACAGGCGTTTTAAATTTAATACAATTTTTTTTTAAAGTTTTTCTTTCTTTTTTAAACATATAATAACGTCAACAGCTTTATTTGGTTTTAAGAAAAATGACTTGACTAAAATCAAAGCTATTGTCAAGAACAAAGAAGAATGATTTTTATATTTTCAAATTTTATTTTTCACATTATTTAATTCTATGATTTTCATTTTTAGAAACCTCAAACTGAAAGCACACATACAAGACTGCGCTGTGAGCAAAGTTGGTGATTTTGTCTCCTGGATATCTGATAAACAATGAGCTAAAATCCAACTTAGAGTGAACTACGATCCAACCTAGAGGAACCTAAAATCCAACCTAGGGTGAACTACGATCCAACCTAGAGGAACCTAAGATCCAACTTAGAGTGAACTACGATCCAACCTAGAGAAACGTAACATCCAACCTAGGGTGAACTACGGTCCAACCTAGAGGAACCTAACATCCAACCTAGGGTGAACTACGATCCAACCTAGAGGAACCTAACATCCACCATAGGGTGAACTACGATCCAACCTAGAGGAACCTAACATCCAACTTAGGGTGAACTACGATCCAACCTAGAGGAACCTAAGATCCAACCTAGAGTGAACTACGATCCAACCTAGAGGAACCTAAGATCCACCCTAGGGTGAACTACGATCCAACCTAGAGGAGCCTAACATCCACCCTAGAGTGAACTACGGTCCAAAAAAAATTGAGATCGGATCAAACCTAGACAGATCAAATTTCCAACCTATATTGATCTACGATCCAACCTAGACGGACCTAAGATCTAATCTAGAGGAACCTAATATCTAATCTAGAGGAACCTAAGATACAACCTAGAGGAACCTAAGATTCAACCTAGAGGGACCTAAGATTCAACCTAGACAGATCAGATCAACCATTTAGCAGACCCTGCGTTTGATTTTTAAGTTAGGATCGGATAATCCTTAGAACGGATCCGTCCTAGCCTAGCTCCTAAACTAAAGATATAACTTCTTGTGAGATTATTAACTTAAGAACTGAAGTAAACTAACCTCACATACTTCTCTTGACAGGATTGTGATGCAAAATTTTATTTTTATTTTTGTTATTTGTTCTCTTCTGTTACCAGTGAAATACATTCATTAATATCATAATAATTCTTACACATTAAACAAATGATTTTTTTAGTTCCGAGATAAATACTTCCCTCTTTTAAAGAATCCGAACTGTAAAATTATGCAATATTTATTACAGTTATATCACCCTAAATAAGAAATTATGCAACATTTAAAAAATTTAAAAAGACATCTCCTTAGATAAGAAGGCACGTTGATGTTTGATAAAGACAGATTATTCATTCTTATTAAACAAGACATTCATATATATGTTCCCTATAGCCGGCCAAACGGCTGGATAGAATGGGATGACATTTTTTGTGGACACTCATGGGTGGACTGGGGATGACTTAGGCTAAAACAAATCGAATTTTTTTTTTCAACATTTTTTTTCGCTGGGATTACGTCGGGCCTTTCAGCTAGTATTCAATAGCATTCGGGTTAATTATCTTCGAAATGCGAATTTGTTACGGAAATGTTTATATTGATGTATCTACAATAATTCTAGGGCACATCATATGTTTCATGTTCATATTTAAGTTACGACTTACAGGGTGTGTTTTTAATCTTGTCAGTTTTGATTCTTCTGTAATACAGGGAAGAAAAAATATATTCTTTGTCGCCTCCCCCTATTGCCCATGTTTTAACTCATTGACCAAGAGAGCACTGCGTTTTCGGTCCGGGAGGGGTATTTAAACCTTTTAAAGAATTGGACATAAACAATACTCTTTTTTAAAAAGATACTGAATTACAGTTTACAATTAAATAAAAACTATTTTTTTCTGTTCATTCCTCTGAGTTCAGTCATAAAATCTCAAATGTATTTAGATTCTCTTACTTCAAGTAAACTTCTCCCGAGGTCCAAAACCTTTTCTAGAACGCCAACCTTTAGATGGTAGAGTTCATGTCCAGGAAGGTAAAAATGTTCTCCTGTAGGCTGGTTTGTATGGAGAAATCTGCGTTGTTTTTCAGAGTCAAATTATTTTTCTTTTAAATATAGCAGGGAAAGCACCATTACAAAATAAAGAAAAAGCTTGTTAAATGAACAGATTTCACAATTATATTTTTAAAAAATGTTATATGAATATTATTGCATAGTATCTCTGAGTATCTATGTGTATTATGTAACATATCTTATCTTCATTTTATCCAAAGTTTTGGTTCTCATATTTCACTGATAATACTTTCAACCCCTAGTACCCCTAGTCAGTCAGAAGTTAAAACTTTTAAATCGACGAAACTGTAGTTTGAATTCATCGTAAGGAGTTTAAGTTTCTCTCATTGATCAAAAGCTCTGATATCAGACAAGGACGTATACAGAAATAAATCTAGGGGTGGGGGCCAAATTTTGCAAGCGTAACATTTTTTCGCCTACCCCTACAGGAGCTCCTAGGGGGAGTCAAAATTTGAACTGTAAATTCAAAAAATTTGGGTTCTTGGATATCAAGGCTTAAGTACAGGGGATACAGGGTGCCCCACATCATTTCGGATTGTTTATGGCTCTAAATTGCAATTTTCCGGACTAATCAGGAAATTTTAAAAGAATGATACATGTTAAAAAATTGAATAAGCCTAATATAAAAATTTGCATGCACTAGGTTTTTTGATTATTATGTGGGTATTTTGGTGTTAAAGCTTGGAGATAATCCAATATGATATGGGATACTTTAATGGTACACACACAGTCCAATTACCTTGCAAATACTACATTATCTCTCCCTTTAAACAAAACTAGCAGAAAAAAACAAGTTTTAAAAATCTTCATTTTATTACATGTACATAGAGTGATGATGTACGCTAATCCTTTACTAATTGTACAGGCCGTGTACTTCACTTTTAAAGGGAGTGACCGGCTATGTAAGGTAGTTGAACTGAGTATGCAGTGTTGTCGAAAACTTCTTTAGAATTCATTTGAGACATATTTCACTTTTTAAAGATCTGTAAATCCTGAGTTTGAGCGCAAATTCGACGTTCAAAACTCCTGATTTGGGGGTGGAAACGCTTTCAGAATTAGTTTTTTTTTTTATTATCAAATAACGACAACGAAAAATAAAATAAAAATTATACAGTAATCTAATTAGATGGCTAGGAACATATTTCACAAAAGAAATTTGTCAATAAATCAATTCTAAAATCGATTATTTCGTTTTCATTATTATATTGAATTTCTAATTTTCTTTGAATTTATTCGCAGATTTCTTCAAATTCTTTAAATGTCGTCTTTTCAATAATAATTATAGAAAATCTGCGAACATCTTTGTGAATAACGAGAAACTAGAATAATGAGATAATAGAAACTAATAATTGAACAAGATTACTTATTTTCGATGATAAGATTAATTTTTATTTTCTCAAAATGTTCCTAAACATGACGTCTGTAGTTTATTGTAGAATATTTTTACATTTTATGTTGTCGTTAATTAATAATTTTAGAAAAACTAACTCTGAAAGCGTATCCACCCCCAAATCAGGAGTTTTGAACGTCGAATTTGCGCTCAAACTCAGGATTACAGATCTTTAAAAAGTGAAATATGTCTCAAATGAATCCCAAAGAAGTTTTCCACAACACTGCGTCCTCAGTTCAACTACCTTACATAGCCGGTCACTCCCTTTAAAGGTCAATCTGTATGTTACAGTACTTGGGGGGGATTTCTGAAAAAAAAATTTGTCACGTATGTTCAATTGGTCCTCTAATTTTGACTTTTTTCTTTTCTTTACATTTTACAAAGAAAATTTTACATTATTTTACACATTGTGGACACTGACACAGAGGCACAACTAACCTTTTTTGCTAGGGAGGGGGCAAAATATTATTTTGTAATGGTCTGGGGGGCCGGGCTTGACCCCTTGTTTAGAAAATTTTTAAAAAATTAAAGTCTTTTATTAATTGTTTGATGTCGAAAAAAAGGAAATTTTTAGATTTGGTGTGTTCAATTCAAACCGTTTTTTTTCTTGTGTTTTTAAAAATTTATACTTTCAACAACTTAAAAATTAAATAAATTCATTTTAATTTTTAATCTGAAAAACTTACAATTACTCAAAAAAATAGTTTTACCTAAGCACTAAAAACTGAACAATCCTCCTAGCAATTAGCATAAGATTTCTGGAGACCCCCCCCCCCTCCTTTAGAACATTTTTTTTCTAAATTAATGTTTTATGTCTAAAAAAGACAAGTTTTTTGGTTGTATTCAAATAAAATCGTTTTTTCTTGTGTTTTTAAAAAATTTATAGAATACCGTTCGGAACTTTTTTACATTAAAGTTTACAATAAATAGCCTTTAGTCTCGAGAGTTCAGAAAGATAAAAATATTTTTAAAAAACATTTAAGCATTTTTCGAAATGTCTTCTTTAAATAAATAAATAGTAGAATACAATTTCTAAAATAACTCTTTTGGTTTTATCATTCCTGACTCCTGAGATGCTGATATTCGCCCATCTTTCTTTTCATTCTGCAGCCCCTCTCAGCTGCGAGGGGGGGGGCGCGCCCGGCCACCCCCCCCCCGCCCTAATTGCGCCTCAGCACTGACACAAAAAAATTAATCTTGCAATATTATCGTTGAATAGTGCAAATTTTCGGTTATGAACTTTATTAGTATGTTTTGGTTCATAATTTTTATTGTTCATAATTTTTTTCAGAAATAAGCCATTTCATAGGAAAGATTGAATTTAATTTTAGTGAAAATAAGTTTAGCAGTTTACATAAAAGGAATCGTCATTATTTCAATTTAAAACTTAAATATTAAGTTCTTTAAATATATCTTTTGCATGACGTCGCTGGATTTTTAAAAATCACAATTTCAATGCACTAAATTTATCACTTAAAAACTTAATAACTGCCCGAAGACTTAATAAATGCTGTGGCCGTAAGGTTGTGGCTCATGGTTGCTGGAAGACAAAAAAAGGTAATATGTGGCATGGAAGGGGAAAAAAGTGGTGGCTTATGGCCGCCTGCCTTCCCCCGCTCGTATGGTAAACTGACGGGAATCGTACAAATAAAGGGAAGGTTAAGGTATCGATAATATATGATAAATATAGATAATTTTTATAAACCTGCTGCCTAAGTATCTCTGAGTATCTATGTGTATTATGTAACATATCTTATCTTCATCGTTGATACCCTTTGTACAGGCGTTTTAAATTTAATACAATTTTTTTTTAAAGTTTTTCTTTCTTTTTTAAACATATAATAACGTCATTTTGACATATTTGATTGATAATATTGCAATTACAGACATTTTGACATATTTTTCATCTGCAGAGGTCCCTTTCATCTTTCTTTCCTGTATTTTACAAAATATTAAGAAATTTGAAACAAAATTTAATTAAAATATTTAACCTTGTCAAAATATGTATTTAACTTGGAAATATAATCATTATATGTCATATTTGAAATATTAAATAACAGGGTTCCATTGAAGGCACTTGCAGAAAAGGAACAAATCTAAATGTTCTCTTTAGAATGGTGAAAAACATGTATGTATATTGTATAATGTATATTATATAATTTACTACCATGTATCAAATTTGTGACAATCAAATTTTATGAAAATATATTTATAATCTCTTTTTAACTTGTAAATCTTTCAACAAAAGACAGTTTTGCCTCATTTCAATAAAATATCAAATATCAGAATAACCCGGCGTAACCCGTGCCCATCCATGATCAGATAAGTGTTATTGTCGTTCTTCTTATTTTTTATTTTTGCTTCAAGCTTTCTCAAGTGATATTGTTAACATAGTCTCTGCTTTATGTACAAGATAAAAATAAACATAATATAGTTAGTTTAATTAATTGATTAATGCGATATAAATTAATTTATAAGTAAATAAATGTGTTTTTTATTCATCCCATGAATACAGATAATTGTTGACAATAATATAATTACAGGAAATATATACTTTCTTTCTTTTCCTTCATTTTCCTCAGCAATGCAGGAAGACCACAGTGTTAAACTATCAACTTCAAAGTTTTGATATTTCAAGAATATTTTAATTAAGAAAATTTTAAGTCATGATTTGTTTTCAAGTAAATATTGCATGTATAGGTAAAGGTAGGTTCTGTATAGTGTGGGCTACCAATGGCCCATTTAAAAAAAATGCTACGAGACGAACAGATTTAAAAACCGTCATACTTTGGAAAACTTTTTTAAATCCTGGTTGAAATTGAACTTATTATCGAAAGTTTTCAAGATGACCAGCCTTGAGAATATGCAATATGCGTTGCATCTTTTACATTTGTGATGAGGGGGGGGGGGGGGGGGGGGCCCCCAAGACGTTTTGGCCCCGACAAATAATCTAATCTTAAAAATAAATTTTCTTCCCTTGGATCTCTTGATTCTCTTCTTTTTTGGGTTCTCTTGATTCTCTTAAGTACTCTTGGTTCTCTAGGTTTTCTTGGTTCTCTTGGTTCTCTGTGTTCCCCTGGTTTCCTGGTTTTTGGGTTCTCTGGGTTCTCTTGGTTCCCTTGGTTCTCTTGGTTCTCTTGGTTCTTTGGTTCTCTCTTAGTTCTCTTGATTCTCTTAGTTCTCTTGATTCTTTTGGTTCTCTTGGTTCTCTTGGTTCTCTTGGTTCTCTTGGTTCTCTTGGTTCTCTTGGTTCTCTTGGTTCTCTTGATTCTCTTAGTTCTCTGGGTTCTCTGGGTTCTCTGGGTTCTCTTGGATCTCTTAGTTAATGTGAATGTTTGGGGTTATTAGTTCTCTGAACTTTAACTGTGATAAATAAACGATACAATGTATACGTAGTATTTGTCCATCTTTATAATATTTATAATAGAAGCTTATAAATATCTGTTCCGATAGTGTCTATCTTTTCATCTATTTTTCTTTATTAACTACGGACTATATAAACTATATAAACTTTATAAACTAAATATATGTTATATTTATATCACATTTCTTAACTTTTTATTAATCTAGATCTATCTATCTATCTATCTTTCTTTCTATCTATTTATCTATCTATCTGTCTATCTATCTATCTTTCTATCAATAATACCACTACTTCTTTATATTTTGACTGTTTACTTTCATAAATGAAAAATTAAATTTCACATTACGTAATTTTGGACTGAAATGGCTGTGTCGACCGTTATTGATATTTCTATCCATCTATCTATATATTTATCCATTTATACAGGGCAGTAACTGAGGGGGGGGGGCGCCCCCCCCCACTGTTTGAAATTGAAAACTATTATACCTCACACTGCTGTAAATGCACCATCAGGTTTCAAGTCAAAACACCTAAACCTTTTCTTCAGAAGATGTTAATATGCAGTCTATTACTGAGTTATAATCTCAATTTTCAGAAAATGCCATCTAGGAAATTTTCCGCAAATCCATTTTAAAGATATCATAGAAATCAAGTGCATTTACAGGTCTAAAATCAAACGTAAATATTCTTTAAATATTCTTCTTCTGTTTTTTTTAATATTAAAGGCAGGGTCGCCAAATTTTGTAATTTTTCAATAACAGTCAAAAGACATATTGTAGTAAAATATCAAAGTCCAAAGTAAACTGCTTGACTGAATAGAAACGGCCTGAAAAAGTCTTTTTGATGTGATTTTTAAGGATTCCACTTCAAAAGCCCTTTTACAGGCAGTACTTAAACAGGCAGTACTTAAACAGGCAGTACTTAAACAGGCAGTACTTAAATAGGCAGTAATTAAACAGGCAGTAATTAAACAGGCAGTACTTAAACAGTCAGTACTTAAACAGGCATACAGTTCACTTATGGCTTTGAATTTTTGCTAATACGTGTATTAAGACTGATGAGGACAACTCACAAAATTTGGACTTAAAACCTGTTGGTCCATTTCTATTATCTTGAGTTCTAAAAGTCAACTTCCTATTCCAGAGTTTTCTGGTTATCACTGTATTTCATTAATTCAATTAATTATATCGGTCCTGTTTCATTTTGCAAATCATAAATTATTTTTTCAAAAGTTTTTTACATGCATGTATTATATAACAGAAATAAAAAATAATTTGTTTCCAGATATTATTGTTCATTTAAAATGCTGTGTTGATTTCATTTCAATGATATGAAATTAACCATTGAAAAATATTGTAACATTTCACGAATTTCAGATTAAAAACTAGTTTTTCAGACAAAAATAAAAAGCAAAAACACCCAGTTACGGGCCTGCATTTATCTATCTATATTCTATAAATCTAGTTTTACAAGACTAATCCGTTGCTACCAAGAGATAATCTCCGTTTCTCCGGATATTTAACATGTAGATACGAGATAGAGGAGTTTGAACAAATATGCATCAATTTTTTTCTCTTTTGAGAAAACCTTCAAGTTAATTTAAATGATTTATATTTGATTAACTCTCAAATATGTCCAGTGTTATGTTCTATTTAATATGAAGGAAAGGAGAGTAAAGGTGTCAAAAACTCTTTAAAACAGTAGAAAATTATTTTTGAATTTTTTTCTTCCTAAAAAACTGAGATCTAGGGGAAAAGTTAAGTTTTTTCATTTAATATTATTAAGAATTAACTTTAAGATGTGTATTCTGAATCCGTGAAGGTTGGGATTTGTATATTCTGAACCAAATGATCTTAAGGGGGTATTGGTGTATTCTGAACCCAAGGATCAAGGGTTGGGTTGGGTTCTGAATTTAAGGGTCAAGGGGGTATTAGTGTATTCTGAACCCAATGATTAAATGAGGGAAGGGAGGGGGTTATGGTGTATTCTAAATACAAGGATCAAGGGTGATATTGGTGTATTCTGAATCCGTGGATTAAGGAGGTTGGGATTTGTATATTCTGAACCAAAGGATCAAGGGGGTATTGGTTTATTCTGAACCCCAGGATCAATGGGGGTATTGGTATACTCTGAATTCAAGGATCAAAGGGGAAAGGGGCGAGATTGATGTATTCTGAACCCAAGGATCAAGGACTAAGGGGGGGGGGTCGGGGTGCAGGTTTCCAGCAGGTTTCCAGCAGTTTTCCACCATCTTTCTTACTGATAATCCCCCTGGAGAGAACGGAGGAGGGTGAGGGTGGGATTTCTAACTAATAATTCAGAACTAAATACATCTTTTGAGGTTTAGAATATTACATAAAGTAAATACAAGGATACGGGGAGGATGGCCGGGAATATTGATTAACCTTAGATTTGCTGGAGGGTTAGACCAACCAGACTCCAACTATATTGATTTAATGTATTTAGATATATTCTAATACGATGCTAAATGTAAATATCAGTTCAATAAATATTGCGCATTTATTGGTTACAACCGTATCTAGTTATAAACGGTTTGAACAGCATACGGATCCTAGGTAAAAAGTTTACGATGAAACGGTATAAATACGGAGGAGGGGGGGAGTTCAGGGGTGACGGGTAAGTGTTTACTTGTTCGGAGGCTGTATATTTCAGGTGAGAGGCCGTGTAGGGAAGAGGCCATGTGGTCCAGGGAGGCCCCGGCCAGGTGCCCCCATTCAGGGATTTATTAAGGGATGTAGATCGAGGATAAAAAAAATCAAAACTAAAAGTGAAAAATTCTTATTTTTAAATTTTGCTGAATAATGATAGCTAAGCAGATTTTAGTGCATTATTGTTACCTCCCCCCCCCTCCTTACATCGAGCACCCCAACTCTTTCAATCCCCCCTCCCTTGAGTTTCAAGTCCCCTTACAATTTACAGTTTTCAAACATTTATCAATTACTGCGTAACTCCTTCCTCCAAGTTGTCTTAAAGAAACTCACTGGAGGATTGAACCAAACTTTACTTTTTCCTTTTATCCCGGAACCTGAATTAGAAACAATTCGCAGAGAAAATAACTTTTATCATAAAATATTTTGTCTGGAGTAGAAAAGGTTTAAAGTCAACATGTAAGTTTAATTAAGTTACAGATGTAAAAAAAGCTTTTTTCTAGAATCCTAATTTTTTGACAGGTTGGTGAGGTTCCCCCTGGTTGTCCTTGAAAACCCCTGACAGGACTCGTATTCACGTAGTGTGTGGAGCAGGTGCCGACCTCGCGCTAGGCGGCGGTCACGGCCTCCGCCGGCCGATCAATAATTCCAGCAACAGGCGGCAGTCCCTTCCCCAGCCAACTCCGAAGCATAAACAATCTGGGTTTGAGGAGACTCAGGGGGAACACTAGTTCTCAGGGTCCTCAACTAGTAGTATTATTATGCCCCCTCCTTGTGCCAAAAATATAGTTCAAAACCTAGTCCATTATATACTCAAGCATTTATACTCATCCTTACAGTGATATAAGACAGTATTATTATAAACATTAAACCGTGTAGAAAAGACCTTAATTTGCAGTATATACACAGAATGCATATCTGTGATTATACTAGATTATCTAGCTAGCGGATACACAGGGTTGAGCTGTAGAACCCCAATATATAATATATATATTTAATATATTGTATATGTGGTCATTAGACAGCGTAATCTGAACCTAGATATACAACTCCTGATCTAGCCAGTCGAAAACTAACCTACATGGAGGCGGAACAGTTATTTAATGATAGTTCCACTGTTGGTTCTACGGCGGATATGCCGGATATTTTTGATGTGCTGGAGGGTGGAGAAGATGAGGGGGCAGTTAGATATCTCCTTGGATTTAACGGAGAGGAGGGTGGAGTGGGACTACTTGGTCAAGTTGATACATTTACCGGGATGGAGGTTATTGATAAATATGTAGGGGAGGGAATAAACTTAGGACTTACACCAACATATCTGCCTCAGTTACAGAACTCTTCTGACTCTCCGTCTATTCAGACTAAAACCACTGAGGTTATTCGCCAGGTTCACTCCAGCATGAGTAACAACAAAAAGAGAGATACCAGCGGAGCTAAGGCCATTCATAATTGTGATTCATGCGGAAAATGTTTCACGACCAAATTCAACCTGAAGCGACATATCAACATGCATTGTCACAAGTCTAAAGAGAACGGGGTTCCCATCCAGGGACCACCCTCTGCCTCTGCTCCGGCCAAAAAATCTGATAAATCTGGGATGAAGGTTGATCATCATATCACTAGTGTCCAGGTTAACGGAACCCACCAGAGAGTCCAACCTGCCAATCCTCAAACAGTGCTGACCCAGAATCACACTATCCTACACAACGGACACGCTCCGGTTCCATACTCAAGGGTTGTTACGGTACCACAGACTGAATACCAGAGAACTGAACCTGACTCAACTTATAAGCTTCCTTCAGTCCAAACTATCCTTCCAGTGTCTACTGTATATACATCAAACAACCCAGTAGTTTGCGCTGCAAACACGTTTTCAACAGTTCCCAGCTGTGACTCCTCTCAAACCGTTTCCTCGGTTACTTCCTCTAGTCATAATACAGACTTCGGAACCCTTCCCGCGGATCTTTTTGATCCAGACTCCTCTAGATCTCAGCCCCCGACACCAACCTCCCCTCCTGGGAGTGGGAATGAAAGGTTTCCTGAAAATGAATCTGATGAGGATTCTCTGACTGGGATAAAGTTAACCTGTATCCCGGCAGGTTGGACTAGGAAGGTATCCTATGAGACCGGGAGAACGTCCTACTGTAGTCCACTTGGTAAACTCTTCTACTCCTACGAGGAGATTCTTCAGTATTTCAAAACTTTCAATATTCGTGTACCCGTGGGACTGTTCAACTTCGATTCAACTTACTTCGATGATTCCGAAGAGGATGAGGATGAGGACGAGGAGGACGATGAGGATGAAGAGGATGAGGAGGATGAAGATGATGAGGAGGAGAGAATATGTGCCAAAAGAAGAAGAAATGACGTCCATTACATAAGTTCTGATTCACTTGCTCTACCGTTGCGAAGCACTCCATCACCAGGTCCCCCTCCGACCGAGTCTCCTCTAGCGTAAACCCTCAAATTTTGCAAAGTAAAGAGCTTCGGCTCTCCTTTACAAAGCTAATTGCATGCAACCAAAACTCCCCTTTTCTTCCCTTGCTCCTGGCTTTTTTAGCTTTTTTGATTAAATTGGCAAATTTGTGGTAAACATTAGCTGATAAAGCTTCAAAATATGAAACTGGGGCAGGGCTGTAACCAGAAGGGGGCAACGCCCCCACCCCACTCCCCTGCAAGTTCATAAAAGGATTTGAGTCTTTGCCACTAACTCAAATCTTCTAATCCCTTTAATCTTTTAAACCTTTGATATTTTAATGATAGATTATTTGATCTAACAGAAATTATAGTTTGAAATGTCTAAGGTTTAGGACATTGGGTTGCAAATATATATGGATCAGAAAATCAGAATTTGAGGCAAAGACTCAATCCCTTTTGTGTTCTATGGAGTTGGTTGTTTAGGATTAAAGGGGGGATGTAACACATCCATATTCTTTTGTTAAAATTGATTTCTCGACATTTTTTTCGGAAAGTTTAAAGAAAGGTCTTGCGCATATTGAACAGAAAAGTCCTTTATAGTGGTGTTTAATTTAGAAAATTTATTCAAATAATACATTTTGTCCCTCACAAATCTTATTTTTATGTTAATTCTGTAAATGTGTGCGAATTGTCAACTTACGCAAGGTTTTAAGATTTAATAATCATGTACCTTCATTGCTAAAATTAAAAGAAATGGTTTATATAAAGCCTGAGCGTGCAGAAAATATTGTTTGAGAGGTTTATCAAAACTAGATTTAAGTTAAGTTTAAGAGTTTGTAAGTTGTACTTATTCTAAGCTTAAAACATGCAAACAAGTTCTGTTAAGGTAAATGCAAATCATATTTAAGTTCAGCTTGGGCAAGTTAAATTCTAAGCTCTTGAAATGTATCTGCGTCCTCGAATAGGGGACTTTTCCTTTATTCAATAAACTAAAATTTTGTTTATATGAATACTAGGGATTGGAATATTGCCTAGTATTGCAGGGGATAGATAGATAATTTGATTATTCTCCTTATAAGATAAAATATGTTTTTTTATCATAAAATAATTTGAGACCGGGAGATATAATTTCACTTTAATGTTTACCACAAATATTTGAGTTTGCTTTGGGGTTATTGGAAAATATGTTAGAGCCAAAATTTGATTAAACTTGAGTTTAAATCCTGGATTATGTAATTTATTTTTTGAATGGCTTGAAGTCCATCGTGTCTTTTTATCCCTGCACTGCACTCATCCTTTCTCCGGATACCTTAAACCAGGACGAGGATCAATTATAAAAATTTTCATATTTTTTCTTGTCCTAGACTTTTATTCACCCTTTAATACCCCACTTTTGTTCTAGATCTCCATTTTTGTGTCCTAGCCCTTTGTTATCCCTGTCCTAGCCCTGTCCTAGCCCTGTCCTAGCCTTGTCCTAGCCCTTTCCTAGCCATGTCCTAGCACTGTCCTACACCTTTTCCCGTTCTCAACTTAATTTCTATCTCTATTTCTCTGTCCAACATCCTCACCCTGTCCTAGTCCTTTTCACAATCTCTGTCATTAATATTCTCCCTGTCCAACACATTTTAGTCCTTGTCCTATCACAATCTCTGTCCTTGATATTCTCCCTGTCCAACACATTTTAGTCCTTGTCCTAGTCTTTTTCATAGTCTCTGTCCTACATCTCCTCCCTGTCTAACACCTTTTAGTCCTTGTTCTAGACCTTTTCGCAGTCTATATCTTACTCCTTATCTTACAACTTTCAGTCCTTGTCCTACAGCCCATTACTGCCTTTTGTATTCTCTTTGTCCTGCATAATCCCTTTTCCCAGACTGTCCCTAACCTTCTTAATATTCTGTCACCTAACCCTTACTAGTCTTGTCCTTCACTCTCACTTTATCCTTCTTTACTTTGTCCTTTTTCCCTTCGTATTCATTCAAATGTTTAAACCCTGACCCTCCCTCCCCATCCTCCGCTCCTGTTTAAGGTATACTGAGGAATCCCTGCTCCTGGATCAACCATTTTTATCCAGGTAAACTTATCATCCAACCTACTTCATTAACATTTTACAGTATCTGCCATTTATATAAATCTTATGTTTATTGTTCAATTTTTAATAATCTTTTACAAAATCTTTTAGTGAATACTTGTGTTACCGTAATCAAAGTGTTCATGAAAATTACAGAATATATACAGCGGGAACCATAACACTCTGGAAGAGAAAGACGACTTTTATGGCTCAAGTTATGACTATTTGACTATTAATAGTCTATTGAACATTAGACACAGCAGTTGTGCAGTGTAAACAGGCTCATTTTAGTTAATAAGTGATTGGATAACTTACTTGTAAAACTATTTGCTTTGTAACACCATCAAATACACTTAATTATTGCTTAAACGTCGTCTTCTTATTCCACAGCTTTCTGGTTCTCACTGTATACAGAGGGAGCCATAAAACTGTGGAATATAACGAAGACATTTAAACAATATTTTGTGTAGTTGATGTTGTTGAAAAGGAAATAGCTTACCAGTAGCTTAACAGTCAACTGTACAGTGTACAGTGTACATTACTGCGTTTTATGTTTATTACGCTATTAAAAACCCAGAACAGTCCGTCTTACTTTTCCACTGAGTTTTTTGGGGTCCTACTGTATTTTTACAATATTTTGGTAATTTTCTATTTGGTTCAATGTTTTGAGAACCAGTCAACTTGATTTTTTGTCTGTTTTTGCTAATGGGTGATATTTACTACACTAACCACCAAACCTTTGAATCCTAACCTTGGTAATTTTTTTAAAAATTGTTTAAAAGCAGAGAATGAACAATACTGAGTAAAAACCATTGTGTTTGATAAATCTATTTATTGTTAATTGAATTGATTGATATAAATCACAACAGCTGAGCGGGATTTTATAATAAATTTATAAATTTAAACATCAGCAATATTATTCACTGATTCAAACAATGTTTAGGCAGTAGTCCAATAAAAAAAATCTTTCCTTTTATTTCCTTGTATTCAGATTATTTCATATCTAGAAAGGAGGTTGTAAAAATTCCGTTTGTTAGTATAATACTCGATTGTATAACAGGTCTGTCCATAAAGATGATTATTCTATGTTGCCTGCAGTACTGATCATGACATGATATTATTATGAAAATATCTATTTTTCCTTTATTCCATTATTAATAATTATTATTTCAGATTTGATTGCATGCAATAAGTTGTGGGTTTACGGTGGCAAGGTCTGGCTGCTCAACATGTGATGAGGCTACCCACTGCACTCACTGTGCAACCGGAGAAGGACTTTATCATCCAGTCGAACCTTCCACCCAGAGAATATATCAGTCCAACTCATACCTCGCCTATATTCAAGGCCTGAGACTAGGAAGTGAGACAATGTGTGACTGGAGTAGAGATTTAGCTCCAGCCCGAGATCTTCTCTCGGAGGAGGGAGCACCTTCTCATATAAGTATTCCACCCTGGTTGGAGAAATTATATACTAGTGAAGGTTCCCACGGAGTAGATTCATTCTGTTCTCTTCGGGACCTTATGCTCCAGGAAGCTCTAAATGTCGTGAAATTGGCATAACATGTTATTATACCCAATATATATCTGAGCTAGCGGGTCGGTCAACTCATCCGGGGCAGGAGCAGTTCAACCTTGTTATAGTTTCGGTCTAACTTGTCAGATAAGCGCCGGAGTCAAATTTTTCATTCAGAATCCGGTGTGCTAACTTTATCCATATCGTACAAAAACTAGTTAAATCTTATCAATCAATGCATCAACAAAAACTGGTGGGGAATATTTCTTGATCTCCTCACTGAGTTCTTTGATAGGTTGATCGGCCCGCTTGCTCCATGGTATACTGGAATAGAAGGGAGCAACATTTAGAAACCTTGGAGAACCAGTATTATTTAATATTTCAGTATTATGTCCTGTATTAAAGAAAATCTATTTGATTTGTCTCATGTGACAATATTTACATATCAAAAATTTGTAACTGTTCCCCCGTCCTGTAGAATATTTAAGAAGCTAATCGTAAATATGAAAATCTTGAATTGTTTACACTTTTATTAATTATGGGGCTTCGTTGAAATTCTATTTATTTTTCTTTGAACTTGCCGAAGAATTGAGTCGTGATTATCTGCCAAGGTTTCTAGATGCTGCTCCTTGTTTCTTGTTTGAAAACGCGCTGTGTGTTGTTTCTACGTTGTAACGTAGGATAACGAGTAAATATTGTCTACATGGTCTCTAGATGTTTTATATGTTTATATGTCTACTCAAAGTTTACATTGCTTGTTGAAAATATAATTTATATCAGTGAACATAAATGGAACAAAAATATACTTGTTGAGTAAACTATTTTTTTATTTTAAAAGCCAACATTAGTTAAATCTTTGAAATGATTATTTATTTCAAATGTACAATGGTCACCTAAATAGTTTAGTGAAGAAAAACGAACTACCTGGATAATAATTCAAATTTTATTTTAATCTAAAACCTCAAAAACTGTTAATATTTTACAATATTAAAAATTAATTTGAAGTTTGGGAAAATTATCAGTGGCCGAATTTAAAGAATTTGAGCGGCGGTTTAAATCTAAGCTGCGGTTTAAATATGGTTGGTTCCACTTAAAATTGTATCAAATGTTTGAAGATTTAAGCCGGCGCTTAATTTAAACCGGGTTTTGGCGGATTTAAACCACGGCTCAAATTCTTTAAATTCCATCTCTGGATGAGGAAACAATGCAGAAAGATGATAATATTCTCTAGTTCTCTTGTTTCTTAGGAAACTACTAACTTACTTAAATTATTTTCTTTCTCCCAGATTTTCACGGGTTGATCAGAGGGATCGTCATTTTTTAACAGGGGACTATGGACAGTCATACAACTTTGTCAAGGATTTTGAGTAATTTCAGAAACCTCAAAATACAAAGTTAAAAAATATTTTTATCTAATACCGACGAAACTTAGATTCAAATCATCAAGTTCTGTTTTATGACTATTAATAGATTGGGAACCCAGCTTTGCCTGAAAACCAAGTTTTCCAGGTAAAAGTCAACCTATCGGTCTGTAAGTGTAATTCCGAGTGAACCTCCATGCATAGATGGCAATGCCCGATTTAAAACAGAATCCTTAGCAGCTTTATTTGTGATTTCTCTTCAAAAGTTAATTGCGCTTTTCTTGCCTTAAAGAAACAAAGGAGACATTATCAGAACTAACTACTTTTCGAGTCAGAAAAACGACGTTCTCTTCCACATTTTTGATCAGATTAAAGTTTTAAAGGTATTGTTGTAAATCGGACATATTGTCATCTTTCCTTGAAGGGTTCCTTGAAATTACGCTCACAGTCCCTTTAACTTATAACCTTTAAACCAGGCGAACAACATTCTATGGTGCAACTAAGTTTCCATTCAAAATTTGAAATCATTTGAGGTGTTCATGGGTTATGATCGGACATACAGAGATAATAGAAGTAAAAAGAGCATGATATAGATTGCTATTATTTTTTTTATTAGAATTGACAAAGCTTAAAATTAGATCTGAAGGTACTATTTATATCTCGGGTAATCTTGTAAGCATGACAAGAGTTTTTTCATGATTATTATTTCAAGAATTATAAACTTGTAAGATCAGATTTACCAATAAATACCGCTGGATGTCTCAAGAAGACGACATTTTCTACTTATATGTTTAGCAAGATACACTCTGTTCTTACCTCGATATTGTTAATTCAATACTATTTGCATTATATGCCTATGTACCGAGACAGATAAGCATTTATTGGATATTTTTGTGGTTTCATCATTCAGTCACGTAAACACAATATAATTCAGGTTTGTTCACAAACTAATCTATCCTAATTTGGAAACATAATTTAGACTTTTTTTCAGACTATAATATTATTTTTCAGAGAAAATTCTTATTTAGGTCAATAAAGATTAATTGTCCATATCCTGTTGTCGTTCACTAATATCGAATGAAGGATTAACAGATTTTTACCCGGTCATTGTCCCATCAAAAATAAAGATAATTTAAAAAGTCTTTTATCCCCCTGTTAGCTGATGAGTTAACTAAGAATTTTTTATGCTTTGAGCTTATACACAATTAAAAAATAAGCGCAGTTAACAAATATTGCAGACGTAATTTTATGTAAACAATGCTAGTTCTTAGTAAAGACGATCTCTACATTGCTAATTGCTTATGTTTATATGCCAATACCTAATAATGGCATAAACACACATCCGGATCTTTCTGTATAGAGTTGTTGTAAAAAGAAATCAATTTGTGGATAAACAAAAGATCCAGATCAAGAATCTGATCTGGATCTCTAAACAATACAAGAACTCTCAAGTCAGAACTTTTGGTTTTGAATCTCGGGATCTTCAATTGCAAAATCTTCAATTTTAATTTCCTCAAATTTAAAAGTGCCCACAGAGGACATTGAGATCAAGCATTCAAGATAAACGATATTAAGCACATAAGTTTTGACTTATTTATTGCATAGAAGAATTATTAATTTGTAAGTTTTATAATATGATTTTATCTTTATTAACAGCAACCTTTCAACAATAAATTCTTCGAATTTTATCTTTAAGATAAATTAAGGAGATCAAGGATAAATTAAGGAGATCAAGGTTGAATAAATTAAGGAGATCAAGGTTGAATAAATTAAGGAGATCAAGGTTGAATAAATTAAGGAGATCAAGGTTGAATAAATTAAGGAGATCAAGGTTGAATAAATTAAGGAGATCAAGGTTAAATAAATTAAGAAGATCAAGGTTTGAAAAGTTAAAAAGAATTTTTTTACTTTGTTTTGCTAAAGGAAGCTATTTTATTTATAAATGCTTTTAGTTGAATCTCCCTCAATGAAATAAAATAACTAAAAAATAAAATGAAATTTTGTAATTATTTATGAAAAAAAACAAGAGCTTTGATGCTAGGAAAATATAAAAAGTCTTTCATTTCTCTAAATATTTGCGAATTATTACAAACTATAAATAGTAAAACACAAAAATTTTTGCTTTAAGAAACACCATTAAGTATATCTTAAGAATAAAAAACCTAAAAAAATATGAAACAATTAAATATGAAATGGAACGGAAAGATTTGAAATGATAAAAACTTAAAATGAATAAAACTGATTGAAAATTTTGATCTCCAATATCTTATATACATACATACATATACCAAGAAAAGTTTTTTTTAGAGGTGTACGCATTTTTTGAACTGCACTGCAGTAAACTGTCTTTGGGCATAAAAGTAAACACAAGACGGATGTCACAGCCTGACATGGAATCCATTTTCACAAAAATAATCTATAAAATATTCTGTTCTTAGGAAACTATTATGTGAATTATCAAAATTATCAAATTTGAATGCTTTTATGCTCCTCGGATACTAAACAAACACTGGTGCATCTATTCTTGTTTATACCAATTTGGTTTCAATATGTACGTAGGGTATACACAATTGCAATTAACTTTCCTTGCATTAGTACCTTGCATATCGCGCCAATAATGTAGTAATGTCAAAATTACATTTATACAAGTATGAAGCTGGCTCAGAAAAAAATAACTGTAAACAAAAAGATAAGCTATAAACCCCCAAATCGGATATACGAGGAATGATTAGAATTTACTTCATCGAAATGTGATCCATTTTGAAAGTACTTTTACAATACTCGGATCTTTGATATTTGCGAGTTATTCAAACGTAATATTGTTAAAAAGGTTCCAAAGCTTTTTCAATTTCAAGGTAAAAAAGTTTTAAATTTATAAATTTTAATCAAATGAATTTTTTTCTTCTTCTCATATGTACTAAGCGTAAAATTAAAACTAGAAAAGCTATAAGAGGTCACAAAGTCAAACCAGTTTTCCTTATGTGTAGATTGGAATGGAATGAGCGTATTCTATTCCAAATCGAATTCATAGGATTCCTTAACAGTCATCACAACTTTTTCTCCGAGCTCGACAAAACTTCTAAAGAAGCTGAAACCTTGAATGCTGAAGAAAGGTTGCTATAAAAGGAGGAGGATGGATGGGGATCAAAGGAAGGAAAGAGATTAGAAGATTGCAGGAAGAAAAAGGAAACAATATAAGACAACTTTTTTGTAAAATGTAAATTTCTAACATATTTTTAAATATGTAAAGTAAGAAATCCCCGAAAGAGGATTATAAAATCCGCAAATCAATAGCGTCGGATCCTGGAACCAGAGAAGACCTTCTCATCTTCCTCTCCTTTAATACACTCGTTATCTATCATGTATTTATAGCTAGAAGCAATTAATGTACTCTATCTTCCTGGTATGTACTCTATATTCCTGTTGTACTCTATATTCCTGATATTTACTCTATCTTCCTGGTATGTATTATATATTCCTGTTGTACTCTATATTCCTGATGTACTCTATCTTCCTGGTATGTTTTCTACATTCCTGTTGTACTCTATAGTCCAGAGAATTGAATATTAAATTAACATAAACAAGTTGTTATTTTAATGATTGATTGATTGGCAAATTAAAAGTGTTGCATTGTGACAGTTAAACAGGATTTCTTTTTTTTTTTTGAGGGAAATAAATAAATGAAATTGGGTGTTGGATAAATATTTCCATTGTTGAATTTAATGTTTAATGGGCTAGTTGATTTCCTGTGTTGAGTTGTTTCATAGTTGTTTCCCGGCGGGGAGTTGTGAATCCGGCGGGTATTGGTAAATTTTCCGTTTGTTTTGAAAGGTGATACGCAACGAAATAGTAAATAATGTTGATGAATTTGAAATGGATTGATTGATATGACCAAAAAAAAATAAGACAAAATTTTAATGTACCCGCCGGAATAATACTTTTACTGGTCCGGGTTTGCAGGATCTGTGTAGCACTCGTCTTGAGCTGAGAGATGCTGAGTCGAATTGTCTGGAGCTAGGTCCTCAGCTGCAGAATCTTCTGCTAGTCCGTGAATTGTATCTTGAGGAGGCTGCTTTCCTACATCGAGGAATGGGAACAACTGGTTCATAGGAGGATCAGGTGTAGGAACAGTATTTGTGGACAGATCAAATTCAAATGGAGGATATGGTTTGAGCGGAGAGGCTGGATTGACTGGAGGATCAGGGTTGAGAGGAGGGATTGGATAGGTTGGCGGATCAGGTTCGGAAGGGCTTTCCGGATTGTGTGGAGGGTCTGGTTTCGGCGGAGAGGTTGGATAGGTAGGAGGATCAGAGTAGGAAGGAGGGATTGAATGGGTGGGTGGATCAGGTGTGGTTGGAGGTTTCAGATTGTACGGAGGATCTGGTTTGAGCGGAGAGGCTGGATCAAGTTCTATTGGAGGTCCTGGATTGATAGGTGAGACCGGATTGGTTGGAGGA